GAAGGGAGGATGGGACGTTGGAGTTAGGGCGAGTCACCAGTTGCAGCAACCTCCACGTGGTGTGACTTGGGAAATTTGTATTGTTCTAACAATACAAATTTGCGAATGGCTGCAAACATTGTACAAACTGTAAAAAGAAATGGAAATAAATATTTAATTTCATGTAAATTTAAATTGCGTCATTAATTCCCAATATATGTACCTTTCCTTTGTCCTAATAGTAATATAGTTTCTGACTAAGGCGATTAAATTTGTTGTTCGAAATAGTCATGGTTTCAAAGTTCAACATTTTATGGTTATTATAATTTTGAATATGAAATGATAAAATATTTACACATATTTAAATTAGACCTTCCAAATGCTCTTAATTTTATTTGTCCTATAAGAAAAATCGAACCATAGAAATACAAGAAATTTTATGTTATAATAAATTTAATTAATAAAATACCTTACACTAATTAGTACTTAATGCTATGACACTTGTATTATTAAAATCATTAACTAAGTAAGTCCATTACATCGCAAGAAGGTGGCTTCTCCATGTTTTGGCTTGAATTAGAAGTTAAATTTGACTGAAATTCTAACTGATTCATCGGGTAATTGATATTATTTTGAGGAATCATTAAATTAGGAACACATGTATTTCCTATGTTATTTAAGTGTAAATTTTGTGCTTGCGGGTTCAATTGATGTTGACTAGAACCCGGAGATTTCCAGGAATAATTAGGTTTCGAATTCGAGATTGAAAAGTTTAACTGATCTAAGTTAGATTTTAACAAAGTATCAGTTAAATCTTTTACTGCTGGCTTTTTATTAGGTTGAATACTTGTTGGTATTAAGGGTGCCTGGGATTGTAATCTTTGATGTACTTCTTGCTGTTGAATTAACCTGAAAATTAAAATATTAAAACAATTGTACTTCGTACAGCTTAAAATCTAATATTAACAGAAACTGAGCAGTAATTTATGATATTAACCGAAGCTTATCTTCCATGGTCAAACCATTTTCAATCTGCAGGGACTTCAAATTTGTATTTACACTCGTATTTGGAGCAGGGATGGCTGGAATTGGATTTATGTTATCAGTGGGTGAAACAATTTTCTTATAAATGTTGGTAGATTCTGAAAGTTCTAAATTCAATTGTTGTGTTTCATTGCGCATCGCATCTAATTGTTTCAAAGCTTCCTTATGCTCTGATGTTACACGACTGATCATTTCCATCACCATGTTTGATAGAATTTCATATTGCGGGAAACTAAAATTTTGCTCAATACATAGAGGTAATAGAAAAGGTAAAATCTTCGTTGCTATTATTTCTTTACTCATTCCCACTTTGCTATGATTCAGTAACATCCTGTAGATACCTGAAAAGAATATTCAATTAATGTATATTACTTATTGCTGTATTATTTTATTAACAAACGAATATAATACCTATGATAGCCATGAGAACTGCAGGGTTGCTAGAGCGTGGAATTTCTTGTAGAAAAGGTAACACTTGATCGATGACGAGCCATCGATCAAAGTTAGGTAACATTTTTGCAAGGCATAACAAACAGTTAACTCTAACTCCAAGACTTTTACTGCTGGATCCTTTTTCATTTAAACAAATTCTCTTCATTCTAGGCAAAATTGCATTTTTAATCAGTGGTCCTTCGATCATCGTTATAATTTCAGGTAGAGCTGATAAACATAATTCTTGCAATTGTTCCCATTCAGACTCTAAAGCACGTAGCAACATTGGAACTATATCCGTCTTTATTACCTCCGCGGTACATAATTTTAATAATAAATCAACATGTTGCATTAAAACAAGACTGATCTGCGGTGGATCGTCTAACGTCAGAACATGTTTAATATTTGGCAAAATACATTCTCTAAATTCTTCCACAGAACTTTTCTCCATCGCATATATTATGCTTGGCAAAACAAATGGAATCATCGGTGGATTGATTAATTCTTTATATAAAGATGGAAGGACTCGGTGCAGTATAACTCTATGCGGTAGCTGCTTTAGAAGTTGTGGTAATCCTTTATAAAATTGTGACTTCTGTAAATTATCCCATTGAAAGATTTTATCTAAATAATTTAATGTTTTCACAGCTATATCCATGAAATATTCTATTTTTACAAATTGATGAGCATCTGGTCTTAATTCAGGATTATGGTTCAACATAAGTTTCACCGTATCTCTAAGATTATCCGGAATTGGAAGAAGCTTAGATGCAATAGTTGAATTTGTGAAACAGTCTAAAAAATGTTTACATTTCATTAAATCATTTTTACAGTCATAAAGTGGTACATTCATAGGAGAATGTAAAATATACGCCAGTATTCCTAAAGAAAATATATCACTGGCTGTACCGACGCTGCTTGCTAAAATGCATTCTGGTGCTTGATAATTTAAATTCGGTTGGGCCGCAAACGAAACCGACATATCGTATTCTACGTACGACCATTGCGACTGTTTACCCTCGACGCTTTGATTCAAAGCGCAAAAATCAAATCCAAAAATTTTCCATGCTCCATGGCTATTAACGACGATAGATTCTGGGCATAGATTTCTGTGCAACAGTTTAACATCTCCGTGTAAAAATGCAAGGCCCTCTCCAAGTTGTAGAAGACCATATTTAATTTCTACGTCGTGTAATTTATAATCTTTCAAATTATTTGGCAGCAGTTGAGGTAAATTATCATGATTTCCCAAGACATTAGCTAAGCTGGCTAAGACAGGCTCAGTTGCAAATGCTAAACTATCTCTTGATTCTTCCAAAGGGTGTTGGACAGTTAAAATTTGTGGATGACGCAATTTTGTTAATTGTGCCACGCCTCTCTTCAAGGTTTCTAAGATCAATTCTTTATCATTTTTGGAAAATTTATCCAGAATTCGTTTCTCGAATACAAAAATTGCTGCTTCTTGCTTTGTAGATTTTTTATAACCGCTATAAACTTTCCAAAGCAATGCTGGTCCTGCACTTGCAATGTGCGCATTTATCTCAAATTCTCTGGTAACTGGATTGCCAGGAAGAACATTTGATAATTGTGACAATCCGTAAGCGGTGTTTTGAACTGTGTTAGAAATTGTATTGCTCACAGTATTTCTTAATTTTGCAAATACATCCATCTTATTTTCTAATATCTTTGAAGTAATCATTTATTAATGCTTAATAAAATATGTTTTGTAGCTTAGAGATATATTTGAATTTTTATGTTCGTAAATTCTTTTTAATCCTGATTAACAGTTATCAAGTACTGAATAATCTTTAAATTTTAATACACATCGATTTAACACTGAACATAAACTGACATATACTTTGTATTTTACACGAAAACATTTCTTTCAAGCATTTGATAACACTGTAAAATGCTCTTATCATATACGTAATACTGATATTAAAATTAATGCTACTACATCAAATATAATATTAACTGTTTGACATAATCACCTAACTTTTACATATTGTATTGGTTAGTTGTATTTTACTAGCCTTCTGTCAATGATTTGAAACCTACATATTTGTTCTACGAAAGAACATACCTGTTTTGCGCAGCTCAGGGAAGCCCCCTATTCTTATTTCTAACTTCGTGGCAGTATATTCGGTGGACAAAAATATACGAACAAAAGAAACAAGTGATCCCATCGAAGGTCGGCGCGTATACTGAACATAAGACCACTAGGTATATTGCGCAGTTCCATTACGCGCATGCGCAGTACCACACCGCGCATGCGCAGTTGAGCATGCGTGAGCCAAAAATGCGCAGAACGAATAAAAACTCGTTCGAATGAAATTTGAATGGATCATAAATGGATCATGGATGGATCATGAAATAATTATAGCGGACGTACGGTGGACGAACAGGAAACGGATGTCGAAAGTAGTAGCAATTAAAAGATGGTTGCAGATCAAAGGAAGCGTACAGTGCACAATTTAGAACAGGTGAACAAGATAAGGATGGAACATAAAACAAATGTATATGGTTCTTACCTTTGTTTAAAGTTCACGTAGAAGAAAAATTCAAGCGTTTTCACAAACTATTTCGAACCAATTTTCTCTTATGCTTTCAATACTTCAAAATTGATGATATACGTATACGGTAAATTTCAAATTTTTATCCTTTATAAATAAGATAAATAAAATTGAAACTTTAAATGAAACTGATCATCTAATTAGATAAGAAAGGAAGAGGAAACGTTCGACAAATATTGATTTTTATTTTATCGTAGTGAGGCCCATTGTCTAATGCAATCTTTGTTTTAAAATTGCAGGCCTATTCTACTTATCGAGGAAAGTGTAAAATCCAACGTCTGTTTAATTAAAGGGTGGCTGGTAATTATACTGTACGTAAGTGTACTAATACTTGCCTAACAAAAGTGTAGTTACATGCTCTTGACGCGAAAAAATAATGACCCTCTACTTCAAAGAAAATAGGAAAAAAAAAGCAGCACTCCCGTGTAAGAGCAGACTTCTGGTCGATATAATCCCTCCATTGATTAAAGTCGATGCTCTGTTGTAGAATTCTCTCCCCAAAGGACGACCTTCGTAGTGGGGTGAACCGACGAATAAGGGAGAGAATGCTGGACGTCGACACCAGTTTAGTTGCCTTATGAACCTCATACGAATTCTATCGTCGTGGAACTTTATTTTTTTTTAACAATTCTTTCTATTTCTGTTTATAAACAATCCACTGATACTATCAGAAACATTCCATGGTGTACGAATCGCTCGAAAGTAAAAAGGGTGAACACTTGATACAATACCATTAAGTTCAAATTTCTTTTCTTTTTTTCATTATGGTGTATATCATTGTTGTTCCAGCTCGGGGGTGATTAATGAAAATTATGGTGTCTGTAAAAGATGTAAAATAATTTTAAATGGCGAAGATGAGAAAATCTTTGAAAAAAGTTTGAAGTGCACGACCTTTGATATCGATTCCCGTCAATTGCCGAGGTGCATCCGCTAATAGGACTTTTATGACCCTTCTTCCTTGAAATCGAGAAACAACCCTGACTGAAAGAGGGAGAGAATGTTTGCATCGAGATAAACAAGAAAATTGTAAGTTCTATAATACCTATTTGATATTGATTTTTTTTTTTAAATTGAAAAATATTAAAAATTGAATATATAAATTGAAATACCAGGATTGATGTACCGAATTTATTCAGGAATTGAATACGGATGACGAATTGGATATGAACTTGAAATCTAAATGGCTTTCTCTTGGAATACTGGTTATCATCCTCCTTGAATTTGGTACGAACCTTGATGATAATTCATTAATTTATTTATTTAACTACCCTTGATCTTATAATAATTAATCGACGAAATAATTTCATTTAGACATCGCTAGATCAATTATGGAAGAGACAGAAGAGTTAACATCGTTGAAAATTCATTCACCTTCCTCTCACGTCGCTCTATCGGGGGATCTCGTGATATCTGTAATAAATTCAAATGAAACATTAGACGAAACAAAGTACAAATACGAGTTCAAAAAAGAAAATAATCAGGATATTAAACAGCTAGACGATAATGTTTCTAATGAATTATCTCTATTAAGGTGAGCCAGTTAAAAATGATCATTGAGAAATGTCGAAAGAAAAATATTAACGAATATTTCATATCTTTTAGAATATTGTACCTTTTCGACGACATATCAGAACTAATTGGTGAAATCCAATTAGAAAAGCTGCCTTCTGAAAATGAAACTGTTTCAATTATCATACCTTGCGGATATTTTACTCGTGGTGGTATTTACGTTTTGCAAATCGAGTACAAATACAAAAATTCAGCGGTGTCTATTGTCTCCAATTATCAGGTTCAAAAAAATTCATTATTTTTTATTGGCATAAGTAGAATTTTTCTCTAGGATGGGCCAGGTCTCTTAATTTTATTAGCTGAAAGATGTTTTTTGCCTCTTTTAATCATCGTAATACTTATTACTGGAAGGGGGTCAATTCGTATACCGAGGAGACCAGGCCTACTCTACTATTTTTAAATTTACCGCACAGTATTAATACAATTTCTATCGCTGTTGTAGACAAGTAAAATTTTGGATGTAAAGTGGCCAATGCCGGTAATCTATTTGGAATCTCAACAAATTACTACCTATCCGAATAAACCAGTCAAAACCATGATTAAATATGACGGTGTTAATTGTAGTCCTTCCGATAATGTTCCTGTAACAGTCTATATTTTACAATTAATATATTGCGGTTCAACTGTGACTGCTTGTTATCTACAGAATTATACTTATATTCAAGTAAGCGAATTGAATTTTATATTATTCATTGTCAATATACATTAAATTTTTATTATTATAAACCACGTTTTCAGGTACTATATCACGAAGAAATAAGAGAATTTTTATCATCAAAAACTATTTTTTTCCAATGCGAATATTTCGGATTGCCAGGAAATTATGCGGTCAGATTGAAAGCATCGAATGTCAATCCTACAGCACCAAATACAAGTGTTTATTTCAAGGTAATTAATATTGTACAATTAAAATGATTAGCTTTTGTAAGCCTCCCCTATAATTTTTCTTTTTAATTATAGGTAAATTGGTCAGAAGAATTTAAATTGACAGTCCATGCAAGATCGATATATCCTTGCGAGGGATCAGGAGGTGTGTCCGTCCTTTTCGAATATCCTTCTTGTCGACTGGAAGGTGATCGTGTTCGCGTTTACGGACGTTTAAAGGCTGACGTTACATCCGTTGCTTCACCCTCAACTCTTCATTACATTACGGAATCTAGATCGATACCTGGCAAACACTCGTTGGCCTTTGACTGCGATTTTTTTACAGAAAAATTTGTTGAATATTGTTTCATCTATGTCAGTCAAGCTATCACAGGTGCTATGGTGGACGTTAAGATATCTTGTATACCCACATTTCCTTTTCAAGGTATATTTCATTCTTTTTTTCTTCACAATTAATATTTTAATATCATATTTCTACTATTTGATCAAGTCATCCGTCAATCGCACATTATTGATTCATTTATTTAGAAGGTGATGCCGCTGGATGGGGACCATGGAGTCCTTGGAGCCCATGCAGTAGCTCTTGTTTCGGAGGTATTCGAAATCGCTATCGTTTTTGTGATACTCCTCCACCAAAATATGGGACAAAATTTTGCCAGGTAAATCGATTGTAACAATTATATACGTGAACGTTTCAAATGAAATTCATTGAAATTACAGGGAAATGCGATAGAAACTGAATTCTGTGGCAAAGGATTTTGGGAGGAGTCCGGTACAAAAGAATGGCAGAATCAAATTGAATATTCCGAATGCCACGGTGCGGTTTTAGCCGCGACCAAGCCTGAAGTTGTGGCTGAGATTGGATTACAGTGTCGATGTGGATGCCGTGTTACATTGAAGGAACAATTTACCAGAAAGATATTAGGAGCTAATACTCAAGCATGTCCTGGCAGATCTTTCTGGCTTTTACAGGTACCGGTAAATATAGACACCCCTTCCCCTATACATTTTCTTAATTAAGGGAAGCCTACATTGCGCTTCCTTTAGCTAAGGGTCAGAATAAAGGAAGGAGCTTATTACCATTTGCTTCTGATTTTAGAAAAGTAACTTACAACTATTCTTAGATTACAATAACGCTTGATTCGATTTCTTTAGGCGGATACGAATTTTGTAATAGGACTACATTTAAATCAATTACAATTTCCTTGCCCGGGACAGTACTTTCGTGTTCGAGATGGCAATTCTCTGAACGCGGATCTTCTGATCGACGTTACCTCTGATAAGATACACCACACTGCAAAAACGTTAATAAGTTCTGGAGAAAATTTATTGTTGGAATTTTTTAGCGACGAACTTACAGCATCCGGGGATGCGTGTATCGGTGGTTTCCTTGCTCATGCAGCTGTACTAGGTAAAGTTTATTTATAAAGTAGTTAGACGATTGTTACTGTTTGAAAAATTCATTACAGATAAAAAATACTTAAAAAGAAATGGAAGTGTAACCGTTGTGCCTTTTGAAGTCAATTCAACGAACGTTGAAAAAGAATGGATCTTTTGGAAACCAGCACACTTAGTAACTGCCTTACTTTTGATACTGATATTCATAGTTTCTATCTTTTTGACATTGCAATTTGTCATTAAATACCGAAAGTATCGTATAGCTGAAGATATGGATAATCTCAGCGACGTTTCTGGTAAAAATAATCTTATTCATTATAAAATCATTAATTTAATAATACATTGCTACTTGATAATTTGTTTCTTACGATCAGAGGTAACGCCTGGCCGATCAAAATGTTTGTCTACGAGTACGCTTATTTCTGAAGTGTTCTCAATGATAGAAACTACCACAAAGAGTTCTCCGAAAGAAGTTTTACGTAGTAGTACAGTAGAGCAGTATAATAGTACTGAAACTTTGACTGGGTAAGAACTGTGATAAAATGATTGAATTCAAAGCAAGTCACAAAATTAACAAACACTATTTTTTTTAAATACAGTTACAAGGAAGAGTCTACCCTAAGTTCCAGTACATTAAAACTGAATAATACAGTTGAAACTTCTTCGGATGAAACAGTCACATCAATGAAATCAGACTGTGATAAATTATTATCAGCTTCCAGTATTGTTTATAACAAGCCTGAAGTGAAGTATGCTTATCCTGTAAGGTGGGTTAAATTTATACTGTTTAAGTTAACAGCGGTTTAAGACTTTAAATTTCTGACGATATACAGGTTGCAAAGAATAGATTATAATGCCTTGGAAGGAAAGATATTAAAAATAGAAAATGAAAAATTAGAAGATAGGAGCAATGATACCTTAAAGATTTATCAGAACAATGGAATGAATTATTCTGAAGGAAAGGTAAAAATTCTCCACACAAATATGTATAAAATGTATAAGATACAATGATCTTTTTATTATGTAGGAATCTTCTCCTGAAAGTACCGTTTCGAGTTCATCGAATTCAGGAGGTGGGAAAGAAACTAAAGAAAAAAGAAACCGTGAAAAACTTTTACAAGGGCCAGGATCAGAATTTAGTTTAACGAATCTTGATTCAGAATTAGAATTAGATTATTATGATTATAATGTAGCGAATGCGAGTGCTGTTCCTGGCTCTTATTTAGGAATGGACCCTGCATTTCTAGTCTGGATTCCACCTATTGACGACATAAAACTTGATACAGAAGATTTCCTCTTAGGGTAATTAATCATTTATTTTCAGTTAATTACTCGATTCTTAGTGTCACCAATCGTATAAAATATTCATCTATTAATAGCAACAAAAGGGATTCCATTTTAACTCTTGAAACTGAAGGTATAGCGCTAACACCTTCTGAATATAGAAGAATGAAACTCTCTACCTTTGATGACTTTAAACTTGAGTTAGACCCAGGGTGAATATTAAAGGAAATATATTTATATCATATTATTAATACAAATTAATTAACTGTTTGTATGTTAATAGAGAAAAATATTTTAAGAAGGATGAAAAAACTTGCCAAAATTTGGATTATGGAAGCTTAATGAAAGATGAGATTTCTGGAACTACCAGAACAAGAACTTTTGAAAAATTACTTCCTATTCAAAAGCTGTTAGAAGATTCTAGCATTAAAGTGAGCATGGAATCTGTATCTAGTGTTCTTGAACATAAGCAATATTGTGTTATTCCAAACAGAAGGTAAGATTATAGTAAAAAATATACAAGAGTTCTCAAAATACTTTTGTATTAATTACCCCTTTCTTTCTCATAGGGTTTACATAGGTAAAGATGAGGAATCAGTTGAGAAATCTAATTCTCCTAAAAGCATCCTTGCTAGTCCTATAAATATGCTTGATAGCAGTGAGAATAATAAAGAGAAATTCAATTCTCCTTCGAATAAAGTTTTGCAAAAGGATTTGCTTAAAATAACACAAAGTAATTCGAATCAAAGGAAAATTTCGAAAACTCAAGAGGGCGAATTAACGAACATATCTTGCACTTATAAAGAATTAATGGCGTGCACCCAATCATTTACAAATGTACAAGATACGGTAAATATTCCGATGACCGAATTGTCAGGTAGTCCTTTAAGAAATATTACACAGGTTCAAAAAAGAGAGACTGATGTCTCTTTAAATATTCAGAACTCAGATTGTGGTATAGAAGCACTTTGTATAAAGCAGGGTTCTCTTTATGATCAAAACATTAAATTTGTTGATGATGACGATGACGACGATTACATTGGTTAAAACTTACATAAATTTATCTTTTTTCCCTTTTGATAATACCAAAGACATTTCTCTTCTGATATAAATTTATTTTTATTCCAAGCGTAAATTTGATTAGCCTTAGATACTTTATTTAAATATATATTTTCCGTTATACCATTGTGATATTTTTACAAAGACGTTAAATTTCTTAAGTATAGTCTTTTAAATTTTAATTTAAAAATATTCTCAAAAGTCTTCAATTTACTTTTTCATTTTCTTTAAAAAATGTGCAATTGTACATAACTTTTTAACATGTAATTACTAGCACAGTACAAATGATATGATATAGCACAACTATCAAGGAAATCTACTTTTTACTTATACATTTGTATAATATAAAAAATATCTAATCTAAGTCAAAATTATACTAATATATAAACTGGTGGATTTACAATCCTATATTGATTATAATATTTGTTAATATTAAGTTTCATTAACAGACATAACTAATAAAACTGATGTTCAGTTATAGTTTAATCTATTTGCCATGCTTATGTATACGTATCTTTTAAATATTAATTTCAACTTTCATTTGGTGATTATCAGCATTCAATATATCTACAAGTATATTATTTTGCTTTGTAAGCAAAATAAAAATGCTTGTGTGTAATAATGTAAAAATTATTAATTAAATAGCTTTTGTAATATATTAAAAAAAATGTAAATAACTAATATTGTAATTATGAACTATTATCACATTTACTTAAGATTTTATAAAAACTTTATATATATTTTATTGTAATTTATTATAACGTATTTATTACAATCTTTATTGTAGATTAATATATATACGATTAAGGCAAAATTTTTGATAAATGTCATCTTAGATATTAATAAAAATGCTAAATAAACTAAAACTTCGATTAGTCAAAAGTTTTTTTTTACATTTTAATTACCAACTTGATTATATTAATTATATTTTACATTTGAATGCTGTTTACAAGTGGATATCTTTTATAACTACAATTTCATAATATAAAGATGTAATAATACGTATACTTTTAGTACCATGTTAGGCAAATATTTCATTGTATGCTAATTTGAGTTAGAAGATTGAAGCAAAAACTTAACAATTTAATTTATTTAATACAAACCCGTGATTGAACACTGTGTTGTTGCTATAAGAATTTATTGTTGTATGAAACTAAATAAATATGTTTCTTAATAAACGAATATGCATCATCGGTATTTTGTTTGGTCAGTTTTTCAATCGCCATTAGTCATCCCAATATTAAAACAATGTAAAACAACATTTTTGTTTATTTTAAACTAATAATTACTCGAAAAATACTCACTTTCAGGTGATCTAATGCATTTTTCCAATAAAATATTGTCAAGCCAGAAGAAACGAAACTATTACACGGTGAACCATTTTGAAGGATCGATATATCGATATAACTGAAATATCAAATATTCGATTTTTCAAATTTCTTCAATTACTATTTTAAAAGAGAAGATTGCACAAAATAGGTATAAGAAATATACATTGATCACAACTGTATTTAACGTACAGTAATTGTGCTAAACTTCCTTTTTTGATTAATGCATGTAAAGAATTAATTTCCTAATATACGTGAATAAATTTCTATAAGACGCGAAGCTATTCGCGTGTAACGTGAATTTGATATCATGACATTTTGATTAGTAAAAAATGTATGAAAATGTCTCATTTATTAATTTCGACTGTCAACGAAGTGTCTGGTTGAGTCCAAATATAGCCAGTCCGTGTCATGCTGCAATGTGCATCATAATATCTACCAGGAGCACGGCAATAAGACCATCTTGGACAACGACATCGAAATTTACTGTGAAATTCTTCTTTACACACTTCGTTCCACCAACAAGTTCTCTACGTAACAGAAACTTGATGTACCTTTTGTTTTATAAAGACTGTGAAAAGGAACATTTTTAACCTGTTTACTATTTATTTACCTCAGCCAAATAACCTCTTACGCTTTGATCACTATAATTTCTTTTCTTAATCAGATGTCTCGCGCTTGTCGTGTATACTTCTACGCATACAACTAGTAATAGTAATACATATAATGCTGATCCTTCCTGTAAAATAATCAGTTAATTTGTAACGTTCCTACTGTTCGTTCAGTTTTAAAAAGTCATGCTTCGAAAAAGTTTTAAAAAGTAATGTATAAATGAAACATATCATGAAAGAGAATTAAAAAATATTGAATGAACAGTGAATGTAAATAGATCGTTATACTGCAGCAATATAATGAACTTTGAATATCTTTTAAGCGTACATTTCGTCTGTCAAAGTATTTTCTTCGTATCACGTCAACTTACGTTGTAGCGCATTGTTGTAGGCTTTATTTTGTTGTGTAAATCTACACAACCACCCTTAAAATATTACATTAATAAATATCACAGAACAAGGTACATAATTCGTTTCCAATACTGTACGTTTCGTATAAGCACTTGAAATAAAAGGGTATATAGAGAACGCACGCGGCGCATGCGTACGCTTATTCTTCTTTCGTATTTGCGAATCGATCGTTCCTTAAATTTCAATTTTTCACTACTAAAGAAGAGATTTAAGTTTAATTTATAATTTTATGACGTAAAAGTGCCGTAAAATGGTACTTATGGCATATCAATTTAAAGTTTAAACCTTAATGAAGATGATCGCGTAGACGCTTCATTAATATTTCTAATAAAAAATGGCTGAATGCCAATTACAGTAAACGTTAACTATAATTGGCAATTTTTCGTTTCTTTCATTTAATATTTTATGCGTTATTTTATATAATTAGGCTAATATTTGATGTTAGAGAAGCTTTTACTTGCTCTAAAGGTTTCACCCTTTGCATGTAAATAGCAGGAAGGGTTTTGACTATTTTACTTATTTTCCATGTGTACAACACACGGAATATGAAATTTGTTATTTTTATATTTTAAAATATTAATTTTATACATACATGTATATTCAGTACAATTTTAATGCACGAAATTTATTTCAACAAGGACCATTTCAGTTGTTCCTTTGCAGATTGCAAAACCTAGAACAAAAATAAAGTTTAGTAACACAAATGAAAATCGTATGAAATGATTTCGTTAATTCAGTCTTCTAAAATCATAAAAACTTACAATCAGAGACTGTGCGAAGCATGTAGAATGATGCATGAACACAAAATAAAAAAATCGAAAAGGTTTCTACGTGGTAAATGGACATAACTTTGCTATGCCATTAAATCATTTAAACATGTTATATGTTTAATTTAATTTCAAATATTACCTGTGCAACTGTCTGCTCTCCAAGTGGAATATCATCAGTCCTTAATGCTACCCTCTGAACAACACTCGAGGCATCAGCATCAAGAATAATTCTAAAAAAACATTACAATATTATAAATTTTTTTCCTGCTAATAACAGGAAATTATTAAGCAAACACTGTGTATGTTTGATTTCTTTAACATTTTTCATTTACCCTCCATCACAAATTTCATCCATTGCTAACATAACTATGTCCAAGCTATCTAGAACGGCTCTTTTTTCAACATTTTTTCTCAAGATCTGACTAACTGAGTCATATAAACAATTTAGGACACTCATCAAAATAAGCTGAAATAAAAATACAATTTTGTTAATAAAAAAATATTACTCAATGTTTATGTAATTGAATATGTAAGAATTATGAACACCTCATTTTCATGGGAGCTTCCCATAACATAGAAGAATAAATCTACATTACTCCTATAAACACAGGTTAAACCATCCAACATAATAATTTCTGCATTTGCCCTGTGGGTTTTATTGAAAAGATTTTTCTCAAATGTTTTTTGCTCCTTTGACGTGGGAAACACATTTTTGTCATAATATTTAGCTAATATTCTGTTGCCATCGTTATCCAGGATGGCCATACCCTTAACGGTGTAAAGCGTGGGTTCCTGCGATTACATATTTATATTAAAACAGAGAGCTGAAAAATTTCTTTTCCATATATGCACCCATGTAATAATCAAACGAAGTATTTAATAATCACGCATGCTATACATTGAATTTTCATATAGGTTAGGAAACACTCATTCAATTATTGTTTGAATAAATGATAATAAATGGAAACAAATATGGAAAACAAACTTAAAATCAATTGAAATCATACGCGTTGTTGAAAATCGCGTTCCTGGTCACTTTGAGGCATCGGAGAAAGGTTATGTTGCGCGACTTTTGATGATCCACCACGATTCATGATTAAGTTTGCACGAAACAATACTTACATCAAGAATATATTATTAAAAGGTGCACATTACTGTGAGATCTGTATAAAAAAACGTATGACGACTATTTAAAAAAAACCTACCAATAGCTGACCATCCATGTTTACGTCAAACTTGACGCGTCAAGATCACAGACTACGCGATTCGAGTTGAGATCTGATTTTATCATCTTGATAAAACGGATACCATAAGGATTTGTAATTTCTTTATTGTTTCATATTTTCAAACTTCTAAATATCTTTTAGAAATATTATATACAAAAGTCTCTGAAACATAGAAACGTTTCCATTCGTTATTTACATTTTTATGTTGATAATATTTTATAATTTAAATGATTTGATAAATAATTAGTATTTCACAAGATATGTTCTATCGTTGAATAAATAATACACTTAGGATACATTTATTATTATGTAAATAATACTAAGTAATTATAAATAACTTTAACTTTTAATTGCTTCTGGATCTTTTTTCTTTTTTATCATGTTTGAATATTGGCGTAAAAATTCAGGTCCATCCCAATAGCCACTGTAAATTTGAAATATGCCAAATTACATACTTGCCCGTCAATGAATGATCGTAATTGTAGTAAACTTACCGTGTCATTAAATTCCAATATAAAATAGGAAAACCATACGCTTTAAGTAGGTACGTAAAGTAATATTCACGACCCTGATCTACTGGGAACGTTTCTAATGGTTGTAAATTATAATCGAATTCGGCTAAAATACATTTTCCGTAACCAGTAACTAAGGGACAAGAAGAGTAACCATTGTAAGCCATAATCGTTGGTTTACCGGCCAGATCATCCATAATATTTTTATACAATACTTTGCCCTGGGCAGCTGAAAATAAATTTCAATAAAAATTCTGTTCCGTAACAAGAATCAAATATAATAGTACCTATTGCTGCCATAGTTTTGGAATTTGGGGTGCTGGTGCAATCTCCAATTCCATATATATTTGGATATTTCGTATGTCGTAGAGTTTTAGGATCTACAGTCAAAAATCCTGTTTCGTTCGTTAACGAAGAATGTCTTATCAAAACGTCAGGTGGACCCATTGGAGGGCACACATGAAGTAATGAAAACTAAATGAAAAAAATTGTTGTCAATTAAATTCTTATACATAATATACAAATGTGTGAATGTATTTAACAAAATCAAACCTTCTGGACGAATGTTTCGTTCGAGCCATCTAATTTCTCGAACACAGCTTCCTGTTTAGCTGAATCTATTTCAATCAGATTTGTTTGAAGATTTACAATAATGTCCCTTTTTTTACAAACACCCCAAAGTGAATCAGCATACTTCTTGACACCAAATATTACTGGTAAAGCTGTGTTATACACAACTTTTACGTTGTTACGGACTTTTTTCTTCTGAGAAAATAAATGTTAATATAGTATGTAAAATAACATTCAGAACAGAACTAAGAAGATAATCCAAATTCACCTTGCGCAAAAATTCCTCGGCGATATATAAAATTTTCTGGGGTGCTCCTGGACATTTAACTGGACTGTTTGGATAGGTGAATATCGCGGTACCATCGGTAACCCTTGAAATCTTGCTGAATACATGTGGTACAGTCTCTGGTCCGTAAATGGAACACACTTTTGACAAACCATCCTGAAGACTCTTTACTAAACCTGGTATCTAAAATAAACATAAAAGACAATTCGTATGTGTTCATTGATCAAAAAATATAAAAATTTTGTCCAACCTCACTTTTTCCCAATGTAATTGCAAACCCACTGCAACAATCATGATTTCATACTGCACAGTATCTCCATTGCTCATAGTTATTTGATTCTGTTCAGGTGCAAAGCTCATTACACTTTCTTTCAGCCAGGTAGCATCTTTTGGTAAAGTATCTTTCATTGCTTTTTTTGAAGCTTCATAAGATCTCAAACCACCACCAATCAAAGTGAACATTGGTTGATAAAAGTGTACCTAAAAAATATCAACGTGACTGAATTAAAATGGAAATTTTAATTGCTATAATAAAAAATGTATTACCGGACTTGGCTCCACTATGATCACTTTTTTGGGATCTTTGAATGTGTTTGCAAATTTTGCAGCCATACTACAACCTCCAGTTCCACCTCCAACTACTAACACTTTACACCTGTAATGTTAGTTCATTCGCAAGAATGATATAATTACTACATTTTCGAAACATGTTACTTAGTAAATGATTTATATAACAATTAATGTTACTCACGAATAATGGTTACTTCTGTATACATTTTTCATTAGTATATTCCTCTTGAATGGTTCAAAATTGCATTCACTTAAGCAAGACAGAATAGAACGGATACCTTTAGTGTAATTCATTTCTGAAATCAATTAAAATGACAAATTTTTTAAATAAATGACCAATATACATGTGACTAAATAAAAGATATACTTCTATTTAGAAGGTGCGATAATTATGAATAAAATGTGATAACGAGTTACCTTATATTCGGACGAAAGTGTCAAACGTGGTCAAACGTAAAGTACGATTAAAATTGTTGACTTCGATATTGAAATGATTTCCAAAAATTATCATAAATAGTATTTAATTATTTACTTATTTGATCAGAGATAAATGTTACGTAGCCAAATTTGGTCAACAAGCCGGTTTCTTCGTAACATTCACTCTAAAATGTACCCAAAGAGATAACTACCATGTAGTGGTCTACTGCGTTTATAACCTCATAACACAGCACATGCGCAAATTTGAATTTCGAAAAAGCGCCTGCACTTAAAAATGAACAAGAAACAAAATCGAAGGAACCGAAAACGAAAGGGATCAAGAAAACGGGAAACACCTGAAAATTCGTTTTAATCATTCTTTTGCTTCTCTCTTTATTGAGGATAACTTTTTTTAAACGCTGCCCGAAACTAGGCAAGCTTATCTCAAATCCCAAAAGTCGTCAGTCACGAAAGTTTAAAGTAAAAAGGTTTTGTATTTCATTAAACTTTTTTTTAAAAACTAAAATACCCATATTCAAGATTAATTTCTTTTCTTCGCAAAATTAACGATTGCACTCGTAATTGGAAGAATTATTGGCACCTTTTTAATCGTAAGGCGAGATCTAATACTTCCAAGAAATAAAAAATTTGTATTTAAAAAATGTACAGTTCCGAACTGAATATACCCAGAATTAGTCGTTTCGCTCTTCGAGTGAACGTACTTAAAAAAATTCACCTTTCATTCATCAAGAAAACAAATTTTTAAACGATGGTTAATCACGGCTGAGGACTTCCGAGATCGAGCGTGTATCCACGATCCGCAGCACGATGGCATGCGCGTGAAATACAAATGCACGACTTGCAAACGATAATAATAAGTATACACTCTCCACGAATCGTCGTTTCAGTTTAAGTCCTTAAGAATAAATTTATTTACATCGCGGACACGATTCCTTCGGTTAACTCCCGTTCGTCCCTTAAGAGAGAGAGAGAGAAAAAAAAAAAAAAGAAAAAACCCTTCATCTTTCATCTCGATCGAATTCGTGTGCATTTCTATTTTACTTTTTTTCGCTTCTCGAACAAAGAAACGGAAACTGCTTTCACTTGCAAACGTATCGTTTTCGTTCCCTTCTTTCTTAGGAGTACAACTAAATTTTTCTATAACAACTTTATCAAGCAAATCCGTTTCGATCTTCGACAGAAGATTCGGCGACTAACAAACGTTCCGTGTTTCGCCACTTCTATTTTATTTTAATAATTCATTCTTTCACTTTCTTTCCGTGTCGCCGAACGATGAACAATTGTGTTACAGATACACACATTATTCGAAAACAATTAGCAATAAACGTCGCTTGTACCACACAGCCAAGAGAATACTTAAGAGAAAAATAACAACTAATAACGAACCAGTGAAAGATTCGAAGGGATATGAAAACGGAGAGAAACTTGTCTGAAGGAAGAAATGCTCGATAGAATCTCGTTTCAGAGATTTAATAGGTACATTTCTAAGTTAAAGTTACGATTGCTCTCGGCTACGGGACAATACGAAAATACATATAATCGGCGTGATAAAATAGGCTCGTCGATCTCTCCACTTATCGTAATAAGAATAAAAAATATTCCTTGCAATATTGTTCGACGAACGACGAGCGTAACGTGTATTTTATCGCGCCGAGAAAGCTTCGGAACATTTATTGCTAACACGCCTTTTGTTATGTTTTTTTTTTTTTATCTTTTCTTTCGTTGAACAAACGCTTTGAAAAGGCATTTGACAGTCGAATACAATTCTAAAGTTACATTCGATCGACTTATCTTTATAATCAATAAATACAATTTCTTCGTGCACGTTCCTGAACGTTGGTACGCAACCACGATATGCACAATACAGAAAGAACGACGAAGAATGGCTAATTGCGTGAATTTCAGATATCTCTTCACGAAAAACACAATACAGGCGTTTCACAGTTTCGTTCCTCTTCTCATTGATACTTTGCGTTCTTATCGTGTTATCATTATCATTGTTGGATGTTATTTAGAATAATCGTTATTTATGTTATCGATATTAAATGTTAATGTTAATAATTATGTAACGAGAGCAGGTTCGCGTTGCTTTTAGACAACGCGACAAACAAATGCTCGGTACGAAACATGCGTGAAAACCAGTGATAACATTTTTTTTTTTTTTTTGGATACAGTACGCACGGCCGTTCGCAATTGTGGTATTTTCTTCTTAAAAAATAATACCTACTATGCGGAGGATAGAATCGAGTATTTAAACTTGTGTGTGTATGTGTATGTGTCGCTAAATATATGCGCAAGATTCATGGTACTTTGAACGAGTGAAGAAGACAATATTAATATAATAACGTAGTAGTCTCATCGTTTCATTGCGCGTCGTACTGCAACAACTTGTACCATTGTGTTTTTTGTTTTTTTTTTTTCGTTTTTTTAATTTTGTTACCATTTTGTCTGTCTTGTTTTGTTTCTATATAGATTAATCGTAACGTGTGGCGTAACGCGATCGTGTAACCGTTGTGTGTCGAGTCATTCATTTGGTTTATTTTGGCATACAAAATAATTTTATTTACAGTCTGACGATAATATTATTAATTATTTACCTATAGTCCTTTAATGCTAAAGTGGCGGATAATATAGTTTCAATTACGTACTATATTATGCGGTCTTCGGCTATTTACATAACAAAAACGGCACGAATAAATATCATTGGACAATGGACCAAGTTTTTCTTTCAGTGTGCATTTACTCGCACAAACGATTCGTTGGTAAGGGACACGCGGATCCGTAGAAAACTGTTCGAGACGAATGAAAACTAGCTAGGGAACAGCCGAAATGATATCTATACGATTAACAATTATGAATCTTTATATATACATTGATTGAAACGAGTGGATTCATCAATTTTTGAATCCATAATTCGACACGTTTACGATAAAAGGGAACGAAAGCTTGTTAAATGCATGATGATATGTAAAAAGAAAGCACGAAAATCGATCGGTTAAAAATGATGGATAAAAAAAAAAAAAAAAAAAGCAAAAAGAAAATACGCGTACAATGATTGAGCTCTTTCGATTCATCGATAAAGAACGTCGTACACAGAGCATTTGTGCTTCTAATCCACTGAACGTGTAAAGAAAAACTTGCCTAGATATAAACGTACACAGATATTACTATATTCTAATGTTCGACTCGTTGATCCTTCGATCTATTTAAAGAACGTCCCTGTCTAACGAATCGATCGACGATCAATTTAATATTAAATTAACGGCGTATAGTCTTGCGCTTTCTCTATAGAAAAGAAAACGTGGCAGTTGAACGGGATAAGAAATAGAAAGATAAAGATCTGGTAGCCCTAGGGATGAAATTAAAAAATAACATGCGTGTACTTTCAACTAAATATTATACTATAAAAATGACGGTATAAATCAGAGACAACTTGGAGAGAATATCAGAACTTTGAAAGATCCTAAGGGCCACCTTGATACGAGACGTATTCTTTCAAGTATTCGCATCTCGTTGAGAGAAAAGAATTCGTCTGATATCTTATAAAACGTACAGATACAATAAAGAACAATGTATAGTGGATGCACAAGGTTTAGTGAAAATCAGTCACGTAATCCAATGACCCGGGACGAAGTGAAGTTTGCTTTCTCCTTAACTAATCGTGTACCTAATTTGACCTGAGTAAGAACATTATTTGGTAATTATATAGAACAGAATAAAGTTTGATGATATCAATAGCTTAATGTAAATTATAAATATCAATGTTCCAAGTATTTTTTCGTTAGGATCTCCGTAACTTTGATGTTTACTCTTACATTAATAAATAAAAACTAAAATTCCTATCGAACTTTTTAATATACCGTTATCCCCAGAAATTGGAAGCATTTCAGGCATTATATTAAAAAGTAATTACTCGACTATCAAAGTCGTATAACTATCAAAATAAAAATTATGTGTATAATCAAATTACTCGAGACATTGAATTTTATAACATACGGGAAGTTGATTAAAAATCAGCCAAGTTTATCCTATTCTATATCAACCATTATTTCTCTTTTTTCCGTACTCGCGTTCTACTCGAAAGCATTATAATCGCTGTTTGAATTACGTTAAAACTTTGGCCAACGTAAAAGGCGCCAGCAAGCTTTGAATCTTCCTCGGTTGATCTTCGAGCAAAATCGCAAGAACTTTCCCTCGTCGTGATTTATATATATATATATAGTCGAGAAGAACTCCTCTTGATCATCTAGGATGATAAAACGAGGACGACGATGAAAACTGCGTGATTCCATCGAGTCTCGACACACGATAAACGAAGAAACTGGATGAATTCCTCTTCTTCGAGGCGGGTCAGGTCACTTCGGAGGGCTTCTGCGACACTTTTCTTTTTTACCAATATCCTCTTCTACCGACATCCGGATACTACGAGGTGTGAGAGTGCTGGGACTGCGAGAATTTGCTGGAACTTTTGTGGTGGCTAGACGTGTGTTTTTCCTGAAAATACAAGCAGAGCTGTGATACTCAATTTCTAAAAATATCGAAAGAAATAAATGAGAAGAGATTGAAAGAAACAGTAGATCCATAACTGGTGTTGCTCGAGTTGATTCGAACCGAATTAATAAATTATCCTCTCGGCTCCAGTTTCCATTTGCTATGGAAAAATGTGTAAAACGCGAATGATAATGAACCGATCGCTTCTCGTGTTTGCGTTTGTAGTAATTAATGAATGAATTACTCGCACGATTATGATATCTCTGTCACGTGTAACTATGAAAATAGTTATCAATGAGCTTGAAAAATGAAACGATTCGAACGCGAAGGATGTTACTCTGATTTTCATTATATTCCTAATTAACCCTCTCGGATGGCGGATCCAATGTACGATTCAAAGTATAAATTAAATTCAATTTCAATTTTCACGACTTCACGAGCGATCCGACCACCTCTATAGAAGAGTTAACAGGTTTATAATTATAAATTTTTAATCTATCACCCCTGATGGCAGTCGATCCATGAAACTTAACGTGATGCAGCTACGAAAGAGAACCGAATGAAACGGAAAATAAACGCATGCATATTACAAGAAGAAAAGCTTAGCTAACGCGCGCATGCTCATGCAAATATCACACAATACACAATACATTCGTGACAATCAACAAGAACAATAACTATAAAACGTCGATTCGCAATACCCTCCACCAAGCGATTCAAATCAATTAACAGTAAATTAATCCGTGTATATGATGCATACAAATGATGACTTTTACATATGATAATAATCGTATTACATACTGATAGCTGTGATAATTGTATAAATGTTAGTACACAAAAAAGATGCGGCGATATGGTGTGCGATATTATATATCTAAATATATGTATGTACGTATACACGTACGCCCATACATACACATTAATCATTTACATAAATGCATATAAAAATGTATGTATGTATGTACGTAAACGCGTTCATGGTGTGTGTTAAGAAAAGAGACAAAATAATCACTAAGGTACTTTTCGTTTCCATAGAACGTTTATTTGCTGATGCTTATTTCTTTTCTTGATCGAACACCTGACGCGTACGATACCTGTTTTCTATGATGATTTATAACAATTGAAATATTCTCCTAAACACCCGCGTTACTTAATAAAACGAAGTATATTCGATGATTTCTAAGCTGATGAAATATCATGATAAAAATATAACATCTCTCTCTCTTTTTCTTTTTCTTTTTATATAAACTTTGTAGATGAAAATAAATGAAAAATGAATGGATAAAATGATCGTTACGACTGGTCCACCGTGTTGTAAGTCTAAACGCAGGTGTTTATCATAGATAATTAGGCAGGTAACGTACGCGACAAGTGATCGATATACATTGTGTACAGTATTGATGCAGTGTTCGCAATGTTTTACACATCTCCTGTCCCTCTTTTTATAAATCAAACATTACGTCAATTTTGTCCATATCACTCAATCGCTGGTCACATACGTGGGCTTCGTATTTTTTATTATCACTATCGTGTATATATAATATCTTTCTTTATATATATTTATATATATATATAAAACTCTCTTTTCATTTCTCACTATCGGAGAGTACAAAACCTACATTAATTTACCTTAGCAATTATTTTGTCTTCGTACGACTCGTACAATTGCACAGTTCATTTTTTTTTCTTTTTTTTTCTTTTTTTTTTTTTTAAACTAGGCCGATACCGTTTACGTTCTCTCGTAGGTTCTTTTCTTTTTTCTTTTTTAATTATTTTTATCTTTTTTTTTTTCACACCGCACACAAATCCTACACACTTGCATCTCGCGTTTCGGAATGGTGCTTCGATATTTTCGTTTTCGATTCGATTGAAACATATCCAGGAAGAACAAACACTAAATTGCACTGTTTCACTTTTAATTTAATTAATTAATTCTTCCTGAATGTTTTGCCCCTGGGGCACGATGCAGACTTATTTTAGGATTGTTTCTAAATTTTCTTCGACGAACAAAGGTATGTAACATCCTTTCGAAAAATAATCTCTTCTGTGAAAATTTCTCTATTCAAATATTAATGTAATTATCCAAACAAATTATTATCGAAAAATTCATTGTTTGGTAATTGAATTTAGACGACGATCATAGCAATCACACAGTACACATGTAAATGGTCTATTAGTTGAAAATACTACGTTGCGACGATATAACTATAACAATAACAAACAATGACATCGATGCGCTAATAAACGCCTAGCGATCAAATATATTCTTGTCCGTCACAATGGCAAATCACATTTAACACACGCTTTTACAGAACTCGCGTGTTGCGTGTAAAATATAAACGCAATCTTAATAGATTCATATAATATATAGCTTTTTTTATTTTGTAATATATTAATCACGCTATCTCTCGCTTCTTTTTTTTCTTCTTCAACACGTTCCTGAGATAATATCCATTCTACATTCAATGATTATTCTTACTTTGTTGTACATACATATATATTATAAATATATATATATATATATATATTGTCAATGACGTGAATAAATTGATAAAAAGAAAAGAAAATCTATACGCGTCACGGTATACTTTAAATAAATATAAAAAACAAACTACGTACACTCAAAGAGGCTCGACAACGTTTAATCAACCGATCATCTCATCGAATCGTTGACAACTGAAAAATTCATTGTTTTCTTATCGGATAAACACTCGATCAGTCGTAATCTTGAAAATTTTCAAAAAGAAGAAAGACTTGTTCACGCGTTCACGTACAGGTACTTGAAATTCGCATAAGCGGCTTCAAATTGTAAAAATAACAAAGAGTATGTACTAGTAGTTGAATAATTACATCCAGTTTTTCGTTAACTGAGAAAACGACCGCGTGAACCAACTGTAAAGAACTAATGGAAAAAAGAAATTAATGAATCTACCAGTCGTGGTCTAATAACGAGATTTCATAGTAATTTTATGTACAGTATCGAGCATGATAAAAATCCCTAGGGAAGATGGGGATGTTCTGCCTCTTTGCCTATAGGGTTGCCGAGTTCCGGCCCCTTGCCGTAGGCAACCCTTTCTCCAATTTCAGGCCCCTGGGCGTAGCTAACCCTTTCTCCAATTTCAGGCCCCTCTCCGTAGGCAACCCTTCCTCCACTTGCGGAGCCCCTTGTCTTAGGCCACACTTTCCCCGGGTCCTCGACCCTTTCCGCGGAAAATTTAAATGCTCGATACTGTACAAGCTACTATTTCTCATATCGTTATTATTTTATGAAAGAATACGAGCAAATCGACGTCGATAAAGAAAAAGGAAATTTATAGAAGAGTTGCACCTCTTTTTCCCAGTTACTGCAAAATTATTTAACCACTGTAATGCAATATTTTCTTTCAATAACCCTTTGCTCTCCTCTGCAATCTTATACGTTCATCTGAAAACGTACGCAAAGTTCATGGGGTCAAGTATGGCCGTTTCGATGCTTAGAATAAGATTAATCAACACTCAACGCGAATAAGCGTAGTCAAAATTAATTTGGTTAGATGAATGTTCGGATCGCAAAGGGTTAATAGTTATACAATTTGTTAATTTCAACAAAACTGTATGTATATATACCTTTACAAATACGTACACTTGAAATTCACACGAATAATTACACTTATGCTCTGAGCATTCTCGCCGCTTCATTTTGTATACGATATACATCTTATATCCTTTTTTTTTTTTCATTTTCTATATTTTTTTTTTCTTTTTGTTCTTTAAGTAACCTTGTAAGTTTCTATAGCCATTTACCCGTTTGAAAATCGACGATCCGATTCCACGATAAACGCAACACTCCGCACACCGCCGTTTCATCGAAACCCTTTGCCAGCAAAGGAATATCTTTCTGTTAATTCATTTATGCTATAACACAGAGAAAGAAAGAAAAAAAAAAAGAAAGCTAATCTCTCTCTTTTTCGTTTGTTGCTTTCAAAGGATTGAGCATTCCGTTAATTAAAATCTATCAACGTTTGACCGTAAGCGCAAAACATGATTTTCCATTTTCATCTTCGATCTGGCAGTTGCGTTCGATCTTCACGAAAACGACGTTCTTTCTTCAAGTTAGAGCTACTTTTCGAGAAAAAAAAAGATACTCCTTAAAATATGAAGGGTACGTAAAAGTTTCCATCATTTACGATACCACGTGGCTTAATAATCGATCGCACACAGCGATCGACTATTTTAATTTATTAAGAAATAAAACGACGGAAACCTTCGAGTATCCCTGATATAATTAATGAATTGAAAATTCATTCAGAAGAAACGTTAAACGCGTTCGTAATCAGACGAAACGATCCAATTACCATTAATCCCTGGTACAAATAGCAAACGGTCCTCTTCGCGATGCAGTTATACTTCATCCCCGAGGATGCTCGCGACGGACCTTGCAATTTGTCCTCAAACCACACTCATTAACTACTCTAAGGAGAGATGCGCTACAGGTACAAAGGTGAAAAGACCGAAGTGGTAATAATTGTAACATTAGGAATAATAGAGATCGTACGATGTCATGCTGCTACTTCTACCATTCACAAAACTGGAAAGGGAGAAGAAGAGAAGGATAAAGACGAGGGTGAAAAGTATATTCCTTTAAGATCGCAAATCGGTTTCTACGGGAATCCTTCAGCCACTTCCTTCGCTCGTTTCATATATTTCAACGAATCTTTCATAGTTTCTTATAAAAATATTCAGAGAGAAAGAGAGAGAGTGGGAGAGAAATAAAAACATTGCACTAAAAAAAAACTTCACTAAGGAAGTGGCTGCAGTAGTGCTAATCTTAACTACTTCCTTTTCTGTTTCAGTTTCATTCTGGAAAAAGACTACCTGTGAAGTCCACTACAAGACAGGATATTTGCATACGAACGTTATTCCGGTGGAGGAGGAGGTGGAGGTGGCGAGGAACTAGGAGGTGGCCCGCTCGGCAACGGTGGAGGTGTCTTGGATTCCTGCCGAGCAGACGCGAGCTGAATCATATTTTGATTCTGTCGCATGTTCGGTGGTAAGGATGGCGGCGGCACGGACGTGTCGATGGCACCGTCGGGCGTCATGATCACGTTACCCGCCGGATACATCGAGTACTGTTGCTGATACGGCGAATAGTACATGACAGGGTCGTACATGTACCCGGCGGGATTGTAGATCGAGGGAGGCGGATAATTCGCGAAGAAATACGAATCCGTTTGGGATTGATTCACGTGGCCGGGTCTCGTGTAGCCAGCCGGATCGCCGCGTGCCGACGGTGGTGGTGGTGGTGGATGGGAATGATGAGGATTACGGGTATTGTTACTATTGTAGGTGTCTTGTTGATAGTAGCCGTCCCGCTGGCCGGGAACATTGTAATGGCCCGCCGATCCTGCTGGTGGTGGACCACGCCCGATATACTGGCGGCCGCCTCTACCGCCTCCACGTACCTTGTTATTGCTGCCCGAGCTATAATGTCTGCCGTTCTGCCGTTCGCCTGGTCGATGCTGCCCGTAACCCGCCGACGAGACCTGCGATTGCTTCTTCGTTGTTGGCTGATTGGTCATTTGGCTCTCCTTAGCGTCTGAACGATCGCGTTTCCGGCCCTCTGTCGTGAAATCCGGAACTATGCTGCTCGTACTGGTCGTCGTGGTGGACGGAGCAGCCGCGGAACTCCTCGAGATACCGTCGGTACGGATTTTGATCTTCAACGGTGCCTGAACCACCGACTGAGCCGGTGAACTGGACACGTTGTCGGTTCTCAACCGTTCCTTAGGGATGATGATTTTGATGCTTGTATTCTGAGGGGATTTGTTCTTCTCCGCTGACGCGGCTCCGCCAACCGTGCTGCTTGTCGACTCGGTGCTCAGGTTCAACTTGTCCTTTGGGATCGTTATTTTGATCGGTACAGCTGGCACAGTTTCTTCGCCTTTCTCTTTATCCTTCTCGCGATGTTTCTCTTTGTCTTTATGCTTGTGTTTGTGCTTCTCCTTGCTCTTCTCTTTGTCTTTGTGTTTATGCTTCTCCTTCTTCTTCTTCTTCTCGCTCTTTCGATGCTCCGACCTCTTCTCTTCGACAGCCGGAGCAGGCGTTAAGGTGGTCGACGTTGGTACAGGGAGCATCGACTCTGTGCTGGTTTGCACGGGTTCCGAAAGAGCGCTTATGTCGACGGTCGAGGCAATAACAGGCTCGCTGATCGATGCCAAAGTGAGGCATTGATTCTGAAGGGACATCTGATGATCCGTCATTAACATAGAATGAGATAAAGATTGCTGCTGCTGCTGTTGTTGTTGTTGTTGATGATGATGATGATGATGATGCTGTTGTTGTTGTTGCAAATGCTGTTGTTGTTGGTGATATTGTTCCTGATGAATTTGTTGCGTGGTTATTTGACTAAATTGATGCATACTCTGCAGCAACGATGGCAAAGGTGCTAAAGGTTCCTGAAGCAGGGCACTTATACTTTGAGCAGATTTCATTGGAGATAAATATTCACCTTTGGTCTGCGAATGTTCGATCTTTATCGGTACGTCTGTCTTGTAAGGTTCCTTCTTAATTTGGAATTCTTGCGATTCTTGCTTCGCAATTAAATTCGCGTCCAAACCATTGGTCAGACCGTGCTGATTCGACGACATTGTCTGTTGCTGCGTCGCCACTGCACCGAAACGCGATCTCGTTAATTCGGCCTCGAACGGTTTTATAAGCTCCGGCGGTTTCATGTCGTTCGCGATTTGAGTAGCTCTACCGTTCGCCGAAGGATTGTCTCTAATTGGTTGTATAAGTTCTGGCACCCTACCGAGCATCTTAACAGCCTCGAAACTGGACGTGTCATCCATTTTCACTTTCACTTGTTGCTGTCCACTATCGCTAGTACTGCCAGCGCGATGCCTCTTGTGGAAGGTAGTCGAGACATCGCTGGCAGATCGTTTAACCGATTGAGCTTCTATTTGTTGCAAGCCCGGCGGGCTCGCGAACGGTGATACTAAATTAAAACCTATCGACGTATCTGGTACGCGTTCTTGTTTAGGAACTTTTGCGGCCGAGGGTGGCGTCTTTTGTTTAGATTTAGGCCTTTGCGAGTGGGATTCTCGAGGCGTCGGTACCTTCTCTGGACTGAACAGCGATTTCGGTTTGCCAGAAGGTGTATGCAGTATACTATGTTGAATGTCCGACGAACATTTATCTAGTTCGTCGTACCGCGGTCGCTTCTCAGTTTTCGGATCGTCGACGTTGTTCAAAGACGCTAAACTCGACGATTGAGAACTGCCGTTCTTAATCGTGTCCTTTAAGATCTGCGACACACCGTGTGCGGTATGCTGACTGGATACAGTCTTCGTCGGCAACGATTTCTGAGCAAGCAAACAAGTCGTAGCGAAACTGGTCGGTGATTTCTCTTGCGTAAACGAACTCTGCGCGGTCGTGAGCTTCGCTTCGATCGGTATAGAACCGCTACCGGTCTGCAACTTCTCCGACTGATTGTATTTAGCGTGATGAGCTGGTTGTTTTTGTGTGTTTGAAGCGTATGGTACGTCGAGGGTAGGTTTCGGCGGAGGTAATGGTTTCTCAATAAGTTTTCTCACTTCTTCGCATCTTTGTTCCAACGTGTCGGACTTTCTTTGCCGTTCGACTCTCGTTGGATCCGGATATTTGTATGGTTTTTGTTCGTTATCCTTTCTATGTTCTACAGGTTTATGCCTCGGATCGTACATCCTTTTATCGTGACCCTGATGCTTATTTTCTATCCCACTTAATCTGTGCACGCTATGATTATTATTACTAAGTTTTTCTTGCATGTTTCCATGGGCAACTGGATCTTGTAAGCTTCCGACGTCCGGTCTGTGAGCGGTGGAATCCGTTAACGAATTACCATCCAAATTCGGATCTTTCGGCATCGTATGACTATGAGAATGAAGAGTACTACTACTATTATTACTGCTACTTGTACCAGTGCTCGAATTGTACTCTCTTTGTAACCTCTGCCTATTAGGATCACGATTTGGTTCCCTAGCTTGAGTACTACTAGAATGTCTCTGAGGTACCGGCTGTCCAACTTTAACTTCTGGCCTGTGATGATGATTATGATGAAGCGTCTTCTGTCCTGGAGGCAATGGATGTTTGTTCAGCACGTTTGTACTAGATACAGGTTTATGGTGATGCGAATGATGCTTGTTGATATCCGACGCGTGAGTCTGCGGAACTGTCGTCGGAGCCGTCGCCTTTTCTCTTTCTAAACGTTCGCGTTCCTTCTTCTCTCGATATTCCCTGTAGTCGACGGGAGGTCTAGCAGGCGCGGGAACAATTTGTTTCTTCTCTTCTTGTTTCTCCGTATGATGAGGTCGACTCGTATGGAATGTAGGTCCACCGTCGATCGTCGCAGGAGACTGTACTTTACGGGGTTCTGCATCCTAAAGTAGGATAAATCGAATTTAAGTTTATCTTCTCTTACGATCGATTCGTAATGTACGAACAAAATTACTTACAAAAGGTGAATTCGGTAAACTAGGGTGATTAATGCTTGGACTTTGATTGGCGGATATGCTCATTATTTTTCTTTTCAATCTCGATGGACACTTATCAAATATATGAAGGAATTCTGCTGTAAGCTCTTGTAAAAGTTCGGAAGTTACGCTCCTGTCGACATACCAAAACCAGTGTTTCCCTTCCGTACTTTGTGGAATCTGGAAATAATGATAACATCGGTAATTAGTACGCTGAATGTTTAATTTAAAAGAATTTACAAATCTTCTATAGTATATAATATCGATTACATTTACCTCCCAATTGGACCATTTGCAAGCCAGATGTATGCAGAAACAGGCAACCACCGTTGGTTTGTACTGCAGACACATGGTTGTTAAATGTAAACTGAAAAGGAAAAATACAATCTATAAGTCGATGCAAATGTAGTCGTCCGTTTGATTAACGACTTCTCGACGAAATATAACCCAGGACATAAAAAGAACTGTACTACAAATGTGAAAGTACTAGTTCCATTAAACATGGGTAACATCGGGATAAAACCAGGACGAATTTCTTACGATTCGTTGAAAATAATTAACTACATTATTCCCAATTATAGCTTACATAAATGGAATTTAATTCCAAAGAGTACGTTTCCAAAACATTTGAAAAAAATGTCACGCATATTAATGTAGTTCTCTCTTTCGCGATGAGCTAGACAAAAAGTTTCTACATGAATATTCTCAAATAAACATATGAATGATGATTTTTCTACATTTAAATCACAAACACAAGCCCTACAATACTCTGCTGTTGTATCGTAACAAATTTACCGAAGTTTGACCCAACATAATCCCATGACAGAGTGAATTTTGGGTTAATTATTGTATATGTTTCTATACAGTGGCAAATATAGGCATGGAATTGCAAAATAAAAATTATTTTAGGTAGTACGAAATATTGAAATTTTCTAGATTTCAGAGAACGTATCGTTTTAATATTTTTTTCAGTAAAAAGTGTATAAATTTCTTTGTAACAACAGAGAAATTAAGGCTCAATCTACGCTAATTATTCTTACGATCATGATCTGTTCAAATATTATTCAATTATCATCAAGCGAATTGATGTACACCAATATTTCTGGCCCAACCATATTTCAAATTATTAAATAATACTTGAATGGATTATAATCTAATAATTACCATACCATAATAAATCACTAATATAAATTATAATCTAATGTGGTATGGCAGTTTCTTCCTTTTATTATTAAATGCTTTTTAACATTCATTCATCGTGTCATTGCTTCCACATTCATATCATTCACACGTAATTTGTTTTGTGCATCTACAGCTTAAAATAAGTGTATGCAAATATAAAAATAAAAATTGGACAATATACCGTAATGTAAGAGAAAACGATCAGTCCTTAAGAATATTTCATTTACCTTCGATTAAGCAATCCTCATCGTGAACTTAGTTTACGAAATAAACTTCGTTTCGCTTTGGCATACGTTCTCTTTAGAATCAGACATTACCGCGACTGCAACGCAACATTCCTCCCCAAAAGTTACTGTTGACATTCAAACATTCGCATTAGATTTCAGTAAAACCGTATGAAATCAAAGTAAACTTTCATGTACTACATAACATTTTTAGATTTTATTTGTGTCATTTTTCGTAACATTGCTGTCTGTTCATTTTAAAAGAACAATTTCCAGAGAAAGAGATATTTCTATTCAACATCAAGGATGTCACGTTTACTTTGATTTCCAAAAAGAGAATAGGTCAGAATGTTGCGCCAGTGGCTATTGCCTGACAGTCTTAGCTTGGAAATATGCTCCAGCTGGCATCTATTTGACCAGAAGACTGCTAAGAGTAAGAGATACTAGGAAATAATGTGTAGCCACCTGTTAGATGCCATGAAGTATGAAGTCTGGGCTAAGTCCTTGCTCGCTGTAAAAAAAGTGATAAAACCTCAGTAGAATGAAATAACAACACACCACCCGATTGTTTATTATTCTTTGCAATATTTCAACATACTACTTTGATTATAAAACAGTTATTAAAATTTTTACAAGATGAACATCTTTAAATATCATTTATGTACCTTTAACCAGTTGACAACATCTAACAACATGTGTGTGGGGATGATCAATGGCGACATCAAACCCCAATGTTTGTAGTAGGACGTTTTCATTGAAAACCAGATCCTGAGCTTGTTCAAGGTATTGCTGTAAATGAAAGCACATTGAATTAAAGATGTTTGCCGCTAATAACTCTACGCGAATATCATTAATTTTCTTAATGAACTACCTCAGACCGGATGTCAGGTGGGGGCTGATCTCTGTGTAGACACATATGGGCCATTTTGATAACATGTTCTAACTTGCGTGGTTGTTCTTCCACTTTTGCTGCTAAAAATAATGCAGCTGCTGCAATTGCATTCCTGTGGAAATGTGACAGCGAGTGGAATACATAGAACCTGTGCATATACACTATTGCTGTGTTGATACATAATTGTGACCTATAATAAACTAATTAAGGAAAATATCCATTGAATAATAGAGAATTAAGATTAGTACATGTTCGTGTAAATAACATTTATACAAGTTCTGAGAAATTCTTTGTGCTATTCAACTTTCAACTGTTAGCAAATTTTGTCTGTTTAAACTTATTTCAATCAAAAACATTTACTTCTTTACTGCGCAAGTTCTAAACAAATATAAAATAATTGTCTAAATAATCTACTAACATAATGCACTAAAAGATGAAAATCATTTTATCAGAAACAATATCATGAGGCATGGAATTATCTTTCTTTCAACATCAATAACAATTATAATCTATTTCTATCTCTTAACGATGATTAGTATTTTTATATTTATTTTTTAACGATTCTTTATTTCACGTAATTAATAATTCAAACATATATATTTTACAACAAAAGAAATAATATTAAAAACAATAAATATAACTAAAACACTTAATTATTACATTAAATGGTAAGATTAGAAAATGGAGGGAACAATATATTATATTGAAAAAATTTTATTTAGTCTGTATGTTACATTAATATAAAAAACTTGATCAAATAAATCACATAATATTGATTTGTTTTTTAATCTTGACTCTCACTTGTTCCTTATGTATTTTAAGGTCTTCTTGCTTTATATTTTATCACACAAATATTTTATACTTTAGATTATTTATTACCTAAGTAAAAGGAAAATATATAAATTGGAACTTTAGAATAAATTGCATAAAAGGAAAATATAAGATAATATAAAAAAGCTATTATATGTAAACAGAGCAGTATTACTGTACTTTGTACAATAAAATGTGATTCAAGCCAAAATAAGACAATAATTTATCAACTATATTATTAAGTATATTCATAACTTTTTAACTCAAAATACTATGAAGAACATGCCGAAGTTCTCTCAATTGGAAAGATAATTAAGACATTAATGACTTTCAAACATGTATCTGAAACATAAAAATGTTATAGAAAATACAAATACATATTGTATTCTAAATGAAATCAATTAACAAAAATCTAAACTCATTTTAATCCTTAACAAAAAGAATTCTCATTGATGACAGAAATGTGATATCGATTTATAAATTAAGAAATGCATTTTGTACGAATGTGTGATGACATGCAATCATTGGCAAGCTAAATTTACCGTGGATATAATCTTAAGATGCACAATAAAAAACAAATAAAAAATAATTTAAAAAAAATGATAAACTTGCATAAGAAATATCAGCAATAACCATGATTTTGGTTGGTACTACTGTCAAACTTAGCTTAGCTGCCTTTCCGTGACCCTATTTTCTGCCCTCCACTTGAATAACAAAATGCTGCCCAACATGTTTAATTACTCGTAATATTTTACAACAAATACGAATGTATTGAATAGCACAAAGAGGCCGAAATTCATCGTGGACTAAACGTAACACAATGAAGTTCAATATGGAGAACCGCAATCATGACGCGTGACCTCCTCTTTCGCACGTCATTCATGTTTACAACATGTTACGTATCTCACTATAACTTTAGCATTTGAGTTATTCGAGAATCATTAAATAAAAAGAACACGATTGTGTAAGCGTACACAATAGTTCTGAATGATTTAAAAGAGGAAAAACATAAAGTGATCGCGAGGACAGGGGGAAAGGGAAGTTAGGAAACACGCAACTGAACATGCATTGTTAAAAGGATACACGACGAGCCGCTGTCCCATATCCTGAATGAAATTCGCTGCCTGCTGCCGGTAGCTCAGTTCCTTATCCGCGTCGATGCCGCATCTTCTGCTCGGCGTGTTTGTAAGCTGTTCTTTCGTAAAGTACCATTTTTCGTCAGCCGCCATTTATATGTACACACAACTCGGTACTAACGATGCGCACTTCACGGCGGTCGCGACGGTGGCGGCGAGCACACAATGCACAATAGCAACACGTTGAAAACTTCACGTCACTACGCTAACCGGAAACTCCAAGTTCATACTTGCAAAATTTTCCACAATAAAACAAATCATTCGTCAATTTTCTGGAGAACAAGTTCCACTTCTGATCTATCTATTTCATCACCAATACTCAATCTTTTCTTCCATCAATAACTTTTTACACAATTTACAATTTATGTATGTACACGCGGTATTTTGAATACCGGAAATAATATATTTTACTTTATAACCGTTTAATATGTGTCCAACGTCAGGATACGGCTTTAGAATTTTATGCAGCAAATGAAAAATTAAGTTGAAAAATTCTTTGAAGGCTTCAGTACTTTCGTATAATATTCGTGATATAAGATTGTCGTACTTTATAGGTTTATACGAAATTTCGCAATACCGTTAATATTATGGACGTTTTATTTGTTTGAACGTGTTACAAAATAAATTTTTTGCATTATAATAAATTAATAAAGTCAACTTTTCGATAATGCATCACAGTATCAGGATTTATTTGCTATTGTATCTTTGTGTACTCGGTAGATATAAGTTTGGTAAAGTTTTCATACAGTTAAAATTGGACCTTGAATACATTACACTTTAGAATTCGATACATGTTAGGTATGCAGGGTAATCAACGATGTACGACGTCAATTTTTGTTAGGAAATATTTTCCATCCGTATTTTTCATTCTTCTGTTATCATACACCACATTAAAAAACTTGATTCGTAAATTTTTTGGCAGGCCATGAGGTTGGTTACGAAATAAATTTTATCACCGTTTCGGTATCAACTCAAAGTAAACTTCAAAGTTCGAGTAACTTCAATTAAAATAATAAAATAACAATTTTATACTATCTTATGCAATGGGATATCAAAGTTACAAAAGTTTTATACATGCACAAAATTTATCCCATTTTCACTGAACCTTCAAAATACTACTTGTTTGTACGTTTCACAAAACGTTGTATTATACCGATACAATAAATATAATAAATTTACATCGTCCGATAGAAATAATTCTTTATTACATTGCATCAGTTAACAATAAATACGCAAATGTAATGTAAAATTAACTTTGTTAATATTTGAAGACCAACGTCATAACCTACCTGAACTTTTTCAGTCTACATACGATAGGTATGAATCACGTAGTTTATCAATTAGAAGTTTTAGGCTTTAAACTCCCGGAAGTGACGCAAAACTGTCGTTGAGCTAGTAGTATGTGCACGCAGCAAATGTTATCTCTGTAGTAGCGTCCCGTTATCTTGGTCCTACGGAAGGACCCAGTGCTGCCTTTCAAGTATTATTTATTCGCATACAACTTCAGACTTACTGTACAATTACCAATATTTTACGTTTCACAATTATAATCTTTTTTCTCTTGAAGTTTCCAGAAGTACGTTGACGGTGACAAGTGTAAATTGGTTGGCACTGTCTTTCCTTCGTGGAAGGTTTAATGTAAGAGATCACAGTAAGTTTTCAAAAGATCAAACGTCGCGGCTTCTTAAAGTCCCGCTTGTTTCGTCTCATTGCAATTCTCACAAAAACTAATCACATGTCCGCCTCATTCTTTCGAAATCCGTACATACATCAATAAAACTTCATTCAACATCTCACGTACAAAATGGCGGCGAACTACCACTTGTTACAAATACATATGATGCAATAGTTTTACCTTAAGAAATAGGAAAACCTTAAATGTATATGCTTTTTATATTTAATACAATTTTTTCTATACCATATATCGTTTAATGTATTAATTATTTCAAAATAATAAAGTTGTTACAACTACGCTGACTTCCGACGTAAATTAGCGCGCTAAATTTGAAATCGTTAAGTATAGCTGTTTTCTAAAATTTATTGTAAATAACAATTTGTAAAATGCAATTTTATTGTTATATTTTCTTGTAACGAATTGTATGTTAGTTGTAAATATACTTTTTATAGATAAGTTATGTTTCGGATCCCAAAAACAATGCCTGTGAATACTACTGTTGCTACAAAAAGACCAAAACAAACTCAAACATGTTTGTACTCATCTTATGAATGTACACAGCCTTGTCTTGAGGGATATAATTATTGTGCTAAACATATTCTTGAAGATCCAAATGCACCTTTTAAACAGTGTGGCTTTGTATATAATACTAATGGCAGGAAATGTCAGAATCCTGCACCAAGATTTGATAGAAGGGATATTTCGTATGTATTGAATACAAGCTTAGTGAATTCTTTTATAAAGTGTTAGGCAGTATATTAATATTTGTTTCTTGTAGGTATTGTACTGAACATACAAGGAAAGCTCAGATAGCACGTATAAAATCAACAGCACGTCATTCTTTACCACAAACACCTGAAATGCTCTTACTTAATTTAAAACACTATGTTAAGAGGACAGATTCAAGCACAGAAGATACTGAAGATGATGATGGAAAAATTAAGGCACTAGATCCTTTCAGTAAGTTTTCATTGAATAATACTTGAATAATTAAATTGAAGATCTTCTGAACTATAAAAATTAAATTTATATTGAAATTTTCTTTTAGCTGAAGTTGATGCATACAGAGTAAATGCTAGTGGATGTGATATTTTAGACTATGCAAGTTCTTCTGATAGTGATGTTGAACCTACAGTAGTAAGTGATACTTTAAGAGGAAGTTATCTTGATGATAGTGACAATGAAAGTTTGTACAGTGCACAAGAAGATCCCTTAAAGTAAGAATGAGCTTATATAAAAATTTACAATATTTTAATACATTTTTTTTCCGTACAGTATAAAGCTAGCTTGCTTTGGCTTGTACAAATCTAAAAAATAACATTTTCTTAATTATTTTTACCTATTTACTTGTCTTTGGTAGTTGCTTTATGCAAAAAATAAGACATTCGTTTCTATTCAGTCATTAGTATTAATTTTTTAAGGCATGCTGGAGTCTTTACTGCTGAAGAAGTGATCTACATTGCACGGGAGAAATTAATTAGGTTACAATCCCTTTATATAGATCAGTTTAGAAGACTGCAATATATTTTAAAAGAAAAAAGACGAAAATATTTACATGCACTTAAAAAGGAAAAAGAAACACTATGTAGTATACATGATCAACCCAGAGAAAGTGCAAAAGAGAAAAAGATTTATGAAAAATTAAAAGCCTTAAATCGTTATCATAGGCGAAGTGGCGTTGAGGCTGTATTATATAAAAAGTCATTAGAACGCCGAGCACAGGTAATTGAAGTACATATCTTGTTAAAAAAGAAATAATTGTAATATAGAAACATGTGACAAATGAAAAAATTAATATATTTATTATATAGGCAACCGATGGGTCCGCGCAAAAAGTACCAAGCGTATCAAAATGTATCTTTACAGAAGGTGGAGTAAAATGCGGAGAAAGAACTCTTCCTGCTGCAAAACATTGTCGTAAACATATTCTTAAAGTAAAGTTATTTTATTTTAAATAAAGTTACAATATTACGACGAATATATATTTAAAAAATTCATATTATCTCAACAGGATCAACATCAAGTATTGTTTAAAGCATGTGGAGCAGTACGAGCGGATATCGAATGTCATGAACCAGTACCTGTAATTTTTGACACAAATTGTGTGTTTCATATGAATTTACCATCTGAATGCAAACTAGAATCTATGAAGGTAATTTTTGAATCATTTCGTTTTACATGTAACAACTGAAATAACATAAAAATATGTATTCCATTTTCATATGAATTAGTTCAAAAAATCAAAACCCGAACCGCAGAAAATATCCGTGTCGGATAACAATCAATCTATGGAGATTGATGTGGTAGGTGAGATTCAAGATATCGATCCAGACGATGATATGGCAGGGTTAATGAGAGAAATGAGTGACGCCGCACACATGAAACCAGTATTTAACGAAAGTTTGAATAGCGAAGCTAGCACGGACACAGCATTTAGTTTATCGGCACAAATGAGTGACAGAGATGACCTTGTATCTATGTGACAAAGTATCTGCCTGTAATTTTAAATAATAAAATATTAATTTCATTGTTATATAATTACGCTAACTTTATTTATATGATTGTACACTGTAATACCTGTACAATAATTAATATATAAATTTTCTTTTACTATATCAGTATGTTTATATTAAGTGCTCAAACATGGAAGAAAAACCTAAACTTAGAAATGTATATTCTGTAACAACAAAAGATTTCGATGAAATTTGTTTTATGTATTCATACATAACTAAGTATTCAAGTTAAGTAAGGAAGATGTAATATTTGCTGCAAATAAAGGATTAAATGTAGTATTTTACAATAAGTATTCACAAAACGATCATTGCGCTTTTATTGAAGCAAGTAAAAACAAATTCGTCATTAAAAATGAATTTAAAGTAACAATTCTTCAAAGATGAAAACAAATTTACTATTTTCATTTATGTTATAAATGAAAAAAAGCCAAGTTCTATACGATATACAATAGTGGATAAATCATTTGCTTAAAATTTATGTTTACAAGAATATAATGCTTTTTTTCAATTTTTACATTTTCTGTAAAAAAATACATTATTATTAATCATAGCATTAATTCTTAACACGTACCAGCAAATAATAATGGCTTTTCCTGGTAAGAAAAGCTCGAAGGATCAGTAATCTCACCATCACTTGTCTATCTCTAGCATGCTTTTAGGAGCACGAGTAAGATGAACAAGTGGTAACGTCACTCGTCGCTACAGTTTTTCTTAACAAGGAAACGCACGGCTGTTCGCTGGTACATAAACAAAATACATTTTAAATATAAGTAACTTACGATAAGTGAACGAGGTTTCGGTGTAATTTGGTTATTTAGATTGTATATTCTTTAAGTAATTAAAAAAAATGTGTATGATATACCCTTTTTATAACACATTTTTTTACTTATTAGGGCCATGATCGTAATAAATGCAATAGCATACAAGAATAATATAATGCTGAGAAAGTTTTCTTCAAAACATGATCTTATAATGGATTAGAGGAATTTTTTTCACAATCATAATATTCTTTTCATGTTTTTTGTATAAGTACAACTAAAATGTTTATAAGTTTCAATCATGTACATATTATCTTATGACATGCAGATATGTACATACAATTGTAAGTAATTACCAATTTAATTATTGGTAATTATTGTGGCAGTATGAAGGTTCATATTTCAAAATTATCTATATATCCAATTATTATAAATGGTAATATACCATCACTCCTTCCGTGTGTATTAATATTAGGTAAAATTATTTTGTGCATAGGCATACTTTTCATAGTTCCACAAAACTAAAACATGTTGCATTATGAATAATCTTATTTGGTAACTGAATTTTTTTAATGAATAATTGAAACAGCAACTTATACATATATTAAGTATATTTAAACCATTGTGCAAATGCAGAATAATTATAACAAAAGCTCAAAAAAAAATAAGCATCAAAGTTTCAAAAATAAACATCTTTGCGAACTTATTGAAATGCATTTATGATCGATAAATATACAGTTTCCTATGATTTGGGTTTTTGATTTAGACTCAATTACTGTACATCTATTTTATCTTAATACCATCTTAAATCATGTACAATATTTGATTAATTTCAATGCTAGAATTATATATGATGCTGATTCAATTAAAAAATATTTGAAGCAGTATTTATTCAAAGAATCGTATCAAAATAAAGAATGCAGTAGTTAAATATATCACAATTAAATTTGGGCACTGATACAGCAATAACTCTGAAAGCACACATATTATGTAAATGCCAGGCAATTAATAACTAAAACGAAAATGACACAAACTTCAACTAAAAGTAATTTATGTTTATACCAAATAAAAGATTAGGAAGATATTTTATTCAGATAAATGTCAATAAGTAATAGTTCTTATCTTTCTATGATTTCTTTCTTCTGTAATTCAACCGTTAATCGTTTATAATGAAAATTAAGTAAAGAACTGCATGGCATTTTCACAAATTCATGCGTTTTGTTATTAGTAGAGTATCAAAATCTATCGATTAAAAATTGACTACAATTACCTACTTTTATAACGTTTTGTCCATTAAGTTGCAAAATACTTAAATGGTAGCCTGATTTTTGGCTTCCATTATATATTAGAATGCAATACTTCAAACGTGATTTTTAATAAGTATACTTCAAATATTGTCGTCATATTTGCGTTATCTAACTTCCTTCGAACTATATTTCTTTTAACTGTTAAATTGTGCACCGAGTATTCTTAACATTGTAAAACATTTAGCATTTATCTGTTGGTAGTACCTTCTTAAGTTTCTTTTTAACAATCAATTAAGTCGTCATCTACAAGAAATCTTATGCTAGATACGTGAAGAAAAATGAAATTACTTATATTACAGTTTAAAGTGAATATCGTTTCGGTAAGAATGCACAGTCAAAATTTTATTGATCCAAATGTTGACTGTAAACAGATCTATAGGAAGTACTGCAAGCTTACCATCGTTCAAAAAATTTCTCAGTCTTTATGAAGTTAATTTTAATCGCTGAATATATTCTTAAGATCATGTTCGTATAATGCTATAATTAACATTATTCCAAGACCACATGATAGTCCTAATGCTTGTAAAATACATTGCAGGTGAAAGCTACGATCCACAGAGTGACTTGAAGATAATTCTGGAATCTAAATCAAATACAACTGTGAAGAAGCAATACAATAAGAAGGTATACTACATACAAACCACTTACCATGTCTACTAATGCTATATATATAAACATTCCTGCAGCAGCAGCAAACATCCAACTACTTACAGCGGGTGTACTTCCTAATAATACACCAAATATCATACCGAACAAACAAAGTATGGAAGATAACAAATTATAAAAAACAGCCTGTTTAGCACTCATTCCGGCTTTTAATAAAACTGCAAAGTCTCCTATGTAATGAGAAAAGCTGTATTAGAATTTTGCAATATTTTTCATATTCAATTGTATATAACACGTATACCTATTTCATGGGGTAATTCGTGGCAAAATACAGCTATAGCTGTAGAAAATCCACCTGCTATATTTGCCGAAAAAGCAGCACCTATAGCCATGCCATCTGTAAAATTGTGCAAACCATCACCCATTACTACCATCCAAGCAACGCTCGACATTGATTCCGGTGCAGAATGAACGTGACCTAAATAAATTAAATGTTATATTATTTAATAAATATACAGGATGTTCTGGTCCTGCATACGTAACAAAAATATAGATTACATTAAACAACTAAATAGTACCATGTGAGTGAGTATGACCATGGTGTTTTGTTTCATGTTCACGTATAATAACGGTATAACTTTCAGACTCGTTTAATGGTATATCTGCACCGTCAGTATTTTTTTTCGGATTTACTATCGAATCCTCTAGCCTCCAATCTTCGTTTAATTTCTTTTCTACGTCATTGGTCATAATTTTTGAAACAGAATTGCAATTCGATGTTAAAGGTTTTTCTTCTTCGATCACAGGAGGCCTTTCATGATTATTGTGTTGACGATTATGATGATTATCTGAACAATAAGAAAAAAAAATGAACAATTTATCATAACTGCAATTAAATTTAAAAAACTTTACCTTGAGTATCCGTACTGATTTCGCCGTAACAGTATGGATACGATGAATATTTGTGTTTGCAGAGTTTTTCTCCAACAACATTGCTGTTTGGTCCATCAGTTTCTCTCATTACTCTGACGCGTGAAGGTAACTAAAATTGACATTTTATTTTCTTATGTAATGGATGTGAAGTTCTATAATGTCTCATAATTCATTAATTTGTTTGATAGTTTTACCTTGTTGCGCCGTTGTCGAAGTTTTCTCCATTCCGCTAACATCATCAAAGCTTTTTCCGTAAAAAAGAATAACGCGAGACCCATCATCGCAACCAGTCCCTTCCACATGTTCATATTGTGTTGTTCTTTGTGATCTGTGTCATGATTATCATCGTTAGAGCTATGTTCATGACCATGATCATGAGACATCATTGCCTGAAAGAAAGATGTAATGATTATTTTAATTTTTCTTATGAAGAATAATTACATTCGTTAAATTCAATCTTACATGTGGTAAAAGATGAATAAGAGCATCGCCGCACAATGTTCCTACAGCAAGAGCAACTAGAAATTGCAATAACTGATGGTAATAAACTTTACCCATAAAAGGTATAACAGCTACACCAAGTAAACCACATAGACTGATTATTAGAATACTGATCGTAGAGTAGGCCCATACTAAACAATAAGAAGAAATATATTTAGTAAGGCGTTAATTGTATTTAGAAGAAAAAAATTATCTTTTCATGTGATTTGTATTTTATACCTTGAACCATATTACGTGTCATGTCTTCTCCAGGGTATTTATTAACTATTATTGGCTTATAATTCTCTGGTACGCGAATACATCCATTTCTCTCTGAACTTGATTCACCTGCTAGTTGATAAACAAGAGCTGGACACACGCGTTCAAAAAGCCAACTTGGTAATGTCGAATTATTATTAGTGTTGAAATTATAGGGTATATCTCTTGCAACAGTACTTAGTAATTCTTTGCTACTTAAGCACTGAAATGGCGGGACAATCACTTATAAGGAATATTTAATAATTTCAGAGAAAAAAATAATCTACTTGATTTTTTCTAACAAAATTTGATTTGAATTATTATAATTTATCTTACCCGTTCTTTCCTAACTTCATTTTCATGATCTGTTAGGCCACTGTTTTGTGAATTCGTTAATTTATCTGTAATAAAAAAGTTACAAAAATTATGAGAAGTTACATAATACAATGTTAAATAGAACTGTTTACTGGACAAACAGATGGATATTCATGAATTTGAAAAAATTTCTTTTTAAAACAAGAAGCAGTATTTCACAAAAGATTTATATGACACACTTTCAGCAGTAGCAAAAACATTATACTATGAAGCTACTGATAACAGCAAAATACTAGTTATCTGCACCAAGGATACAGTTACTCAAGATATAATTATTTGATCATTGATACCTGATGCAATAACATGCTAGAACTAAATTTTATATATTGCATGTAATTATTTCAAAGAACAAATATATTTTAATAAAGATCTTAATAAGAGTTCAATAAAATCAATAAGTAACTTGATGAGGCAATTGAACAAGTTAAGCTAAACTATTATTATTATTATTATTATTATTATTATTATGAATTTCATATTAAATCAACTTAAAATATTATTAGATTGTATCTGTAGTAGAGCAGATGTGTCTACATTACTTATTATGATTGATAGGCTGGTAATTGGTAATTAAAAGTGGTATGTTGATATCATTTATATAAGAGCGATTTCACTGAAGTGATCTTAAGATATGCTTCATGTTTTAAAGATATAGCTAACATAAATAAATTTTCTCCTTTTAATTTAATTGTTTTTTACTTACAATTATGAAAATTTATACTTTTAATAAGAGCTTACCTATTGGATTTTCATGCTGACTAGTAACAATATTATGTTCTTCCAATCTAGATATATCTGTTAATAACCTTAATAATCCTAATTTTTTTAATAACTTTTCAAAACCTTCCATTGTTATGCTTGTACCATCTCCATAAGTTTCAAAAATTTTTTTCATGAAATACTTTTCATCTATAATATCTACATTTCTCTTATTTCTAATCCTGTTGAGAGACTTTTGATCTGAATTCAATTCTCCTCTATAAATGATTTCAATTTGGCCCAGTCTTTCCAATATTTCTACATTTTTTGAGGTTGTAGGATCTTCTTCTGTTATTGGAATATTTTTGATGTTTTCATCAGATTTTACCTTTTCTTCATTTTCCACTTTAGCTTCATTCGTGGCAATTGGTGCCAATAAGTTAGAACTATTATTATTATTATCTAATACATTAGAGGATTTAACAGTACCATCATTAGAAGCACTTGGATTATTTGAATTAATTTTTTTCACATCCCTCTGTTGTGTTTCTTTGTACTTCATTAGTAACCATGATGGTTGTAATTGCTCATTAGAATCTGGTAGCTCCTCAGATTTGACAGAATTATAAATTGTTTGTCCAGCAGTTGAGAATTCAGTATGTGCTGAACAAGGAGTATGTGCAGCGCATAAAACGCATACTACACAGACTGTGACAAAGTGATGTGACATGTTTAGCCTCTGTAAAAAAACAAAATGAGAAGTTTCAGTGCATTATAAATTAACTTGTCATTTAAATTATTCATGGTACATTATGATTTATTTGAAAATCATTGCATTATAATATTGATAACAGAATATTACGTCAAAAAGGAAACAGTTATCTATGCAACAATGATAATGATAGCCCATTCAAACATAACAATGCCCTTGAGTTATTATATATACTTGTGTAATTGAATCAGAGAATTACCTCTAATATTCATAAATTTGAAATTTTGCAAGGACAGTGTCACTGTATCCCAAAAAATTCTTCATTAAAACTATTATTAGAAATTATAGACACCAAATTGTAGGATTGGTATTTAGGATAAAACAGAAAACTGATATATTATGTTTCAAAACTATTGTTAAAATAAGATCATGTATTTACTAGAGACAAAAATAAGATATACATAATTTACAATAACAATTAGTACAGTGTATAGAGAAATTATTGATCATTTTGGGTTTTTCATCTTTTTTAAATTCTAAAAATATTCTATTTCTATTTATAAAGAAACAGATGAGTAAATTATGGTCAGTGCAGCTATCAATGACACAGATATGATAAACATAAAATGGATATGATTTATGACAATATCAATTGATTTAAACTTAAGTGGTGATTGATTGTAATTTCAAAAATGAGTATATTCTTGTAGTAGTAAAAATAACAAATACTAAAATTAAACTTTAGTCATCTTCATGATATGATTCCCATGCATAAAATTAACTCTATGAAATGAAATTTATTTAATATGATTGTTCACTTTAAGTAAAGATAGTAAACGATTTAATGTTAATGTGTATTTAAAAAAAGGCCTAAAAGTGTACATACATAAACATGTTTTATCCTATCAACTACCGTATCTAATAAGTGAATATATGTATCAATTTACGACAAAACAATTAGCATTATTTAAATAGAAAGTAAAAGTATCGTATGATAAGTCGTTTCAACTCGATATGGAAATTCAAGTTAATAATGCAATCATAACTGTGATTCGCGAGAAAATATATAATTCAGTGGGAAGTGAAAAATCGGGCATTTCATGAGAGAAACTACGTAAACGATTGAACATGAGTGCGCGGATGTGTCGTATCCGAAATAGTCAAGGTGTTCGATCTTGCGATTGCTCCGTCAAAAACCGTATTTTTAGCTGTCAAAAAGAGAAGGAGATCCGCGCTTGTCCTCCTCCTTACCCTACTCCACCGTAACGATCCCTGACAGAATTTAGAATTTAGGTTAGAAAGGCGGCCTCTTGCTTTAATATAAAAAAAAAGACGTGTCAAGTTTTGGCTCGAGACCTGATAATTTCCTGTCAACATATGAAATCCAATAGAAGTTCACTGGGTTAAGCAACGTTATATACTGTCAATATAATTACCTTTATACGATTAGTGAAACAAAATTCCCGCTAGGAAGTGGCATATGCTAATTGATCGAAACGCGCTCACCAGCTTGCGGAAAGCTCGCGAAGTCCCACGTTAACGCAAGAAGAACCCTTCAACACTCGTCTATCTCCTTTCTTCCCTCCTCGACCAACCGCCGAAAGCAACTCCGCCGCGTGTGAGCAACAAGTATACTCTGAATGTAGTCGTCCGTTAATCCTCGACAGGATGACAAGCCTAGAAAATGAGCATTTTTTTATGTGAGTTACATAATTATTGCGGAGGGTGGCACTATCGCGGTTGCCAATTTAGCACTTAGGTTGCCAACACTGATATATGATTCTACGCTACCTTCAGAATGATGGCAGCTTCGTTATTTCATAACTGTAATTAATTCCGCTACCCTGTAATGTGAGAGAGACCGCGTATCGAAGGATATTTAATAATTAATTTATTTAGATAGGACATATATGTACTTTTATTGCAAATCTAGCGAGTTGTACTGCCGCCTGTCAAAAACGGAATGTTAGCGCCGCTTAGCGACAAAGCGTGGAACTACATATGTCAAAACCGAGCTGTCGGTAACTTACCAGTAAAACTCAGTCGATATTTTGTAGATAGAAATCAACCAGTATGTTATCGACAGAGTTGAGCCGATCTTCCGGAATTCAAATCTTTTATATATATGTAAAGTACAAAGTATGGTGCGGTTGTTCATATTTCCTGATTATATCCTAAATTTTATAACCTTTAATGGTTAAAAATCAATTTTTTAAATCACTTTTAATTTCACATACTTGAACTTCGAATGATCGCGCGGTCGATCGCAGAAAACGAATGAACTGCGCCCTATAGAAAAAACTAGGAACTAAATTTGTGGTCTGCTTTATCTTTTTGACATCTTTCGCGAGTAAAAAATGAACGAAATCATAGTTCTCAAATTTCTTCTACCTGGCGGCTTGTACATCATCCTCTGGATGCTCGTTTTGCTCTATCTGGCCCAAAGAATGTTAATCTGGTATCCATTTGAATATACGATTCGTAGAAATGTTTATGTTACGAATAAATTAACGCAGGTGAGTCTGATCCGCCATTTTCCTGACCGTCGACAGCGACGACAGACATCAATTTCAATATTTTATAACTTTTTGACGATTTTGGTAATATAAAGACCAGACTAACATTCTTTAAAGTCTCCTAAACACGTCTCTCAAATTTTTTTGCAATCTGTTCAGTAATGACGATGTAATTTGAGAACTCATTTCTAGGGATTTTTCTAGAGACTGTCTGTAAGTTTTCAATGTTTGCCAACTGACTGATAAATATTCAATGCAGGGACTTTAACTAGCCACATTGGGGAAAATATTATAAGACATATTGGTAACAAGTCGCCTAGTAGTGTGTGCAAGTGTAGTCATGGCTGTCTGACAAAACATTCGAAATAACAAGAATTAATGTGGTAGTTGCTTATCAAAGGTATCATGCCGTGTTTTTTACGAAGTGTAACATTGCCCTGATTCAAAATTCAAGGAGTTTATTGCCGACATAGCGTGTACGCTTTTATTCAAATCCACGTACTTTGGAGTGTACTTTGTAGATATCGTTGAGGGATAATAATAAATAAGTGGATAACAGTTGTGTGGTGAGGAAGGAAGTACGGAAGGCGCAGCGAGCGTGAGGCTGCAAAATTCTTCTTTGAAATCTTGTTAAAACGAACGTCGCGTCTGACGACCACCGACGATCGATTACGCAAGATGACCATTCTGTCGAAGAAGAAGACGAACGCCTCAAAAGATAGACGAGAAGGAGGCAGCACTTCCGAAGTCGATGTTCATGGAGTGCAAAATGAGCATAACTCTGGGTCCATCACACTACCAAATAGCCCGTATCAGGTGAATGAATATCTCCTCATTGCAGCCATGCTACTCGCATAGTAGTTGCAAGAGCAAACCTTAAACGACCTTTTGCGAACCGTGACAGGTACGTGCAGCGAACGGTTTCGCGGTCGATCTTCATGGGGTTCAATCTGATCACGGATCTGGTTCTATCGTTCTTACTGGAAGTTCGTACGAGGTAAAAAAAATTGACAAGTTAATTTCTTTTTTCTCGAACCATTCGTCATTTCTTTCTTCTTTTATCATTCTTGATTAAACAAAAGTTTTTCAAGAAATAGAGCAAGTAAATTAACGTTTGCTATGCATAGTTTACCATAATCACATACTGTAATGCAATAGTACATTTCAAATGTTGTTGTATTGAAGACAAGCGTTGATCGCCGTGAAGATAAACACTTTGAAGAAGCGAGTGGCCCAAGTCATGGCAAACGTCATAGACAACGAGCAAGTCCCCATAGGTATGCACTTCGAACAAAATATGTGATCAACAATGATTTAATGTAAGATTGTACTTATAATTTTATGATTTATATAAACCCATATGAGTTTCAAAGTATTTCTTCAATTCACGTATTATTATTTTGTTATATTATGTCTGTTTCATGTGCTGTAAATAATACTTTTATCTTTAAATAGTTGTATCGGAAGAAATTCACGTTCAAAACGTGAAAGAGAAAGAGACAGAGGTCGAGAGAGAGAAAGAGAGAGGGAAAGAGAACGTGAAAGACAAGCTACACCTCCAGCTGCTTCCTGCAGTGGCTTACAAGGTTTATATTTATAAAACTCTTGTTATTGTATTAAATAAATGTCCTCACAAAAAATGTTTTATAAATATCCGTTTAAAGAGATAATAAATGGTATAATTTATTTAGCTACGGATGCTGGCATAATAGCTAATAATCGAATGGCTATTGTTGGAGCTGCAGCAAATTTAGAACATGAATTAGCTAATGGTTATAATAGTGGGGATGAATATACTGGCAGAACTGGAAATAATCTTACCTTGGCTGAATGGCAAGAGGTTGGTTTGATATTTTATATTCAAATACTTTATTGCTTAAATGTTCAATAATTGAGACATGCGGTATTCTTCGTGTTTAGCGAGATAGGTGGTTTGAAAAACGAATGCGGAAAATGGGATTTATTGTGAAAAAAATGGGTGAAGATGGAGCATGTCTGTTCAGAGCTGTTGCAGATCAAGTTTATGGTGACCAAGAAATGCATGGTGTAGTAAGGAAGCATTGCATGGATTATATAGTGAGTAGTAGATACAAGGGTAATAGAAGAATTATACGAAAGCAAGATTGTTAATTATATGATACGGTTTTTTAGGCTTCCAATCAAGAATTTTTTTCTCACTTCGTAGCGGAAGATTTTAGCACGTATGTAGATAGGAAACGACAAGAATATGTACATGGAAATCACATAGAAATGCAAGCAATGTCGGAAATGTATAATCGTAGCATTCAGTTATATTGCTACAGCAATGGTGTGTACTAATATATATATTTTTACTTAATGGGTTTCTTAATGAACCTAACGATCACGACTTTTTTAATTGTTTACAGAACCAATCAATATCTTCCATACAATGGTTGAAAGTGATAACGAACCGATACGATTGTCTTATCAACGTGGTAGTCATTATAATAGTATAGTAGACCCATATAAAGCAACAGTTGGTGTTGGACTCGGCCTACCATCATACAATCCTGGTGCTGCAGATCGCCAACTGATATCAGACGCAGTTCGTCAAAGCGAAGAGTTGCATATCGAACAGGTACGAAAATTAAAATTATACTTCTTCATTTTGCTTGATTATCAATAACCGATGAAATGATTTTTCAGACGATGCTGGAAGATAAAATAAAAGCAACGGACTGGGAAGCAACGAACGAAGCAATAGAGGAACAAGTTGCCAGAGAAAGTTATTTGCAATGGTTAAGAGACAACGAGATGCGGAAAGCGGTAAGTCGTGCATGATTTTCTGTTGCTTTGCGTCAATAATGCTAAAGTGCAGCCCTATGCTTTTCGAATAAAGCGATCAGCTAGTAGTAGCAGTACAAGTACGGTGACCAGCGCACAACACAGTCACGCTCATTTTCATCCTCATGGTGGTCGTGGACAACAACGTCATACATCTTCTCCAACCACGACCCAAACTAGCCAAGATAATTTACGAAATTCTCCGAAGGTCCGTTTCATTATCGATTATTCGTTAATGCGGCAACAAAAAAATTTTCTTTCTAATTTTAGGTAAACGATTCGGTAAGATACAACAAAAGGTCGCCTCAACATCAGTCAACCCAAGGATCTACCATACCTCACCTTACCTCGGATTTCGAATCTAAAATTTCTCAAGAACCTATGCCAGGCAGCAGTAAAGAAGCCCGTGCATCGCCAGATATCTCGTTGTTTAATCGTCTTCCTCCCGAAGTATTCGGTAAGACGACTAAAATGACGTGTATGTGCTTTACGTTTAAAAAATTAATTATTATAAAACTTCAATGATGTATTTATAAAATAAATGTTGACAGGTTTGACCGATTGGGAGGACAGTGATATACTTTCACAAGTTTTGGCGACGTCGCAGCAAGAATATTTGGACAGTCTGAAACAATCACGGAGTTCTGCCACCTCCGGCAATGATGCTAACAATATACTAGATTCCAGTAACAGTTAATTTTTAAAACCGTTATCGATAATGTTCAGAGGAATACTGAAGTAAAAGTATATGCATTTTTATGCAGTGTTTTTCATAGGATGTGATATATCCGAAAAAATAAGATAGTTCTAAATCAAAAAATGAAGCAATTCTTAGTGTTATCACATGATCATTAATCGCTAAAGATCATTGATAATTTTGTTGAATGCATGCCTAATAAACTTTTAATTATTAGTAGCAAATCGTATCGTGTCGACTTTCATTAAGATTGCATATATAAAATTAGATTTAAATTCTCAAGTATAGGTATCCAGGAGAATGGTTCGACTGTCATTTTATGATGCCTCATTGTAAACTATTTACACAGTGATGTATTATAATGTGAAACCATAGAAATGGAGCAATACCTCGTTTTGTTCGCGAAAGTAGATAACTTATGAAATTGTTTAAGTTTATTAAGGATGCATCTGATGTCTGCCATTAGTAATAATAAAATGTAATCGATACAAATGATCAGGTAAAAGCATCAAGAATTGTTTTGTTTTTACTTGAAAGGTTTTTGGTTTGATAGGTACTGTGCATCTTATGGGATACTCTGTACATAGTGCAGTATCATCTAATTCTGCATTACAATAGGGTATAAGGTGGTTTGCTTTTTTTTCCATGGAAATAAATGTTCAGTGAGCATTAATCATCGTTCGGTTCCTCTCTGGGATTCTCGATGTATAAACGGGTACTCTAAAATGGTACATACATCGTTCTTAAGTGCACTATTTGAACACTAGAGTAGCCATATTATTTTTGTCTGCAGTGTTTCACCTCACCAGTGTCATGATGTTTTGTACAATCAATTTCAAAGCAAAAGCAGAAAGCAATTCTTTTTCAGTCATTATTATATATATTAAATTTCTTGCGTGTTTCTGGATGCAATGTATACTATCAATGTTTATGCAAACCATGCAATCCGATCGGGATAACTACGTAATTATACCTTTTTCGTGGTACGATATGATGCATCTTAAACGCTTTAGGAAAAATCTTTATTGCGTTATTTGTAAAAAAAAGACAAATAAAACTACTACAATGTAATTTAACTTTGAACTTTCCCTTCCTTTGTGTACTTTTGTTAATTTGTTAGTTTATACGTTGAAATGCAAAGTTAAAATAAATGTACGTATAGATTAATGGATAAGATAGTAATTTTAGAAATATTAGTTAGTATTAAAATAATTCTTTATGAATTGTGAATGAGAATGTTTTTGTAAACACTTTTTATGAATAATAAATCCCTAAATTCATGCACATCATATCTTTGAAATGTGCTAGTAATCATAATTGTTCTAGTATGATTTTATTTAATTGTTTGTAATGGCGCGCCGTCAGTCAATTAATCAAATCAACGTTTTATTATATTCCTTCCCAATTATTTACAGAAAGCAATTATTATTTTTAATTCATTATTTTATTTAAGAATATCAATAAAAATATCAACGAACAATAATATTTCAAAAAATTAAATAAGATGTAAGATAATAAATCGATCATTCTTCAATAGTCAGTAATCGTACTTGTTGGTGAAAGCTTATAATACAACATGGTTTGTTTTTAATATTTTATATAAAAATGTCGATGTATATAAATGATTATGTATTCGAAATATTGTTAGGGCAAGGTAGTTTCGGGTATGTATTTAAATTAAACTTCAATTCTCCATTTTCTTATTATTCTTTGTTTCTAGATCCGTTTATCTAGTGCGACGAAAGAAAGACTCGAAACCGTTCGTCGTGAAAGAACAAGCTTCAGGCGCTATAAATGCTTTACCGTTTAAGGTGAGAAAATTCAATAGAATTAAATAAATTTAGTTTATAATTTATAAATTTATAATTTAATTATAAATTTTGACATATTAACTATTCGAAACTGTTTTACCTACTAGATTCAAAGGTAACAATAACACTTTTTTTGCGGTCTCTTTTACTACTCAAATACATGACCGACAATTAAAAATTTTAATGTAGGTACAATTGTAGGTATCAAAAACGAATTCTGTTTTCGTATAGAATATATTAGAAGAAGTGCAATGTTTGCATACACTAAGGCATCCTAATATAGTCGCTTATTACGGAGCCTGGATAGAAAACAATCACAGTTACATTCTTATGGAGTACGCCACGCGGTGCACCTTAAAGGATTTGCTAGAAAAATATCAATCTCCTCTGAGAGAAGAAGTAAGTTGAAGCCATAGCTTTTTCAAATTTCTTTGATACATCCGTTATCGGTAGAATGCAAAATACATCGCGATATCGCTTGATATTTTTATTTTATTATTTTGTTACGTATTTACACAGGATGCGCTGTACTTATTCTCTCAAATCGTCCTCGGCGTTCATCACATTCATTTCGAGAAGATTCTCCATCGTGATTTAAAGCCAGAGAACATCATGTTGACGGGAAGTCGCGGGGAAATCGTGAAAATTGGAGATTTTGGCGTGTCGAAAAATTTCAAAGAGTATAATATGTAGAAATACTCGGGTACAATGGTTCCTTGAGGACTGAGTGCCCGGTATTTCAACAATAATAATAATAATAGAAATACAGAATAGATTTTATAAGATAAATTAATAATATCTGTTACAGATTAAACAGTCCATCGACCGTGTGTCGCGCTGGATCGTTTTATTATATGGCCCCAGAAATGTTGAAAGGGCAATCTTATGACTTCAAATGCGACATATGGAGCATGGGTGTGATTCTTTATGAAATGGTCACGAAAAGACATCCCTTCCCAGCCACGGTAAATTTATCATTTCAATATAATATTTAATTAAATCATTGTAATCGACGCTATCTTTAAAAATATTTTCAGACATTATCAGAGATCATAAAAATGATTTGCGAAGAAGATCCTCAGCCTCTTCACAAAGATACCTCGGCACCAGTCGTGAATATAATATCAAAAATGTTGAGGAAACAGTCGTTTTATCGTCCAAGAACGAATCAGTTGGTTCTTTGTCCTTATCTCGTACCTTATATCGTTCGGGTGTACATGAATCTCGGACGAATTCCGAAAAATAAGAATTTTGGACCGGAAATGTTTCTGAAATTCTTACGATCACAACGGTTTTAGTTTAAATGAAAAATTTCCGTGCTCTCCAATTCAATTGTTTTCATTCAATTCGAAACAAAAGGCAACCGGTTGATATAATTATTGTAGCTATTTATTGTTAGCTCTATGGAATTGTCCGATGAACGGTTATCGAACTCGGCTGGTATGCGCATACGTAGGATCAAAAGCGTAACGGCAGGAAACGAAGACCGGAACTGCGGAATGTTCGTTTTATTTCATCACGTGCATACCTGCCTCTTGAAAACCGTTCGGTTTGCATTTAGTTAGAAGGATATCATCCTTCTGTTTGTATTAAAGTTTTCAATAATCGTCTAGAAATGAAGAAACTCTTTGTTTAAAGTTGTACGTGTTTGATTCAAAGTGTATCTTCCAATATATTTAAAGTAGATTCACAATGAAATATATAGTACAAATTTTACTTGGAAAATTTTTTAATAAACAGTTAGATTAATCTTTAAAACATCATCAAATTAAAGACTGTTCTTTTTCACAAGGGTGAATTACATAAAGACTCTTTAAACATGTGGTTAGTTTTGTTAATCTGTTACTGTTTGTATTCACTATCGTCCAGTACCTCGTGGTACCCTGTGTATCCTATACTTGGAGAGCAAATAGATCTCGTAGGTACACTGAATGAAAGTTTCACTCATAATTGGACTAAGAGCATTGAAAACGACGAAGCGAAGGATGTATTCGACAGCGATAACCCGTTTAATTCAACGCAAATACCGTTCAATTCCATTGATCGTGATCGGGAACCTTTGGACGAGGTTGAACGCATCGACCCCAGGAATTGGCCCGTCAGACCGGATGTCTTCTACACCCGAACTGTTCCTTCAACTACAGAAATTTCGTTACCACGAAATCCACTTTATCCGTCCACATCGGCGCAAAGGAACTCGTCGACGCAGAGGTAAATTTCTTTCAAATTCATTGAAAAATAGAACGATTTTTAAAGAACATTTCTGGTATTAGATATCCACCGGTCACGGCACCACCTCCTACAGTCTCTGTGGACGAAGTTTTCTGTGATTTTGGATCATTTCCGTCACAGACACTTTGCGAATGGCAAAACGGCGATGGTGTATTAGACTGGGCGGCTGGTACTGGCATGGGTACCAATTGGATGGGTGGTCCTCCAAGCGATTACACGAGTGGAACCATGGAAGGAGGGTATGCTCGTGTTTTTATCAAATTTTTATACATCAAACATCTGAAAATGACTTCTCGATAACCGATTCAATTAGGTATGCCTTCCTGGAAACATCAGAATTGCCATTGAGAGAAAGTAAAACGAAAACTCTGGGAAGTTTATTACACAGCCCTCAATTAGGAAGCACAGGGGTGGTTGGAACTTGTATTATGTTTAAGTATTCCATAGACGGCCTTAGCAGCGCTGGTCTAAGAGTTCTACTGCATGTTGGTCCGGACGAATATTCGAGTAAAAAGGAACAAACCGAAGAGATCACTCCTGATAATACGACGATACCATCTTGCAAACCGATCGAGGTTTTCGACGAACGTGTCATATGGAATGCTCAGTATTACAATCTCGGTATTTGGCAGCAGACACAAATACTGTACACCTTCCCCGAATTACATTCGGTAATTGGGTAATTTTAGTTAATGTTATTGTATTAGAAAGAGCAATAGACATAAGCAAATCATATTGAAACGAGATATTTGTCTCTAGTTAATCATCGAGGGAATTCCTGTAGATCCTACCGATCCAGCGAGATTGTACAGAGGGTACATAGCTGTAGACGACATAGATTTACAACCTGGAACCTCGTGTGTTGGTTTCTGTAACTTTGCCGGTGGCTTTTGCGACTGGTCCAACGACGCAGAGGATGATTTCGATTGGACAATTGTAACTTTATAATCATTAAACATTCTACCATCGTATGAACACGTTTAAACTGTATAAATGAATATTACAGAGTCGAGGAAGTGGAAATCCTACAACAGGACCAGCGATGGACAGTTCGACCGATCGCTCGACAGCTGGAGGATACGCGTACATAGATTCCTCGTTTCCTCGTAGACCCGGAGACAGAGCTAGACTTATTAGCGCCAGTTTTCCAGCACCGAGTGCCGACACACCCATGTGTATGCATTTCTGGTTCCACATGTTCGGCTCCGGAATCGGAGTCCTCAAGCTTTTCCTACGTAATTTCCGTAGCCTCGATACGCCGCTACGAGAAATTTGGAGTTTAAACGGAAACGCTGGAAACACGTGGTTCGTTGCTCAAATTACGATCGGCTCTGTCGATGATTTTCAACTAATCTTCGAAGCGACTGTGGGAAGTACCGGAATGGGAGACATTGCCATTGATGATATCTCTTTCACCCAAGGCTCTTGCCCTGGTAATAATTGTTCGTGACTGGCGACATTGTCCAATGTCATAGTTTTTAATTTAATTATGTACGTTTACAGTTGCGCCTCAAGTTGCCGCGCCTACCCCTAGAGACTGTACTTTTGAGGTAGACGAATGTGACTGGATCAATTCTCGAGATCCCAACCGGGTTGAATGGGAGAGGGTGTCTACGCAAGCATTGAGCCTGAGAAATCAACGAAAACCCTATACCAATGGATATACGATTAACAGAAGAAATGAATATTTCCTGAACCTGGGTCGACCAAGAGGAGGACCACGATCCTCTGGAGGTGGAACGGCGCAGCTGGTTAGTCGAGAAATGAAAGGAACCGATGATCCTCTTTGCGTTACCTTTTGGTACTATATGTTTGAGTCTTTCATTGACTCAACTGGACCAAGTTTAGGTTTGTATCTTCTGATATCTTTGATCTATTTTAATTCAACTACAGTGGTACTATATAAATTTAAAGGCGTGCTTCGTGTATCCATACAAACAACCGGAGAATCTTCCACGGAGACTAGACCAATCTGGCAGCTGTATAATAATCAAGGACCTAGCTGGAATTATGGACAGATTAGTTTAAATGAAAGAAAGGACTTTAACGTAGTTTTTGAAGGAACCTGGGGTCCTAATCGTGCCAGCGGCAGTATCGGCATCGATGATATCTCTTTCTATATCGGTAACTGTTCTGGTAAGCTGCGAGAGATTTCCTTGAAATGTAATAAATGTTGTACAAATTGATTATTATCTTAACAACAATGTTTAGTGAAACCACCTAGCGCGTCTGTAAGAGCAGAGGACTGTAGTTTTGAGAAAGGATTATGCGGTTGGGAGAATATTACAACTTCCGAAAATGAGCGCACTGTTACCTGGCAGCGTGCATTTCCTGCTCACCGTCCGGCTCAGTTATTAGACAAAACGTTCGGAGCAACTGGAGACTTCGTTTTCTTTGATATTTTTACTACAAATAAACAATCGACGAATGTACAACTACGCTCGCCTGTAATACAACAGTCAATCGACGAGGAATCCGTTTGCTTTACCTTTTGGTTCGCTGCCTTCGGAGTCGAGGAATCCACAACGCTGCAGATTATTAAAATGAACGTGGACGAAGAAATGAATGAAGAAAACGATGGAAATGATAATGGACAACAGCCCGTAAGACTTAGAGAAAGATAATTACATGTAAGATCATTGAATTTGACGTTTGACAGGAAATTAATAATTTGCTTTTTTAGTTGTGGTCGTTAACAGCGAAAGGATTTAATAACCCACGACCCGTGTGGACTGCCGCGCAAGTAACCGTAGATGCTCGTGTACCTTACCGCTTAATTTTAAGAGGAACTGCCAGTAACGGAGGTTTTGCTATAGATGATATTAAATTTCAGCCTCAAAGTTGTTCGAGTACGATTTTTCTTTAGTAAACAAATTTAAAAAAATGGCAATTATACATGTTCCTTTTTTGAAATTTTTTAGTTCGACCTGTTACTGCTCTACCCGTTAACAATGGAAGCTGAAATATTGAAGTTTGTAATTACTTGAATTCAGTTTAAAGATGAATTTATCTTCGGTTTACATTTTAAATAAGGTAAGTTTTTGTTTATAGAAAATCTTACTAAAAAACAAAAAGAGAAGAAGGGATTGTTTATTACAACACTTTTGTACGTTAAAAAGTCTTTATTAAAGTTGGCTTTGTTTTTTTAGAATTTGTCTCTTAATTTCAAAAGCAACAATGCCAAGTGCAACTCCTGTATTTAAACTATCAACTCCTTTAACAAGAGGTATATTGATACGAATACTTTTTCTTTCACTTAAGAATTTGTAACAATCCAAACTCAAACCTTCGGTTTCGCCGCTTAGAATAATTACAATTTCGGTTTGCGTATAATCTAAAGAATAGTATGGTACAATAGGTAGATTCAACATGAAACTTTTCATCATTTTCTTATTCTTTGGTACTATTAATTTTGATGCTTCGTTTGTTTCTTCGTTAACACCAAATTTGTTTTTCAATTCTTCTGGATTAATATCAAATATATTCATACTTGATTCAAGCATATTAGGAGAGTACTCTGATATATATTCATCACCAAAGTTGCTGTCTGTCACAAAAACATTGGAGTCTTTACCAATTAAGGATGGAATATCATCCCATACTGGAAATGCATGAATAGGTAAATGAAAATGAGTTCCAGCTGCGCTTCTGAGAACTTTTGGATTCCATAAATCTACGCAACCTAAATACAGAGAAACAATATAAAATCTGAAGATTACAAATTATTTATTAAACATGTTAATATACATAATTTTATAGGTTTACTACCTTTCATTATTATTAACTTCTCACAACCCACACCTGCAGCAGCTCTCATGATGGATCCTAAATTTCCTGGTTCCCTTACATTGTCACAAATTATAGTAACTGGTAATGCATTATCAACAGGAGCAGTATTTTCTACATCAGGTGTACTGAAAATTCCTATGTAATAAAAATTAAAAATTATAAGGTATGAATATTTAAACCTTAAATTATTAAAAAAATATATTTATTACCTAATAATCCTGGAGAAGCAGTTAAACCAGACCATAGTTGAAGTGTTTTATATGGAACTTTATATAACTTAACTTTTTCAGGTATATTTAATTGTGTTATCTCAGAGGAATCATTAAAAAGTATCGCTTTTGGTACTGCACCAGCCTTAAGTGCATCTTGAATTAATCTACGTCCTTCTAAAACCACTTCATCATTCTTTCCTCTTCTTTTTCGAGACTTTAACTCGGTCAGTAATGTTCTGAAATAAAAAGAAAAGCAAAAGAATTCAGCTTATCAGGTGATATCCAAAATAGTGTCCCAATTTTATTTAATAATTCTAATGTATAGATATAAAACTTACGATACGATTTTATCATTTTCTTTGAGATTCGTAAACTTATACTTTTCTTCAGTAATTTCTGTAGGTTTTTTTACAGGTTTCTTTTTTCTTTGCCTTCTTGGAAAAGTTTTGGGACGTAAAGGTTTTTCTTGAGTGGTATCCTCACTTTCGAACAGTTCGTCTTCATTGGCAATTGCAACTGGTCTTCGACTAACCCATCTTGCGTATTGTCGTGTTACATTTAAGTGAACTGTCTGACAAGTATTAGCATATCGAAGTGGTCGAACAACATTGTGCAGAACGTTGAGGAAAACCATTCTAACCATGTTTGTTTCAACTCAAATAGGGTTCAGTTGTGGTTGATGTCGGCGCCATTGCATGAGTACAAATTATAGTTTCTGGTGATGCCATTAGAGGTCTCTTTCCAGTAAGTTTGTGAATTTAAATTGTGCGTTTATTTGATAAGCAATAGTTTCGTATTATTTAGTTAAAAAAAAAATGTATGCATGTTTTCTTCTTTATTTAATCATTTAATACTCTTATCATACATACAGGGAAGTATGGTTGACGCAAGAAATAAAGGATTCAATTTGCAATAGCTAATATTGTCATAGTTATATTTCAAACATAAAAAAAAACAGATATGGAGCAAAATGAATAATTATGAAAGAGGAAATTGTAAGCATATTTTACCTAATTATTCCTTAAGTTGAGATTTACAAAGACACCTGGGTCTAAGTATCAAATCAATAATAATTCAGATTGAATAAAACATATTATAATACATAATTCTTATTCGTATAATACTAGAACAAGACAAAGGTTTGATACCTTGATCCGTGTGTCTTATTTACGCTCTTTAAATTAATTTCATTTCAGTTTACATAAATCTTCTATTTCTAACATTATTCGGAATATATTTTCTTTGTGTAATAGTTCCACATGTATACATGTCATATGTACTTGCACGCGTTTGAATAACAGAGAATCCAAAGAGATTTTAACCAGTCTCTATAGTATTGGATATCAGGCACTGATTCCATGATTAAAGAATCCTGGCTAAAAATATCCATTTTTCTTCATTTTTTTGAAACTTAATACGATGAAAATAGTAATAGTTGCAGTTGCATAACAAATGTATATTATATATATTTGTGTACTCTGATATGCATGTATATACGTACAGATGGATGTATACAAGTATAAAGTATTTATAATCAGACGTTGGAATCGCAATTGATATCAAACTGCTTCTATATAATTGTTCAGAAGTTTTCGTTTTGTACGCATCATAAGAGCTGAAAGTGATTAATTCCCAGCATGAGATATGGATTAAGCCACGTAAATATTTGTCTTTAGCCTATTTAACTTTTGTTATACGATTACAAGAAACGTTTATATTTATTGTCTTTAATATAATTCTGATCTTTAAGCGCTTATCATTGGCACATAACCTATAATAGTAAGTAAAACGAATACACGTATGATTAAGTTTGATAGTATTATACATATATAAAAGATTTAATCATAAAATATACTTCTTCATTCCTCTATTAATCATCTTTTGGACAGCAAAAAGAGAATCTAATAGAAGACGAACTGAACGTTCAAAATTTGGCGGGTAATCGATCGAGCGCTTAAGGATCGAAGATAATCGTTTGTACGCATAATCGATATACATGAAATTCAAGTATGTCGGAACAAGATGTTCGTCAAGAATTGAAGCTTTACGTGTAAGTTTATTTTAATTTCATACTAATATACTCGTCTTATTTTGAAATTACTTATACATTCTCGCGAAATTTGAAATTGTAATCGCATTCGCGTTGATTATACGTACAGACTACAAGAATATCTCTTAAGAATAGTTATTGTCTTCGGTACAGTTCCGTTGATTATGTATTATAGTTTCTTAACTTAAATATGTATACATATACATATACATATATATATATATACTGTCAAAATTTTCAAAATATTAGTCTTTCTATTTTATTGTCCAAGTTCAAACGAGGCGGAGAAAACCAGAGCAACGTGATGCGTCAATTTCAATCTTCATCTTCAAAAAGAAAAAAAAAGTTAAGGCGCTCGATGGAACAGGAACATTATTGATAGTAGAATTATTAACCTACTAGAACTTATATATCACAATGAACATTTGTTAGAGTAAGGTATTATAGCTCGTCAATAAAATTAATAACATTGTAATTTCAAAATTAATGTAAATTTGTTCAAACATTTATTTAGTTTAGGTTAGACGTTTGCAGTCACCTCAACACTTTTCAAAACCTTTATTAAGTATTTTTAATAATTAGATCCTTTTTCAAACCTTAATTATTTTTAAAAATAAAATATGTCTAAACTTTTCTTTGGTTTTTAGGAACATCATATATAAAGGATGTATAGAATATCCATCAGAAGTAGAAGAACATGGTACACAACTATAAAGATTTAACTCGGTATACTCGGGTTTTCTCCGCCCAGCGATGGCAAGTTGCGATTACATCACCGCCATTGTTATATTCGGAGATAGTATTAAATTTATACATCTGCAAGATTCTAGATAGGCGGTCAACGTCGCCCACGCAATTAAATCTGTGCGATTTTAAACGAATTAAGAAAATATACATTTATGGTATTCCCTCGTTTTAAGCCGTATTATGCTGCGACTTACCACGATCCGTTCCGTTATTGACTTCTCATTGGTTTTTTTTTTTTTTTTTTTTTCTTAAAGGGCACAGGTAACGTTAGACTCTAACTGTTAGAAGAGAACAGAAAGATCGAGATCTCGGTGGTACGAGCTTAAGATAACCAAGGGCTCGAGCAACCCTAGAGGAGGACGAAGTGGCAACGAAATCATTGAAATCCATCCAGGGGGTGGGTTACGATACTCATCGCTACAAACGCAAGAAGCTTGATTCACGTTAGTTTCAAGATGTCAGAGATTTCGAGAGAGAAGCAGATGCGAATCATTTTTGCGTCCTGTCGCGTATAAATGTGTCGGATGAACCGATACATCCAATTTTCTTTCAGCCTTTTCCTAATAAATCGTACTAATGCAACATGTATTCTCGAGACTCAGGTTCGCTTCTCTGAAAGAAGTGTTCAATCTTTGCATATCAACTATATTTAACATATAAATTTAAATTTAGCATCGTATATAAAAATTCCGTTATTGTTCGTTACTTACCGACCAGATCTGTCCAATATTGGGCACGTTCGACGTATACCGTCCCTCGCCAAAATCGTAATTGATTTCCGTCGGAATTCGCACTGTCGGCTTCGCAAATTGCTTACGGGAATGTTGCATGTTTAAAAATTGATCGTCGTTCATCGCATCTTTGAAGATGGAAGTCTTATCCGCCTTGCGTTGCTCCTGAAATTATTCAATCTCGTTTTCAATACATAGACCGAACAATAACGTTGAATTTCTTATTATAGATTAAACCTGTAGATCTACCTGTACTTCCCGGGCGCGTTCAGCTTGAAGCAGTTCCATCAGCTGTTGAAACTTGCCGGCTTGAGGAACCTGAGACAGAGGAGGTGAGCCACCACCCGCCGCGCGATAGCTGGTCATACGTGTCCTCGACGATGGTGGATACGAATTAACCGTGCCGTATAAACGAGGGATCTTATCGAAAGGCCGGGGAGAATGTCGCATACCGTTTCTTAGCCGACTTCCTGCCGGCGCTTTATGGACCATTCTTCCATAAATAGGTGCGTTACCACCGGCTCGGTTACGAGGTCTTCCAGTGAATCTTCCTGTACAATTGTTAGGTAACGTAAATAGATTATCCTCAAATAAATCGTACAGACAATGAGATGACATATATATTACAGGTAGTTAAGTTTGGCGCATGTAATCGTTATAAATATTCAATTGAAAGGGTTAAATTAAATAGAAGGGGTACAGCATGTTGTTGTCAGAATTGGAACTTCGTATTTTATCCAATTATTCGCCACCGGTTCTGCACGAAGTTTAAGTCAAAGGGCTTTTAACGATAGCTCTAATGTATAGATAGGCGCTGATAATCAGATTATTTCGTCTATACCCCTTTGCCTGTTTGCCATGGAAACTAAGTGGAATTAAATCTTGATCAAACAGTAAAGGTAAGGTATATGGTATATTGATCAATTAATACTATGTATAAACTCCAAGCAGTAACGGGTAATTAACGACACTGAGTAGAAGCTTATTTAGAAAGAGGTTGTTCTGTATAATTGTATTTAAATGATCTATGGATATTTTTCAACAGGAATCCGAGGGAACATAAAGTTGATCAAGTGGATGAATATATTACCTCGATAGCTAAGAGGAGGCTTGGTCCGTTCGGAGTAAGACTTCCATACGTTGTAGGAAAATGGATCAGGGTAAAGAGAGTAGCCAGTGGTGGTTTTAGCAGCCCTGCTCTGTCGTTTGGTATACCTCCACATTGCCCTCAATTCTTCGCATGTCGGCTCGGTCAGGTCAACGCGCTTCTCGGCGATGTCGCCGGAGTTCCCTGATTGCGCTGAGATCGGATCGATGTATCGTATACCGAACGCGAATGGGCTGTTCGAGTACGCTAACACGAAAGCGGTCCATACAGCTACGGCACGCATTTTCTGGAAACGAAAGAAATATATTTGTATTTGTAATTCCGGTACGATAGATTTTTATATTTAATTACGATATAATGTAAAAGCGGTAATTTCGCGGTGTTAATAATGGTAGAGGAATAATTTCTTGATTACTCATTACCCAAAGAGTCAATAACGCTTGTCGGTTAAATTATTTGTTTATTTTTACACCTTCTGTGTATTTAAATAGCTGATTGAATCTATATTTCAGATTTTTTTTTAAATTTTAATATGCAGGGTAGAAATGAAAAAAGTTGAAGATATAAATAAGTTTCTTTTTGAAATAATAATGACCTTTCATTCTATTCAGTAAATTGATCTCATTAATATATAATTTCATTATGGGGCTTTCTTTGATTAGCAGATAATAGACGGACAATTATCATTTCCTTTTTGTGCCTCGCAGGACATAAAATTTAATCATCCTCGATATTCGTGTCACGGAATTTCAATTAACCACGGTGTACCCTTGCATTAGCTCGTTAATTGAATATGCGAGGAAAATTCACAGCATTGATTGTTCCATAATTCTTGAAACTTGATTTCAATCAACAGTTGTGCGAATGATAGAAACAATATCACTCAATTATTCTCTATTTTTAAATACTAATCTTTATTTTAAGCAATATTTTAGCTTTAAAATCAATTCTATATTTATACTATGGTATTTAACAAATTGTTTTATTAATCATTAAGACAAAATTACTCGGTCATTCACACTTTAATACCTCTAATTAACGTTTAATGATATTCTAAAAAGAATAGCTGTTCCTAGCTGGCTTTTCGATCGCTTTCAATGACATTAGTCTATAATTTATCCTGCATTGTTTCTTAATACTCTATTTTCGCTGTTTCTTTATGTGTATTGAAATTCGTACATTAAATTACTTTCGGACACAATGAACATCTAAAACGCATCCTTCTTGTAAGAAAATTATTTATACGACATACATTCAAACGAACAGGTATTGTTTCTTCATTTTCCGTCAGTTGATTGCGCATGAAAAAGTTATTTCAAGAAATGTAGAAATTCGAAGACAAATACAGAATGAAATCGAACTTATTGATCGATCTTTCGATATTTCTAAATAGTATACTCTCTATTCGCTGTAACATTTTTATTATACATATACTAATATTTTCTTTAACACTTTCCAGAATATCATCTACCCTCGAAGAAAGAAGACAACGTAAAGAACCACATGGAACAATGGATACAAATCTTAATGAAACTTTCTACGATTGAAACGATTTCACAGATATCTTTCAAAAGAATTAATACATTTTACAGCAATTGAAGGATCAGGTTTTTATACAATATAGACTAAATTGTCACTTGTAAGAATACTCGAACTGTTATACATTTTCATGCATTAATTAATCGAGCAATCAATGAAAATTTACAGACGATCGAGGAAATAGAGAAATAAAGAAAAAAGGGGACACGAGTGTACCTGTAACAGGTGAACCTAAGTATGCTGACAAGTATTTGGCGGTCGATCAGCGAACTGCGAAGGGAAGAAAACCTTTTCCACGGCGAACTTCAATAAATCAAGGGAAACAGCGATCGAGCAAGGAACGCGACTCGCATGAATGGAGCCAGCGGACACACGAGGGTGGAAAGGAGGTAGTGAGCGAGAGAATGGGTGAAACAGAGAGGGTAGCAAAGAAGAGGAAGGAGGTCAAGAGTGGAACGAAGAGAAACTGGTGAATGAACGAGGGAGCCGGATTCACTAACCTGCTAGTCCACGCAGTCCGGAAACCGAGGAGCAACTGAGAGAGGTGGTATCATCGGGGCGACTATTCGCCTTCCTTTCTACCCCCGCTTCGAGCACAACCCCTGTTCGCTTCAACCCCTCTCTCCACCTTGTCGAGCTCCCTCTTCTCTTCCCTTTCCTTCTTTTTTCTCTGCTCCTCTCTTTTCTATAGGGAGCTTTTCGTCAGAACGACGAGCTTTTCTTGGAAGTTCGACTTTAGCCTTCTTCGAGATCCATTTTCTCCTCTTTTACGTATTTTTATGGTGTCTTTGTCTCTGTTCCATGCTTTCCTTTCCCTTTATTATTACTATATATTTGAGGCTTGACAATTTATCATGTTCAATTTTTTCTACCTTTTTATTCAATTTTTCTTGACATTGAATTTCCAGATATTATGCTGCTACTACTGGGTAGGAATAATGCAACTCTTTGATTGCAATGACTGAACGGATCTATTGAATGCCATGAATCGATGTTTGATATTACATACAAGAAGATAAGAGAATTTTTCGTTACATTATGTTGACTGTGCTGATTGAATATCGAAATGTCATTGACGTAGGTTTCAACAGAAAATGAACGTACAATTACATTTAGGTAAGATTTGGATCCATTAAGTAAATAAAAAAATATGAGATTTTGTTGGATTCAGCTCCGATAACTATTTTTTATCATGCAAACTCGAGGATGGCAGATCGTGGACAAGCTTACGGCTAAGTTCCGGTCCGCCTGCGCAACAAGTTTCTCCCTGGGACTTAAAATCGTTGTAGCCCGCATCCTCAGCCTAAATGAGAAATAGTTGCGCCGTTGAAGAACCTGCTTTATCAAAAATCAATGTCCAATTTGTGTCTGATTTTATGAAAACAAAATAAGTGTAAGAATCAATATCTTATACATATAAAATTATAATTTTAAGAAAGGTAACTTGAATTAAGTCTGTATTAAAATCTCAATTAATTGGTATAAATTTTAAATAATTGCAGGTGTATTCGTTGAAAACTTGATTGGCTGACTACTTGCAGGATCAATCTACTCTCCTCCTCCTTTAGGTATGTACTCTACCGTACAATAGAAAAATTTATCCGCCACGCTCCATATAATGAATACAAAATGTTTCCGTGAATTGAACGGTATTGCGATTGGAAAAGGTTTGAATATTCCATGAAACAAGATGTAAGAAAGCACGTTATATCTTTCCATTGACATCACTTTGTGCTAGCTCTATTGAGAATCATTGTTGTCACAGACATACGTAGTCTCTCCCAAAACTTATCGAACTGGAATAATCAACGGAGATAATATCTCCTTTAACATACTATATGGTTACGTATTACCAAACAAGTAAATTATCTAAACTCCTTATCCGCAATTAAAGATCAACATATCGGTAACAAATGTTTCATACATATATATAATAAATTGAATGTAAGAAAAAAAAAATGATATATATTATCAGAAGTAGATATACTGTAAAATGAAACATTCAAAGAGCCAGGTTTTGGAAAATTATTATATAAGGGTGAATGTAAATTTTAGGACAAAGTGGTTATGCCTGCATTGGTGCGTATAATCGAAGACAGGGGGTGAACTCCCTCCCCCTCCCCCTCGTTAACCACCCACGGTATTCCAGTAATCGGGGCTACCGTCCCTCTTCTTCGCTCCCTTTACCCCGTCATCTTTCAAGGCCCCTTCCCCTCCGCCAACCCCGTGTCTCAGCAGTGCGGCTGCTGAATGACCGAAAGTGGGGGTAACTCATCTCTTCCAACCACCCACGCAATCAATAGCAGCCTTGCTGCTTCTACTGAATGGACTCTGCCCTCCACGGTCTCCACTGCTCTTCGTCTGCTTCGTGCCGGCTTCTATTCCTTCTCACCCTCACTCTATCGATTACTACGCCCTTGCCGTGTGATCCTGCGGGGGGCTGCTCTATCGACCCATCCACCTGTATTACAGTTCATTCATAAATCTTAGCTGCTTTTCACTCGAGAATCACGGCCGCATTTTTTTTCACTCGATTACAGATATGAAATGCCTGCTTTGTGCTTCATTGTAATCGGTATCATCGATACAACAGTGTTTATTGTACATTATTATAATGCTCGTAAACGTTTCAGTTAATAATAGCACGAAGCACGTGCGCGAGTGGGGAATGTCAGCCTGCTGTATCATATCTTTCTTCCATAGTTTAACCCTTTGTCATCCGAACGTGCCTTGCATCTACTTTTATATATGTATATTAAATTTGTGAAAGTTCAAAGTTCAAATAGGTCAAATTTCAAGATAAATTATAGCTGGATATGTTGCTTTTAATATGAGATGGACAAGGAATGCAATATCCTTCTTTTTTCTGGTCAGTGAAGGAACGTTTCATCAAATTCTTTCCCTTCCTCTGATTTCTTTGTCTGGCAAATAGAAACAGCTGACAGTGTTATCCAATATAGTGGTCTTCTAGACAATCATTTCACGGTGGAGCTGATAAAGAGGTGCTTCAAAAAAACACCCGCGTGATGTTATTGAGCGAACGCTGAATATTTCGGCTTGAAATTCGTGGTACTCAGAAACTGATTGGCATTTAATCAATTCAGCCCTTTGTGGGTAGAGTTCAGGGGTTTGGTATTACAAAATCATAAGGGATGTAATGGAAGAGATAGAAACGTTTTTCTAAATAGTTAATAAATTCATTTATTACATTTTTGTTAAATACTGTACATTATTCTATTAGTTTTAAATGCTCGTGTACGAATTTGCTAGTAAGCAACTAGAGGTCTACAATTTATTACAAGCTACAAATTGCGAGACATAATTTAGAGTTTTATATTGGATTTCAAGTTAATTTATCATCTAATTAATTTCACACGGTCACTTACACATGGAACTTACAGTATCGAATGTTGCAATGTCGTTATAAAATATTTATGTGATGCAATATGTGAATATAATAATTTCACACCCTTATGCTATGTGTAACTGTTATATCGAAGCTTAGTGTGATTAAAACAATATTCTATAAATATAGAAATACTTTAGAACATCGATACAAAAAACACCATTTCGTATTTCACATTTGAGCCGAGAATCGCGATGATTTTATTTTGATTTCAGGGTATAAATTAATCGTGAACTCATGTAAAATCAACACTGCATTTAATTGAACCTAGTACTTTTTTTCTCCCTTTTTTTTTCTCTTAATACTTTGGAAAGATTGTTCACTTATTCTTTAGATTTCTAACAATTAACTATAATGCACAAAAACGTGTGTGTATGTGTGTCACATTCGACGTTTACACGTTAGTAAAACACCAATGTTACAATTTGTATGACATGTATCCGGTATACTTTAAAAGAGACGTAAAAAAAAAAAAAAAAAAAAAAAAACAACAACACATGAATTGTACGCAATTGTTTGGTCCTTAACCGCTCGTGGAAGATCATCTCTCACTGCTCCAGTAGCTCTTACCGATAACTTCTACAAACATACAGATTTTCTTAAGCCATATGCAATTGTAATTTCATCGTATAGAAAGTGATAGTAAATGCGTCAGCATTCAGCGAACGTACCATTACTTACCTGTACGATTGCTCACTGGGCTACGACTTCGGGAATAACTCCGACTATAGCTTCGACGATTCCCACGTCCATTGTGTTCCCTACTGTGACTTCTACTTCTACTTCTCGAATAACTGCGATCTTTACCATTACGTCCACCCCGAGACCGCCATCTATTTCTTCCACCTAAGAGCAATCGTTCGTTTATCAAATAAATCTATACGTTTCTGTTTAGGAAAATTAAATTTTGGCAATATGATTACCTCTGTGCCTGCCGTATCCACCACTCTTATTATCGGCTAGTTCCAGTAACTTTGGATTTATAACTTGATTCGCTTCTTTTAGTACCTGGATTAGGTCGTTAGCCTTATTGGAATTATTAGGTGTAAAAAAGGTATACGCTGTACCAGTTTTTTGCCGACGACCAGTACGACCGATTCGATGAACATAATCTTCTGAACAGGAGGGGTAATCAAAATTGATGACAAACTTGACGTCTTCAACGTCTGAAATAAAGCATACGTATTAGCTGTTAATTAGTGGAAGCATCCGCCCTCCAAGACAGACATTTGTTAAGATAGTAGTAATGACCAGGCGTATATAAAAGTATCAATCATTTATTCTGAATAAATATGTTCATTAATACGCTCTCCAACTGATATGTAATTAAATCTTTAGAAGTATTTACTTTTAATTGCATTTAATTTAATATCCAAGTAAAATGATAATGTTGAAAAAGAATGGAAAAGAATACTAACGTTTCTTTAGAGAGCGTTTTGACTACATTATAAAATTCTGAAATAAAGATAAATTTCCGCGCGTAAACAATTCTGGTTTCCTTTGCTAAATTACTAATTGCAATAAATTCATTTTGACAAACTTTGCAAAAGAGCACATTATTATAAACATAGAAAAAATTACTTGATCATTTGTTTTTCGTTTTAATATAATGATTACATTTTTAAGGAACGAAAAAATAAAAATAAACGATAATGAAACCAGAATTGATACATATAAAATCTTATTTGATACGATAGTTAGTAATTGTGAAGATGTAGTGATATAGTTATCGTAAAGGACTTAGAAGGATGAAGGAAATGTGAATTCAAGTGGATATAAAATGTGATAAATGTGTATGTATACAGAGATATACATACACATATACATATATATACAGCTAGGAAATGTTTTAGAAAATGTGTTCTATTTAACACCTTAGAAATTCTTGAACAAAAGACAAGAAAGCTCTTGTCAATTTTGTGTGATCATTAGTCAACAACTTTCTCAATTCACATCAAATATTATATTCAAGTTATTTCACATTATGAAATGGTATTTTTTTAAAAATTATCCTGTACAATGTAAAGTTGATAAATGATGACCACATGAAAATATCAAAAATTAACTTATCCTTGACTCAGGAATTTCTTATGCATTCTACTGTATCACATTTTATAAAACATTTCCTTATGTATGTATATGCAAAAAGTGTACATATAGAATCCCCTAGAAAAATACATCTAAACTATATAACATCGATGTTCCAATCTAAGATGTTTTTGATTAGATGAAATGTTCGTGCACCTTTTAATAAAGAAGATATTTAATTAAGAACTTCGTTAATAAACATATTAATAAGTAAGTAAAGTACACGTTAACGATGGTATCTTCTAAACTAGCAGGTACGCAACATTCAATGTTGATCAAAGTGTCTGTTCAATCAAGAATCATCTTAGACCTAGCTGAAAGAAGGATGTGATACAGTGAAATTGCTTTCTTTTTCTAGGTGATTCTAATTCTGTATATAGCTATATATATATAGCGATTAATTTTAAGATTACTGTTATACTAAAATTAGGCAGTGGGTGAGTGTCGCTAGCAACGTACGGGCAGGGCCTGGCTGTTTGCGCTCGCTCCAGCTACAGCCTCCGCCATTCTGTTGCTACAGGGCACACTTAGAGGCTCTGGCATCAGCTACCATGCCACCGCCTCATTGGACCGTTGTTGGGTCTGATTAGCTTGAGCGGCCAGCGCAGGGGATTCTATTCTGGCAACAACGACTTGGCCAGCCCAGATGGCGTACAGCGTAGCGTAGAACTGATATCCAGTATGTAGGAGGTAAAGTAGACCCCGATTTGGCCCGGACTGGCCCTTCACGGAATTGACGTATAGAGGCACGCGTCGCAGCCAGCGCAGACAATGCAAACCAGTGCACCACCGAACAAACAGGCGGCGGGCACCCCCAATTTGCTTTGCATTACCCGGCGTGGGCCTGCGCGCAATGTGCCTCTGCAATACAAACAAAGATCCAACCGCGTTAGGTACATGTTTACCTCATTATCTTCCTGTATGTTCAATATGAATTTTGCATTACTATTGATTTTTTTTTTTCTTTGGTTTTTGGTCTTTAGCTGAATTCTGATAATCTTAGAGAGTCGAATTTATGAAAGAAATAATGATTTTACTAGTAGATTGTCTTTATACAATTTCGGCAAGCGCGTTTTAATTTCAATTGCAATATCAGAATGTGAAAATCTCAATGATTACAGTTGGCATACAATGCTGTATTAGGATTCTACGAAACCATTCAATTATTTAATTGAAAAAGAAAGAAAATAAATTAATACCTAAGGTTTTTATTTCAACTTACAATTAGTTTCTTTTCACAATTTTGAAATTGATTTGAATTCTTCTGAAATATACAAAGTGCTTTTATACCTTCATAAATGAATAGCTTGCCGACCATATTTAATATGAGTTTAAATTCATTTTATTTTCATGTATTATTGAAAAATTATTACCTTCAGCAAAGTGAGGAAGCAAATAAACACAAATATTAGAAATGTTGCATGAACCACATTATGTACTTAGAATATTAAAATTGATATTTGAGGTTTAGTAATGACTTTTTAAAAAATATCAGAGACATGACAATATTAAGATTATAAATAAAGTGGTACATAAAGTGATTCAAGCATAGATCAATGAAACCTTGTTCTGATTATTCTAATATAAAAATCTTGTAAAAACATTAGTACCAATAATATGAAAAACACAAATAATATAATGCATATAATTTTTACTTTTTTCAACATATGTTGTGTCAGAACAAGGTATCTCATAATGCAGTACTTATTAAGCTCAAATAAGACTGGTAGAAATGTGTTTTAGAGCAATTCATTCTCCATACGAAAGGAAAATGACCAATGATGTTTGATCTTATTATTTTATCGAATCATAATAATAATCTTACTTACCAAGGCCACGAGCAGCAACATCTGTTGCAACCAGAATTGGCGCCTTTCCTGATCTAAAATCTAAAAATGAAATACAAAATTTAGTAACAAGTTCTAATTCTGATTAATGTTTTTCAATCACGGTTTTACCTTGTAAAACCCAATCTCTTTCTTGCTGTGTCTTGTCACCATGTATACAAACAGCTGGCCAACCATCTCTCTTCATTTTTCTGGTTATTTCATCCACCCTCCGTTTCGTTTCAATAAATACTATGGTTTTATTTTCACTTTCAGCCATTATTTCTTTTAAAAGTGTACTTAATCTGCGGAAAGCGAAAAGAAATTTATAAGATATTAGATTCTAAATTTTCTACTTTTCTTTTTAGCAACTTACTTATTTTCTTTTTCGTAATCTTGGCATACATCGATGATTTGTAATATATTATGATTTGCAGCTAATTGTAAAGATCCAACATTTATTTGAGCATAATCTTTTAGAAAATCTTCGGCTAAGTTCTTCACTTCTTTAGGCCATGTAGCAGACCACATTAACGTCTGTCGGTCTGGCCTAATTTGCTCTATAATTTTTCTAATTTGAGGTTCAAATCCCATATCTAACATTCTGTCTGCTTCATCCAGTACCAAATAGGTACACCTTTTTAAATTTGTCCGTCCTGATTCGAGGAAATCTAATAATCTACCTGGTGTAGCTATCACAATTTCTACACCTCCGTCCAAATCTCTAGCTTGAGCACCTTTCGGTGCTCCGCCGTACAGACAAGTATTTCTAATGCCTGAAGTATGGCCAAAATCATCAGCAACTTGCTGAATTTGTTGGGCAAGTTCTCGAGTAGGAGCTAATACCAACGCGATAGGTCCATCTTTTCGACCTAATTTCGGCTGACTATTGATATGAACAATTGCAGGCAATATATAGGACAATGTTTTTCCAGAACCAGTTGATGCAATTCCGACCATGTCTCTTCCGCTTAGAGCAATTGGCCAACCTTGTGCTTGTATCGATGTAGGCTCTGTAAAACCTTGCCGTCTGAAATGATAAAAATTTCAGTCATTTTTACCAGAAGGAACAATCTTTTTATTTTAACAATTCTAATAATTTTTTATTAAGTTTTATCATTTCAAAAAGTAAGTGGAGAAGAATTGAGGTTTCTTTTTCATATATCTTTCATCTTATTTAAGATAAATGAAGTTCAAAGGGGAATACAATTTTGGTTCCATTCTTACTTGATCTGATGGAAGTTAAGTTTCCAGACTAAGCAAGTTTTAAGTTGTGACGCTATTCTTGATGATGAACATTATCATCACATACTGGATACTTGTTCTAGACTTAAGAAACAAATTCTAATATCACCATGATAAAATAACTGCTCTTTGTAGCTACTACATTCAGTCTGCTTCTATTATGAGAACATTGTTCCTCCAAAAATACTTACTTTATTTCTTTTAGAACATAGTCTGGAAAACCTGTTTCTTCAAATGTGAATACTGGATTGGGTATATTTTTTCCCTTTAGCGTAATCTCTTTTTCACTTCTATATTGTTCAACTATCCGTGGGTCACGATTCTGAACCGCATCGTTTGGTACATAAAAATCTTTCTTAAAAGGTTCTAATCTACTCAGATCCCATCTGGGTTTCCTTAAGTTTGCTCCAGGTTGTCCACGGCTGTTTCTACCGCCTCCTCTATCTCTGCCTCCACTATTACCCCAGGTTCTTCTATCCCTTGGTGATCTACTACGAGATCTACTGCGTGATCTGCGTCTCCTATCTCTATCACGGCTACGACTAAAATAAAAGAAATTGTTAGTTTAGAAGTATGCATTAAATCCATTCAGTTAGCTCGAAGCAATAGATTACTCTATGCTATGCATTAACTACTTTTGTATTAACATCCCATGAAGTTTATCTCAAAGAAGTGTGGAAGGTTATAACCATTATAAGAACAGTGGATATCTTAAGATTCTCTCAGGGTTGAGTTTATTTTTTGTTTGTTTCTTTCCAGAGCATTTGCTATACTTTATAAACGATAATAATATATTTGCATTCCTCTCAAATGTGTTATACCAGTGCTGAACACTGGGCATATTGATAAGATACATCCGTATATCTATATACATGTGTATGGCTTACCTCCTGTAGCGACCCATATTCAGTTTCTTCTCAGTTTTCCTCTACTGTGATACAATGTTATCCTGTCAATAATAATTACTTAAGTACAAAAAAACGTGATATACTACGTAAGTTGTGAAACTTAAATCCAATCAAAAGACGCAAATGAAAGCGGCTTCCATACCACTAACGACACAATCATAAGGAAGAAGAAAGATATCATGAAATTTGCAACGCATGCGCAACAATCGGTATACCTCTTTTTAACATTTAATTTTCGTGTTTTCATAAAAAAATATATCGTAACTATTGCTAATGAAATGATGACTTCAGTATTATAAATACTATTGAAAGGAACATTTTTATTTCGATTGAATAATACACGTTCAGTGTATGAAGTTTAAATTTGGGAGATCTATTCACATATATACTATTATTCTTTTTTGTCATTATCATCTAACTTTTTGTTAGAACATAAAATTTTCTTCAAAATAGAAACTGATATCGTTTATCAACGACTAGACAGATCATTTTTTACACAGTACAAAATAATCAGTCATGTTTCTACTCTTCAATACTAATCATAATGGTTCCGCAGCAAAGCGAAATGTTTGTCCTTTAGTAGCTCCTGAACCATTGTAGCGGGAGGAGAGGTTAGCTTCGCTCTCTGCATTGTCATTTTTTTACACTTGAAAAAGAACAAAAAAGTTTCTCATTATGTATCAAATATGACTCCAGTAAGATCTCTTTATTCTTTCTTTTCAAAGTGTTAAATTCTCCTTAAAGTAATCAATTATATTTCAGATATAGAACAACATGAACGTATAATTTGTGAAGGAAATATTTTTTCAGATTATTTGACATTTGAACTAATGTACCGTGAGATGAATAAATTTGAATGAAGTGGAAAGTTCTGTAAAAAGTATTGTGATGATTAAAAGCAGTAAGGTTGAAAGGTGATAATGAATACACGCGGAAACCTTGAACGGCGAACGTGTAACGAGAAACAATATGCATGATCTAATAAGACGAAGCAAAGAGGTGGTCGCGCGAGAAATGTGATGAGAAATCGTGCGGACGTCAACGGCAGCAGCAACTTTCAGGATCATCATCGGTTCTTCATTTTTTGTCATGTAACAGCTACGATACAATGAGAAACGGGACGATTACAACGCGTGCTGATGTTTACGCAGAAGAAATTCCCTGCACATCTGATAGGTAATTAGTGCACACTTAATCCATTAATAATCACAGTTGTCTTTTATGAAGCACGCGATATCGAGTGAGCGGCAGCAGATATGTAACTGTCTATATGCATGTATTTTTATTTCAAGTGAAAAATACTATTTTTAAAATAGTATACATATTTTCAATTCCTGGAATTTAATTGATAATTGGAATGCGGAAATTTTTGTACCAATTATTTTTTTTATTTCTATATCGAATTAAAAATATCTCGTCTCAGCTGCTTTGTGATATCTTGTAACTTCTAAGAAGGTAACAATGTAACTTAATCTTGTCATCTCCGAAGGTAAACGATATAAATATGAACAACACCGAACAAATATGACATATCTTAAAATGGTATTTGAAAGTTTTTAAAAACAGTTTTCTCGAATTCACGTATCGTGGATATATGTATAGTCTGAACGTAGAGATGTATAGTTAAACTTTTCGGGAAGCCATTGGCACAGAAGGTTTCCTTTTTGCTCTGTGTCTATTCTACTTTAAAACCGGTTTCATGTTAGGTGGGTGTACATATACTAAAGGATGGGATAAGTCAAACCGAGAAGAGCGTCTGCTTCGGTGAAGACTAAATACCGATTAAAAAATGATGACATTATATGTAACCATACTACTTTTATAAATAGATGTTATATTAATACATCGCTATTTTTAAGCCTGTTACATTTGACTATATTTTGTTTCAAACATTGAATTATTTAATAACTATAACTCTACAGTGAGAGAAAAAGAGAGTACATTAACGGTGGTAAAAATACATCCGGTCCTCGATACATTAAGCAATGGGAACATTACATAGTAATAAGGAGGGTGCATTGATTAGAGCCAATACACATTTGGTCCTTTGTGATTTAAATAATAAAAATCTAATATTCTTATACTGTTTTTTTTCGATAGACTTAAATTTATTATTAAATTATTTAACAGCAAAGGATAATAGAAAATTATGATATAAGTTGTATTTCGAAATAATACAAAATATTTCATAAATCAACTTTTATCATAGTTTTGTTTTTAAAAATTATCGATAGTCGAACATTATCGAACGATAAGGCGGTATTACAGTCAAGATTCGATGTGTCAAAGTTTCGTTGATTATTTTAATTACATCACTGCTTTTTATTATTAGGACGGTCTGCAAAATTGATTGTATAGCATTATTTATTGTTGGAATTTCTTTAAATCAGTGATTTGGTAGTTCGATGAAATATTTCGTCTCTACCTTACCTGCTTCCCCTTCTTGGCAGTGCGCTTCGCTTGTCTCTTCTTTGTCAGTCCTCTCTGTGGCTGCGTGCTTGTCGCTCGTTCAAATCGAGATGGTCTATAATTTCGATTCTTTGTACGGTCATTTGTGAACGTAAACAAGCGTAATCAAGGGTGTTTAGTCTATTAATCGAGTAATTACGAAGTCATGCGTTTTAGGAATCCGTTGCCACAACGTGGCTCTTACAAGTAAGTTTAATTAGCCGATTTGGCAGATTTCGAGGTTAAGCATTCTTTTCCCACCCCTGTTCTCGCGGCGAATTTCGATTCTCTCGTTTCGATCTATTCCACTTTTAAACGTTTCATCGTTTAACTGTTGCGTTTATAAATTTTGATATTTAATTATATTCTTCTTGAACTTTGATAAATAATTTTTCGTTTTTCTATTGCATGTGTACGATTTAAAAAAAAAAAAAAAGCGAATGGCAAAAATTTTTATTGAAGGTGATGAAGATTTTAATAGTTTTATTATTGTTTTGACTTAGCTCGGAAATGATATTTGGTATTGAATTAATCTTTCGACGACAAAACTAATTCGGTAATTGAATCGTCCTTCGCGGTAGCAATGAGATAAGTGGCTTCCAATTACGATTACGAAAATTTGAAGGGGTAACGATGAAGTGTTTAATTGCGCTGTTTCTTCTAAAGATTCATTTCAAATAAAATTTATCATAAAAACCTAGTGGTCTCTGTATACAAACGTGTATTGTTACCAAAAAAACGTGACTTTAGCGTGACAATACCGCAGGACCTCGTACACACGCGATCCCACAAGATTTTGTATTTTAGCCCGCTTACTGACAATAACTAATAATAGATTTTTCGCTTATGTAATTTCTGGAAAGTGATACTAATCCTACCTGCGGTTTTATGAAACTTTCATTCGCTGGACATTCTTTTTGAGTTGTCCCCAATAAGATCCTTTTACTTAACAGATATTGTTATATCGTATCGTGTATCGGGTTTTAATTTAAAACAGATACACATTTAAAAAGTTACTTTTATTTTTTATTCTTAAATTTTATAATATATAAATGGGAGATATTAAATAACCAAGTATTTATATTAAAAATTTTATTTTCAATGCTGTAAAAATTGTTGAACGTTAATTTTTCAACGAAGGGAGAGGTTATAATTTTCGTATTATATTCGTATAACGATATTCTCGCAGTTTCGAGGTTCTTTCGATACATCGTTCGAGCGACTCCGTCTCGATAGAGGGGGTGGTTTTCGATATAGGATACACGCGGAGATTATTAGGAGTTAGATCGAGCAGTTCAACGTGCATTGTCGTTCGTGACGCGAGCTGTTCGTTTCGCAGCGTAACAAGTATTTCAGTCTTTTTTACATAACAAACAGAAAATACGTTTATTAATTGTAATCAGTTTTTACAATAGGAGTGTGTTTGCCAATTGCACGAATACTACAATCAAGTTGTCAGTTGTCAATCGACGTGACTGTTGCACTAAGTTTGTAAAACGAATTGTGTAGTTATATTTATTTTAATTTGCTTGTTTCGTGATTTCAGTTTTGTATTACCTTGCGCGTATATCGTGTAACCAACTTCAGTTTTAGTGTTTTCCGAGATGTCGATCTTTTAAGGACGATTCGTACATTTTGCGTTAGAATATAAAAGTAGTCTGTTTCTATTAAACGTTTCGCACTTAGGACTCGTTAATTACGTTGCTTCAGTGTAAATTAATTCTAGTTTTTCTGCTTTTAATACATATTGCGCAAGATTAAATTGACAAAAACGATTTGTATCTTTGATTCGCTCTCGTTCCAACTATCGAACAATAGCGATTCAAATATCGAGATGACGATCGCTGTTATCGAGTTAACGTAAGTAGAACTTAAAATCCGGTATTGCATTTCAGATTATTTCTATTTGACGTACGTCAGAAAATTATATAAAATTAATCAAATTTTGAAGCTAAATATTTCATAAAAAATTATCTAAATTTGTTTAAACGTTTTTTATGCAAGTGCAATTATTTTTGTAAGGACATTTTCGTTTTGTATATTGCACGTAAATATAAAATTCACCGTGTTTTCTATTTACTCGAGACACGATCGTTTTATTTTATGCAATCAAATAGATTTCAATGAACAATGCATGTACTTAATCGATAGAAGCTGTTGACTTGTTATTAGTCTTGATTAGCTCAAAGAATGCAAGTATGGTTAATTTAACGACTTTCATTCGCTTATTTTTATACAAGTATTATTATTTTTCTTTTCCATAGTCGACTTATTTTTATTTTTGCAATCTGAATTATTTTTTCAATTAATTCTTGAACTTTGAATTTTTTGTATGAATTGCTAAAATAACATATCGATACCTGTATCGATACAAAAAACCCTAGGAGGACGGATGGGGCGCGCGAATCGCTGCGTTGAAGGAAAAGGATAGACGATTCGAAAATTCGAAACAGCACGATTCACGTGCGATGGCAATGATTCTAATTGATCGAGAACGATAATTATCAGAATTTCCACGAAAATGGCCAGGCAGATATCGTTTTATTCCACTCTGACCACGGAAGAAAAGAGTAGAATGCAACCTTGTATGAAAGCTAGGTGGTACGTCTTCTTATAATTTCTACGAAGTACTTAAAAAAAGAAATAAAGGACAGAGAAATAAAGGACAGAGAAATAAAAGAAACACGTGTAACGTTCGATGAAAGCGCTTCCACGAATGGATTCGGTTACAATTCTCGCCGTGAACCGAGAGTCGTTTATCAGTAACCTGCCAGCAATATTATTTTCGTTACATCCATTACTTCTTTCGTACAATAGATTCTGTATTAATCGAATAATACTGCTGGTATCTCTTGCATAATTACGATTAAGTTATCAGGGAAAGTAAAGAACCACAAACTGTTAAGTAATTGATACGATACCGGTCTGAAAAGGGATACAACTTATTAACCATATTTCGAGAGTTAAGTAATCGTATTCTTTTTTTTTTTCCGTATCGCGTTGAAGCACGAATAAGACTAAGCTCGAGTTGAATAGCAAAGAGACCAGGGTCAACTGCGTGACGAGCCTGAATAACAGAGTAGCAGTTGACCAGATCAACGGACCGTTGTATAACTTGAATTTAACTGATAAAAAATTGTGTTAAATTTTAATAATTAAAATCTGTAAATTCGTTACTTTGAGAAAATAGAAATTAATTTTTCAACCCATTATGGAGGGTAGTATGTTGTAGGGATGATTAATATTAAATGGATTTAATTTTTTCAGTGTTATCATGTCCAGTGATTCACCCCCGCCGCTTCAGACTTCTATATCACTGGTAGACTACGACGTACCAGATGAAGCGCGTCCTGGTAAAATCACACCGACCACACCTACTACTCCGGTGACGAGTAAACTATTGAATACCGACACCGATACCGAGACGATTGAGAATGCGGTACCAATCGCACAGACCGTCCTGCCGGTTCCTGAGCCGCAGCCGAAAATCGAAAGGAACGGAATCGACGCGGAGACAAGGAAAGCGGTCACTCAACCCGAAAACGATTCCTGCGTTGTAGACTGTATATACTTCACACAGCAATGCTGCGAGTGTGTGATACTTTAACGGCCAGAACTCGTCACGCCTAGAAAATAATCATTTGTATAGTTTATTTGTATGATTTCTGCATTTTCAATTGAACAATTCAAGCCCGAGGATTGAATTGTCTTTGAATTTCAAATATTCCAGCCAACTGAAATCAAAATGATCGTGTTCTAGCTGTTAAAACGAGTGAAACGTTTCTTGACATACTATTTACACTATCTTTAGGGAATTGACAAAACACTCATTATAGTTTTTATATCTGAAATATGTATACGTTAGAAATATATTTTGAGAATATATCGATCTGAGATACTTGGAAAATTCAATATATATTATATACTTTTTATATAGTAAGAGATTAATTTATTATAGGAAATCGATGTAGTATGAAGTTTAAAATCTCACTCATTCATAATTGCTGACATTGCTAAATGTCTTTGACTGTTGAACTTCATTCCCATGTTTCTAGTTACATAATAAAATCGTATTTTTATTTAACTTTAGATTTATATAAACTAGAATTACTTAGCAATGACGGTGAATTTTACTTTATACAAAATTCTGCATGTTAAGGTTTCCATGCATTCCTACTTTTAAATAGTGATATCGTTATGTACACGATAATTATTATACATATACATATATAAAAAGTATGTATCGATATACACACAATTCTTTTTACAAAAGTAATAACTGAAGAGCATTATAAATTTAAATTTAAAAAGATGAAGCACTATTTTTGAAAGAATATTAAAAATTCCTTATAACATAAATACAATAAATACTTTATTTGAATGCAATTTTATACGCATATAAATGATACAAAATTTTAACTTAAAGTAATACATATAATGAGCAAACTGTACATAACAATGACAATTTAGATAAATAAGTTGAGAAAATTTGAGACTACATATACATAATTACAGTTATTACATTTAAGAATAATTGTATAAATGCGAAACAACATAATCGAATTATTTTGGATATGCAACAATAAAAGTGATATGTTGTAAATATTTTTCGAAATAATATTATACAATTAAAGGCACTGCCATGACTTCTCAAAATCCATGTCAATTAATAAGTATAAGAAGTTTTATGAAACTTAGTCACACTTATACAAACTTTATTTTTTTAAGCAGTTGACAGAAACCAAGACGCGTATGTAAAAAGCTTATATTGATTACTGTAAGACTTTTTACAACGTATTTGGATGATATAGGAACTAAAAATTAATGATCAGAAATCATAAAAATTTCAAACATTATCAGTTTATAGTTGATGATCTTGGAGATACAATATATAATATTCACGTAAGAAAACAGTGTAATACAAAGTGCAATTTAATAAGTTGCTAGTATATAATCTAATTAACTAAATAACCTACTTCTACTATTTATATTTTTTTTTCTAAGTTACAGACAAAATTTAACGGTTGATTTTTTTTTTACATAGGATAACTATTTCGATAACATTCCCTTACTAAAAGCTACATTACAGTGTTTATTATACATAAGTCACGTGAATATTTTTTATTGATATTTTGTACAAAAATGTGCAATAAATAAGAATAAGATTACTCCAGATTTATAGTGATAGTCGATATTTATACCACACGTGCGTGTGGTATATTGTTTTATTGTGAATATTCCCATAATAAATATAAATATTCACGTATTACAATCGTAAAAAATGTATTTGTTATTTATTAATAAACAAGATCAAATTTGACTAGGATAATTGAAAGTAACATAAGTAACACTTGGTTTCAAGCTGAATGAATTCACAAGTTATCAGTGTGACTAAACGATTCTACAGATGTACGAATTGCACTATAAGTAAAGAATTTCGAAAAGGATTTGGTATGTCAGGCTACAAATAATGTAACAATTATTATATATTTTACAATATTGTACTCAACAATTTTGATACACTGTTCACAAGTGTGATTTTCAATATGTTTCATATTCATCGAATTAAATGATTAATTACAGAATGGATTATAATGATCAACTGGAAAATACACTTCTGAATTGAAAAATGAGTAAAAAATTGAGTATAAATCGTTAGTTACTAGTAAATGTATAATTTCTGTGCTTCTTTTATCATAGTATAATGCACGAAAAATGTTTGAAAAATTGTTTTAACGTGGAAGATTATTAGCCTGAAGTTCAGATCTATTTTGTATTTTAGAGTACATTAATTTTACTAATTTTTCTTATTTGCCTGCGTTATTACAGTATCTATTGACTGGCCTTAAAAGACATTTAAGAATTCATTAATAGTGTAAATTTATACATGATAGTTCATGTTTCAATTTAGTTACGATTCATAAATCGGCAGCGGATGTCCTTCGGAATTGAATACCCATCTATCTAGGTCAATCAATTGCCTTGTATCGTCGAATAGCAAATATAAATATTTCAAAGTTTCGGCAAACCAGAAACTTTCAGTCATATCCTGTTGTCGAGTATTATCAACGTTTCGTACATTACCGATACTGGTATATCCCTTTTCAACTTTCGTATAATTTTCAAAAGCCTATTAAATTATATTACAAAGTATGTAGTTAAATTACAGTCGATGAATCCATGTAAAAAAGAACGTATATTAATTACATACTTGGAATATTTGCCATCCCCAATCTTGGAACGTTTTATTTCCAGTAAAATACCACATGTAAAAGAGACTTTCAATGAATTCTGGTCTGAGCAAATTGTGAGCATCGTTTATCTTTACGTACATATCCATTGAATTTTCTCCATCAACTTTCTGGAATTACGAAACAGTTATACGCTATGGTGTTTTCACAAATTATTAATTATGATATTTACCTGAATGTTGAAATAAGTAATTTCTGGAGCAAGAAATGTGGGCTGAATTGCATACGTTTGATAACAAGTCTTAACAAGTTCGTTTGCAAGATCCATATGATCAGATGGCAAACCATGATGCACTCCTAAAGCTAAAGTGCCTCCTAAGTAACATGTTAGATGATCCTATAAGAAAAACATAATTATTGATAATATATAATCCGTGATTGATTCTATTTTGATAAATTTACCATTTTTGGTCTGATCTCTTTACTGGCTCCAACTAGTTCCGCGATGAAGAGATATTTATTAATGGCTGTATGTTTTATTAAATGCTTTTGAGTTCCAAAAATACCTAGCAAATAATCGTCTCGTAAACTGAAAGCATTTCCAGTCGATTAGATTGTTGCATACTTAGATTGTATTTTAATGGAAATAAATTAAAAAATACTAACTAGTTGATAGTCTTCCCAGTTTGAAGCCACTGTTTCAATAGATATTCGTAATAACTATCGCCACGTGCGCCAAGCGTAATTGTTGCGTGTTCTCTAAATAATCCAGTATTAGCGTTAATAAAAATCGGTACTAAACCATCAAGCTTTTCCAACTGATGAACATGTTCTGAAACTTTTGCAGCTGCTTCCTGAAAAATAACAGTTAAATACTTGTGTTTGTACTTGGTACTAATCTCGTATAAGATGTATAATTACCTCGTATTTAGGATCCCCTGTACTACGACTTAGATCACGAAATTCTAATTGAATAGATGTAATTTCGCTGGTACTACTATCAGGACCCCATTTAGGACTATGCGCAGTTTTAGTGCCAAGATTTACATCGGAAAAAGGAACTCCGGATGATGTTAAAAATGCTGGCATCATACGTTCTCCTAACGATGTCTGTAAATTAAACGAATCCATAAACTTGTAACTTCGTATAAATTCGGTATATTATCATTCTCAAACACGAGAAATAACTTACAGCTTTATTTAAAAAAATCTTGTCACCTGAGAGATGATATGCTGATAACAGACCTCCTAATACTCTAATTGTAACTTCAAACAAATTAACATCCCTATTCGAAGTAAATACTAAATTCTTATCAACCCATGTTCTGGCTTCTAAAAATTCTGAAACAACAGGGAAAGTACTATTAATTTCTCAACAATCATTTCGATTAGGACACGTTCAGAACATGTTAATTAGTACCATTATTCAAACCCATTATGTACAATGTGTCAAGGGAATCAACTATAGTAAGACCTAAGCCAAACCATTCATGATATTTTCTTGATATGGGTTTCACATTATCATGACCCCATGCATATTCTTTGTACCCATTCCACGAATGTTTAAAGGCTGCAACTACAGCTCTTTGTCTACTATTTTGTGGACCTACAGATAATTACAAAATTACTAACAGTTATTAGGATTAAATTTAGAATGACAATGAGAAAGTATAATGTTACCATTGAATCTAAGGGGGTTTGGCCTAGGCTGAGGTGGTTCTCCAATTTGATCATCGTCTACTTGGTTTATTTCTGGTTGGAATTCAGGTTCTTCAATCACCTCCCCACCACCCTTATGCTCTTGATTTGCATTATCTACTACAATATCTTCTATTGCCTAGAAATTATAATTTTTTTTTTTTAAATCATTCATTTTTTTATTCATTTTTAGAGCATTGATGGTACCTTTTCATATTTAAGTGTATCTTGTACTACTTCTATGTTACTATAGTCACTTTCATCTAACACTCCATTCTTATTATCGCCAGGTAACAAATAAAATATAACTAATATAATTGTAATGACTACAAAGTAAAGAATATTTCTTTGAAATCTCGACAACTGATTCCATTGCTGAAAAATAAGGTCATAATTACTTGCTTAATATGTGTGAATGGTTTTTTTATATAAAATTTGAAAGAAAAATATTCACAATGAATGAAAGAAATGTTTTAGACTTACTCTCCAGAGACTACGCGATGTTCCACGTGCGAAAGTTGCGCTTTCTTGGATATTTAAACTAATGTAATCCGTTTTTCCTAAATCTTTCGACGGAAACATATTTCGTTGGAGGTTAAGTTGTTCTGGCGAGTACAATAATAACAGCCTGAACACTTAACAAAACAATAATGCCGCTGCTGCACATTAATTGTAACGGTCTTCATTTATGTAATCCCAGTTAAACATACTAATAATTAATCGTGTTCTTTCCGGCATTCGTGGAAACATAAACTTCGTCTATAAGAGATACCATGAACCAGTGGTAACGTTGATGTTGATAACAAAATCAGATTCCAGAAATGTTGATAATTCCGTTTCATTTGTATGTAAAAAGAATAAAAATTATAAGATTAAAGCTATTGTTCAACAGTTTACTAACCTGATTCTTTTAAGTTGTAAGAGAGTTAATTACCTCCGTGGTTAACTCAGTATAAGCCATACATAACATTTAATAAAAATTATTTATCAGCAATAAAAAAGGAATTTTCATTAATGAACCATCATTTCCTCCACCTCCTTAAATTCATTACAATATTAATCACTTATATGCATCACTCTTTGTCACTGAAATAAATAAATAATTTTACAAATCTTATGAACTGCGTTTTAAAAACAATGAATATAATAACTAAAACCTGGAAAAAATAAAAATAACAAGATAACTAATTATTGCTGACGGTCTGAGGAAATTAAAAGCAGGTACCGATAATTTTAAAGAATATATTTTGCAATAAAACTAATGAACTATGTGACGGCTACAAACCAGGTGTTTATAAGACTTATGAATTACGGTCCAGAAAACTGCTCCTGGTAGTAGGTTAACAGAATGCGCAAAGAGGTAACACTATTTTAAGGTAGGCGGAGTGGGGGAAATCTACGGTTCGAATTATACTCCTGGTATCAGGAATATAGGATGTGCAAAGAGGTGGCACGATACGCGCATGCGCGGTGGTTTGGCGCGCATCTGCGCAGAACAGGCTGCGCAGTAGATAGGCCGGAACTATACAGGTTATGCGGGTTATACAAAAATCGTTAATTACTCATTAATAGCTATTGAAAAGTGAACTATTATAATTGATTCGTAAAAAATAATATCTGCGCAATTTTCTCATACCCAACCTGTGCATATCTTTGCGGTAATTACTCAATTATTAGTCATTTTTGTAGTAATGATGAAGCTATGCGTCTCATTAAACACCCACTGAACTTTAATTAATTTTATCGTAAATAGCAACAATTTATAACTCTTTAAGGTCGAAGAAGAAAGAGGAAGGTTCGAACTACATTCTTTAATCATTTTCGATCACATTTGATGCGTTATTGTTTAATAAACATCGATTCTTGTAGCCACTATATTGTGACATACGTCAAAATGCCGACCTCCATAATTTTATTAATTCTACACTATATAGCAACAATTAATGACACTTTGCGATCAGAGAAGAAAGACAAAGGTCCAAACTACATTCTCTAATCATTTTTAGTGACATTTGATGCGTAAATATTCAGTAAACGTCGATTATTTTAAACACCACATTGCCGCATATCGAGCCTCCTAATTTTCATTAACTTCTCAATTATTAGGAACATTTTCTGCACTTTTATGACTGCTTTCGAAAGAGTAAGGTTTATTTGAATTTCTAATATAAGTTTTGTGAACATTTCTAGCGTTTAGACGCAATAATTAATCATTACTTCAGTTCGACTTTTTATTGTAGCTTACTGCAACTTTTCTCATTAATTTTTTGTAAATCCGACACATTTTATCAACTTTCATAATTTTAGAAGATAGAGCAGACTTTAACCAATCTATTGATACCAATTTTGTGCGGATTAACAATCTACAAGCTTAGAAATTTGCAAAAAATGTAGACCCTGTATCCGGGTATCAGGAGCACATCAAAATGCAAGTAGGTGGCACAGAAATCTGCGCAGAACAGGATGCGCAGTAGATTGGCGCGCGTCTGCGCAGAACTAGCTGTGCAGTAGGTTGCTGGAGGCGGCATGGTGGGGGAAACCTACGGTTTTAAATCTACTCCTGGTAATAGGATCACAGAATGTGCAAAGAGGTAGCAGGATTCTTGGGCGGCGGAGTGGGGGAACCTATGATCTGAAATCTACTCCTGGTAATAGGATTACAGAATGTGCAAAGAGGTATACTAAGAGATATGGTTCCCGCCCTTTTTGGCAAACCATTCGAATTGCAGAACAATTATTAATTACAGGCTTCATACTACAGAACATTGAATTTTTACGATTAATTCTTGAAGAATAATGCCTGTAGAATTTTCTGACACCACATTTGTACAAATTTTAATTGTAATTACTGAATTATTAATAATTTTTGTGGAGACTGTCCAGTTAATTAAATACTTTCTGTATTTTGATTAGTTTTATCTTAAATTACAACTATTTCTAATACTGTATGATCGAAAAATAAGGAAAAAGGTCCGGATTACCTTTTCTAATAGTTTGTAATAATATTTTACTTGTTAATGTTTAATAAATATTGATTTTTGTAACTACTGTCTCGCTCATTTCCCTCCTATGAAAATTTACATTAAAATGGAATTAAATAAACATACAAAATCAAGATTTCTATAATATTATCAGTTTATTAAATGAATTACTTTACATTAACAATAAATTGAATAGTTATTACGTTTTGGTTAAAAGTTTTAGCTTCAAAGACAAAAATGTATATAATTGAAAGAATAAATTAATTACAAAAAAGAGTAATTTACATTAATCTAACTTAGAAACGAATTACATTTGTAACAAATAAACAGGGAGCAAAATGGAGTTTTGGTTGCTTGTTTAAAAACTGAATGTAGATTGTTAATATGCTCCTTGACGAACAATAATCTGTAAAAATGAAAGAAACACAGTGAATATGAAGATATGAGGTTTAATAATTAAAAATAAATAAAGTGGCAGCGTAAAATGGTAATAGGAAAACATCAAAACTTACATTTTTGATTCAAGAATCTCTTATTCATCAAATATACATCAAATGGTGCATTATGTATTAGGGAGTCGCTTGAGTAACAACATAAATGAACTACTTGATTTTTACTTTACTTCTTTTAAAAAAATCAACACTCATGATTCTCTGATAGATATATTCCTTTCTTGTTTCAATTTATTACATATCTTAAACTACATAGAGAAACGTTTTGTACTTATAATAATGTTACATAGTAAACACACTAAAACAATAAAAATTAGATCTTTAGGTGTGTACCTTGAAATTTAAAATACCTTACCTCTTTTTGTAATATTGCGATTTTGAAGTTACAGGGCAGATTTTTCTATCTATTTCCAATTTCATTACTTCAGTTCAATTTCTTAATTTCTCTTTTGTCTCCATAATGATTTCGTGACTTTATATCTTTTATTACAGATCCCTCATTGACAGAATAGTTGAAATGAAACGTGAATTCTAAAAATTAAAAGCATTTGAAATAAAATTCACCAATTACAACCTGTAGCAAGGAAATTAAATGTACCTGTAGTTATTTTATGTGTATCCAAATGTTTAATATAATTTAGAGACTCCTCTAATATCAAGTATGATATACATTTTGAAAAAGAATCTATAAATCATAGATATGTGCTGTAACAGTGCCATGTTTCAAACAATGACATAGTTCTATTAATTCTGATAATCTTATGAAACATTTCCAGTGCAGATTTCTTCCACTGCTTTGAATAATCTCTTTCAATAAAGTTACTACTGCAACAAGTTTAATCATGTTACTATATTGTATCATATATACAATGGATATTCACCAATGTACATTAAAAATTTACTTATACTTGCCAATTAGCACTGGATGCTTCATATATTAAATTTAATATATTTTAACTTTATAATTTCGATCATTTAATGATTCAGTTCAACCAGTTACTAAAATGCCAACCTTTCCTTTCTTCAATTTCATTTTGTTTAACATTTCAATAAATCTGTTATATCTAATTTCATTCCTGCAACAATGCAACAAATTAAAACATATTCAAATAATGATTAAACGCTCGATTAGAGCGACAATAAAGGAAATTCTATAAACTTACTAATCCTCTGCCCCAATCACTGTTTGGTACTTCAAAATCGCGCTTCGTTTCTTTTGATAATATCGTGAAAAATAATATGTACGTTCCGTAAGGTGATCGCTCGCATTACCAAAGTCCCGAATTAAATGAAAAACCGTCATCTTTGATTCATCGATTTCTTTTTTTCTATTCGGTTGAAATTTGAAAAATGACGACGATAAGGTTAGAGTCACTCCAGGTGCCTTTTAACAACAAATAGCCACAGTAATGTAATTCACTGCAATATTACCAAAAAATGTTTTACCATCCTGAAAAAAAGTCATTCGCAATGTTCCATCGTCATTATTATATCCTGTGAACGTTCCTGCACGTTGAAAACACGCCTGGAATGATTCCATCCGAAAATGGTACCTTTCTGTACCTGTACCAATAATTATATAAAACATGAGAACGTGATTGCCTGGTTTGAATTACGAAGAATGAACGTGATACGCATTGTCGCAGATTATATAATAATTTACCATATTTATACGTGATCCAGGCCCGGTGATATTCGTTCACCCTCCATTATCTTCTAGACAGTGATCAACGATGATTAAGATTAAAATGAACCTGCGGCTTTTTCTATCCTCAACTTCTACGTATAATATCACTGTCCAGATAACTTTCGACGATCAACGATACCCTATCCAATCGGGTTTACAACGATTTTTCATCTTTTCCACTTGATCAATTATTATATCTGCGGTCACGTGTCGCACGGTGTGTTCGATAAAATCGAATTTCAGTTGAAAATTCGGGAATTCATTCAGCGCTTGTTTACCTCATTATTCACGATAAGTATACGTATATACAATTAATCAGCATAATTGGTTTGTCAGTCGTTATTGAGCAGGACGTTATACTGATCCGACATTGTACTATAATTAACGAACAAAATCAACGAGAACGAGCAAACGCAATAACAGCATTAAACGACGTTTAAAATTAGCATAAAGTTTTTCATTTTTTCTGCGAATGCGCGATAGTTGCACACAATAACGCTCTTAATTGTTTCTTTCGATTTTAAATATCGTGTAAGTACGTACGTCTTGTCTCACTGTCCCCTTTCAACTAAGAGCTTACGACCGATGTATCGAACTAACGACGAATCGATATGGCGATTAATAACCAAACGGTAAAACAGAAACGCCAAAGGATTCGTTCGATAACTTAACCTACGATTCTTTATCGAAAGGAAATCTATGTTTTGTGCTTGTACAAATACTCGCGAGAAACAAACTGTTCGCATGCAAGAAACGAAAAATAAATCGAACGATTTGATCCTTAATGGACCTACTAATATAAAATATACGTTACACCCGCACGATGGAAGATTTCATTTTTTTTTTTTTTTTTGTTTCCGTATGCAGCGGGTCCGCGCAACCGATAACCTAATCGACAACTAAACGAGCACGCACGGAGAAATTAAATCATTTTCTTTTATTTCTTAAATCTTTTCGTATTTAAACTGGGTTTACATGCTCATAAAATTTTCACAAACTAACTTGCCAATAGAAATTTCACTGACTGAGCACGTGACATGTTCAAACCTCGCGCATGCGCCTTTGACGCTCCAACGCGTTGGCGCGAAATCTGTCCGCCAAGTAAATTTTTAAATCTGACTGTAAAAGTTTCAAAACTCTAATTTGGATACACAAATTAGTTTACGTAAATTTCACGAGCGAGTAAGCTCTGCTTTTACTTGCAACACACTTTTTTTTTCTTTTTTCAAGGGTATCGACAACACTTGCAAATACACTTGTTTGGAAATAGTTTCTATGTTCCGTTTCGGTGAATCGTTCTTTCGTTCGATCCACTCGTTCAGTCCATTTTTTAATATTTTTTTTCTTTTTTTCTTTTTTTTTTTATCTGTTTTCCTTCCACCTATATATTTCACATTGAACAATATCCTCAGTCTCGACTGGTCAATGAGCAATACTTTAGGAGATCCCGATTTAAAACGAGGTCTCGCAATAAAAGGGAGGGTAACGTAAATTCTCGTTTCGTGTTTATCACTACCGCTCGCTCGATATTAATTAATAATCTAAACTGTACGTCTCGTGATAATGCGATTTCTCTTAATATCGACTAATTGTCCCCTCGAGAATGTCACCTCCGTTTCTCTTTATTTATATCACGAGTCAATGTTAATCGTCGCACTGAACGAACGTTTAACACTGACTCGTTCTTTTTTTTTTTTTTTTTTAACTCTGTTAGACTGAGGATTTTTTTTTTTTTTTTTATACACAGGAATCATTGTTTCATTTAACGATTTACTTGTCAATTATATTAAGTATATTATTTATAAATTTATTCGCACGTAGTTCTGGTTAACAGGCCGTGGCTATACAGGGCCCACTACATTGATTTTTATCCTGTGGCACGCGGTCTTCCGAATATGTTACAGGTGTGTACGCGTGTGTGTGTGTGTGTGTAACGTGTGTTTAATGTATGTGTACGTTCGCGATTAAGATTTAAAACCCTTACACCGTTTTCGAATGTTGTATGTATACATACGTACATATATATATTTATAGATTCGCCGACACTACTTCCTACCGTACCGAGCGTTGTTATTTCGTTGCGCTTTCCTTGGTCTTTTAATATATGGTCATCGAACTTCAGGCACGGATTATCGAAGAGTCCTTCCGTTCAAGTACACTTTGTTCTTTCGTTAATCGTTAACACGTTGATTGCCACTATGGAAATGACCGTTTATAGTACGATAAATTTAAACATTTTTTCAATTGAAATTTTTCCTTCCCTACTTTCCGTTACCATTATAATATTAATGTTATTAAAAATCCTTCTTTCAATTACTCGACTGTATTAAGTTCATGGCATTCAACGTGTTAACCCTTGCACGGGCAACCTGGTACCCACTTCTATACTTCTTTCTGACAATTTTCTTTGTTCTCACGTTTTCAAAATAAAGAATTTATGCAAAAGGACCAGATGCATTAAAGCTACAATCATATTCGGTTGCCCGTACAAGGGTTAAACAAGCATAGAAAGCACTAAACGAAGATGTTCCCTATATCGCTATCTATCCTTCATTCCCTTCCGTACATCTGGCAATTGAATCGGAAAAAAAATTTCCAAACAAAATATTTAACCGTAGCTCGTTCGAATGAAATTGTAACAGCCAAAGCTATCTATCCAAATATCTCTGAAAAAATGTATCTTTTAAACTTGTACCCTTTCTCGAGCCACCGATTCAATTACACAGACGCGATGCGCTTACAATATACGTTAGAAAATGATCCAAGATACAGAGAACGATCGATCAGGGATTGATTACAGTCGCACGGAAATAGACAAACGTTCTACTTGTTCATATCCTTGTTCTCACCGCTTTGGAACAAGTAGGTGGACCAATATCCAAGATTGAATAGGATAAAGGTGGCGGGAAAAGCGATACGCGATACGTAATCGATCCTCGCTGTACCCTTAGCTCGACAATTGAACCATTTATTCGGTAGAACGGCTGAACAGCATCTCTCGATACGTGGAAGCGATGGTCGTTGAAAACGGCGAAAGTTTTGCGGTGGTATGGTTTGTTGCGCGGCAACCGCCGGTGGCGAGGGTGTCGCTCTGCGAGAGGTGGTGGGCGAAGGCGATGGCGTGGGTGACGGCGAGGGTGAGGATCTCGCAGGGCGTCTGCAGGTGTGTTGAGAGCTTCTCGGCGAATATCGACCGCTACCCTGGGCGTTGTGCAACGACGAGAACGAGGCCGACCTCGGCTGTGGGTGTCGGCCACGATAACGATGATGGTGATGCCGTCGCGTTGGTAACGGTTGATGCTGAGCCGGCGGGGGCGGTGGTGGTTGTTGCTGAGGCGGATGTTGTTGCACACCGGTCTGTTGCAGATTTGCCTGATGTTGATGCTGATGTTGATGTTGATGTTGGTGATAGTGATAATATTGTCGACAATGGTACTGTTGTTGACGTGGACGCGTACGATGTTTCGTGTGAGCATGATGGGAATGGCCGCGAGCCACGTTCCTTGATGATCCGAGCGCTTCCTCGTCGACATTTACTCGTCCTCCTCCTCCTTCCGAAACAGGTACGTGGACCAGTACGCGAGGTTGAATATAGCGAATACGATAGGGAAGAAGATCCGTGAGATGACGTCGATGCGCTTGGACCTCGTCGGGAACTTGGACAGCCACGACCTGCAGCAGTTTTTTTTTCGTGGTTGCATATGTAATTCGCAGTGCTGCATCCTATCCACCGACATGGTATCCTCCGGCTGGCGGACCAGAGGTTTCTGAAAAAATGCCGACGACGTCGGGTCATTAGTCACCGTTCTATCTGTCTCTCAATTCTACCTTTTTCTTTTCTTTTTCATTTCAGATAACAACGCTTTTAGTCAACGAACGAGACCTACGAACGCTCAGAGATTTTCCACGAGTTTTCGTAAGCCAGCGTAAGTAACCGTTTTCAATTTCTACCTAATCGTTTCGATAGTTGGATCGTGAACGACAAATAAAAAGAACATTTAACACGTAAAGCTAAATGCGGTGCAATTTTTTCACAAAAGTGTTCAATATATATTCTGGCAATTCGAGTCGAACTTACACGTGCATGCTTGAACAGTATATCTTTACAAAACGTTGAGAAAAGAGGAAATCGATGCAACAAGTATCTTCTATGGATTTGCCCCTTTATGATTACGTATCAGCTCGTTCGATAAGTAATGTTACAATTATTTTAACAGAGATTTACAATATCATTTACACGTGAAAATGATATTACTTATGGAACGGTATGATTTGAAAAAAAAAAAAAAAATAAAAAAAGAAAGTCATGCAACGATGATAGTGGCGATATTAAGGTACGCGCACATCCAGCTTTGATCAACGATAATTTAAAAAGCTGATTCTTATTAGGATGTCAGGTAGTGGTATAAAATACGTAAAAGCCTAACGAATGTTGATTTCTTTTCGGATATTCGACGAGCCACTAATTAAACGAACATTGCAGAACAGTTGAAATATTTCTTCACTTTCGTGGATATAAAATAATCATTTGTGATAATAATTCACGTTACCTACGCGATGTAGCACGGCATTATAAAGATACAATGTATAATGCAACTTTCATTACCAATGGATACATTGCATATATAGTACAGGTATCTATTTAGAGTGAATAATTGTTTTACCGAACGCTGAAAGTCGTATTACCGAATGTAAGAGTAAATTAGATATAAAATACTGGACTTTAAATGAATTATTTACCTGTAGAGAATGTTGAAGTGGTCCATCATATCCGGTCTAGCGGTTTACAATAATAAAAATAAAATAATAGAATGAATGTACGTTATGCTTTCTATGTTCAGAATGTTTCAATGATTACACGTTTCAAGCAACTATTTCTTTTTTTGTTTTTAAATAAAAAAAGAATACGTTACGTTTCACGTTTATGTTTATAAACTATCTGCTAATGGAACAATTAACGTGTCAAATCAGTTGGAAGTGAATTGAATAATTGAACAGATAACTTCATTTCTCTAACACTTCTCGTTGGATACGATACAAGTTATTGTAAACGTGGCTTTTATCACTGACCAAAGATGAATGTTGTCAGGAGATTAATTTCTTTCTTACTCTTTGTCCTTATTACACACCATAGAAAAATCATTTGTAAGAGGTTGTGTAAGGTGGAGGTTCCATCATCTAACATGGGATACAAATAAATACATGATGAAAAGAAAATTGATTTAAATAACGTTATCATAATAGATAATAAAGAAATCAAAAGATAAAGGCAGAAACACAAATAAACGTAATAGTGATGAAGAAATATTTAGAATGTTAACAAAATATAGGAAAGACAAATAAGGAGGAAGATAAATGTGAACTGGTTAAACTGGTGTTGCTATCAAAATTAAAAAAATCAAAGTATACGTTATTTTTTCCTTTTCCTTACACTGAACATCAAAAGTGTAGATACCTAACTTTCTTTTTCAACATTTAATACCGGAGGTGCAATACACTTGATTAAAGGACAATGACGGACATTAGCGCGATTAAAAAAAGAAAAAGAAGAAAAAAAGTAGAGATACAGATAGGACAATGGGAGAAAAATGTTAACATTAATTAAGCGTTAGGACATAATTAGAGCAAAATACTAATCTTTCGAATATTGTTGGATACTGACCATAGCAAAATTCGACGAATTATCTGGTTCGATTTGATCAGAAGATGGATCGATCGACGATGATTGCTCCGTTTCAGACGGTGGATATTTTTTCTCTATATTATCGCTGTGCATATCGCTTCGCGACGCATAATTTACTAGGGCAAATTCGAGGAGAGCGCCGAACACGAAAGTCAAGCACACGCCTGTCCAAACATCGATAGCCTTTGTATAAGACACTGGCGGCAGTGAGGCATTTATTCCTGACGTCTGCGTAGCCATCGTCAACAGAGTTGTTACACCTGTTTTCATTATAAAACAAAATCAATACTGCTCGAATTAAGCTTCGAAAATTAAGGATCCCTTATTTGATCCGATATTACCTAACGAGACTCGAGCTGGTACGGCACTCTGATCGAGCCAGAACGATACCCAGGATACAATGACAAGCATGCAGCAAGGGATATAAATTTGGATAAGGTAGTAACTGAATTCCCTCTTGAACAGCAAGTCTACTTTGAGACAGCTGTACTCTCCTGCAAGAATCAATTTCTCGTTAATCCTTCTATCTAAATGAAGAAAGAAGAAATAGTGTACAGACCAGTATTTGTTTTGCTGTTACAATAATCGGTAAGAAATTTTTCCAATGTGAACCGAGGCAGGTGTAAGTTCTTAACAACTTGTACGGGGTCTCCCTCTTTCCATATGAAAACTAAATCGTCAGTGGTCCAACCATCTGAAAGAAAAATATGTTATTCCTTTGCTGTAACTTTAAAATAATTAATAAATAAAATACTCACAACTTGCCATACGTAGGGAACATGTTTGCCGATCCAGGGGGTATAATTTTAAATTCATAGGACACGATAACGTCAATGATATTCTGTCAATTAAAATGTACTGTTAGAATTTGAACTGAACCTTTGGCTTGAATAAAATGAAAAAGAATCTTACCGTATACTGTATAGAACAGAACCATTTGGGAAAATACGAATGTACACGTTCGGCATAATAATGTTATGAAAATGACCCTCTTTCTCATTTGAAAAGAACAAATCTGGCATCCAAACGCGACTCGCATCCGTTAAAGTTAAATATTTCAGACGACCTGCAAACATGTAGAAAATATATTAAATACTTTTTCTAAGATAGCTCGTAAAGAAAAAGAAAAAATATTAAAATACACACCTGTGGTATCAACAAAACGTAGCCGTTCATCCAGCCATTGTTCCCGGAATGTTAACTGTACAGAGTATTCCTGCAGATAAAAAAAAAAAGAGAAAGCATTAATTTTACTGAATTCGAAGAAATGCAGGGGTTGCAAATAAACCAACCGGACGGAATGATTTTTATTTGGAAATTTCTAAAATGGCAAGTGAACTTAGGGGAATCTTTCCATCCCAAATGTGCATACGAATTTCAAATCAGAGGTAAGAAAGTGGAATTGAAAATATAATTGATTATATGAATAATTCATTTTGATAATAAGGCGAGTCCCTTTCTTACGTCAGATATGAAATTCCTCTATGCTTTGTTCTAATCGTGAAATGAATCTACGAAAATCATCGACAAGGGAGTTAAAGAAAATTAAATGCGGTCAAATGAAAATAAATTCATTATTTATGCATACTTGATGTCGGTGAGTTTTAATTAATCTTTAGAATTTCGTAACTTTACGTGTATTGTTATACTATTCTCTTTTGTTTTAAACAACAATGTTCCAATTTGTTTACTGACCTGATTAACGTTGTATATAAAATACTTTCTGAACAGAGTAATCGATACACTTGCACCATATTTACTTGATAAATTTTTTTTCCACAAAAATAATTGACTCGGTTTACGAGCTAATTAATAATTACCCCCGGTCGAGGTAGATTTGGTGAACGAAATATTACGGTTCGAAATGAATAATTAACGAGGTAAAAGACCAACCGAAACAAAATAGCAAGCTCGACTCAAAGGGGAAGACATCTGAAAGAAAAAAACGTAGGGCCGAATGAGAACGGTAAGCTGCATCAATAAACGTGAACGAGGTCAGTAATTGCGTAACATAGTCACTTTAAAGTCACCAAGCAATTTTTTTTTTTCTTCTCAAATATAATATACACCTTGGTATCAGCCAATTTTTCATGATAAAGTGAAATTATCCTGATAAATAGAGGCGATAAAAATGAAAAACAGAAGGTTCGCTAGGATGATGATCTATAATTAATTTTTAACGATTCTTATCCTAGATTCTTTGAATGTACTAATAAGATATCTCGTTCGATCCTTTAACGCTCTCGAAGCTTCAACGAAAGCCTCGTCCGAGTGTTCAATTTTCAAACGACGCTTTTCATAGAGAAAAACACGTGATATTCCAATTAGAATCTATCCATCTTGAACGCTGACGAGTCTTTTCTCTTCCACCTTAGACGAGAATAAAGGTTCGCGAAGATCGAGGCGAGGAAAGAAAAAAGAAAGAAAGAGAAGAAAAGAAAAAAAAAAAGATTAGCCTTGGATGTCGTTTTGGAGGTCGTAGGTAGTAAAGAGCACTTCTGCGACGACTAAAGGTCGTGGTGAATAATTTTTCTTCTTTTCTGACCATAGAGCGTTAAAGAATCAAGGCCGTGCGCGGATATCTTGCTGGAATGAAAATGTCTCGTTGCAAAGAATGGCTGAGAACATCGTAAGAAACACGGCAAACGAACAAACGAACAATGATGTTCAAGTATAGTTGTATCACATCGCGGGAAGCAAATATAGAGGAGGCATGCAGATACAAAGCAACATCGAAGCTAACTACTACGAAATCATTTTCGCTACCATTTGGCTTTCTACTAATTAATATACACAGCGATTCACATATTCGTTCAGAAAATAAAAAAATTTAATATTATTGTAATTGAATAATTGAGAGAGAAAAAAAAAAAAAACTTACAATCTTTCAGAAATTGTGTCTACTCACCCTGGGTATAGAATTCCATTTAAAAATAAAAAAAAAAAAAAAGAAGAAATTCGAAAGAGCTCCTAGGGCTGAAATTGAATGTTCATTTATTGATTGATAAATATGACCGAACAAATATGTGAATGATTGCATATATCTAAAGAGATACATGTATGTATGTACATTGCAGTGGACAACGCATGCATCTTGGCTCACAGTTTCATCTTTCCCAGCTGGATTTGTCCACACATCGACGTCGTCCTGTTTCTTTTCTACTTGGAAGGGGCAAGTTAAAGGCAAGTGCTTCCAAACTTTCATTTCTTAATTATTATTATTTTAAATAATTTCTCATCTTTGATGACGAATCCTTAAGATCCTGGCAGCGCGTTACTTTCTCCAAGTTAATTAGAAAATTGCACCTATCCATTTCTTTCGACTCTTGCTTTTCTTCTATTTATTATAAAATTGATCGATTTAAAAAATGCATAATATATTGTTTACACGGCAATCGCCATACATTTATAGAGAATTTACTTAGGGTGTTCCATAAGACTCCTGTTCAACCCTCATTCAGATAATATTGGATCACTTTTCACCCAGCTTAATCGTTCTTCGAGGATTAAATTTTGATTAAAAGCAAAAATAAAAAAAATAAAAAAAATGATTGATAACCAATAGTCAGATGGTTCATTTTAGAGGATTGTTTTTAAGGTTTAATATAGTGGTTGTTTGATATCAGAGGAATAGTTCAATTCTCTCTCCTCCTTCAGAGTTCATTGTTCAACAGCGTTCTCTCTTATAAAAAAGTAAACGTACAACGACATAAAGATTCTCGTTCATAAAACGATGCTTAATTATTCAAGATTCTTGATCGATTTCGTGTCACGAAAGTGGTATCTCGTACGTTCATTCAATTCATTCACTTTCGCTTTCATGAATACATTACACGCAAGTAGTACGAGTCAGCTAATAATCCGACTCGTTGGCTAAACCTCGTATCAATCTAACTTCAACCCTTTGCCTTACGATTTCTTTGCTTTCTTGGATATTGTTACGATTTACCGCTGCACGCGATGGGTCATTTTTCGAGTAACGAGGAGAAAATTATTAAGATTAGAAAAGAGAAATTAGGATTAGAAAAATTCAACTCGTCGAATATAAGGCAAGAGATTAATTTTCCATATCAAGAAATACTAGGGGTGTGGGGTACTCGAAAATTCCGGTCGGGTCAGTTTGTCCAGCACAAAAAGACGAGGTATAACTTCAAATAACATTCTAATTTTCCCTAATTAAACGCAGATAATTTTCGCTATCATAGACTGGAAGATATATCTCGTAGCCGCTTAAGTAAATGAGTGTATGAGTGTATATGATTTAAAAAACTGAAATTAATGAAGAAATTAGGGGAAGATGAAACGAAGATTAGAAGCAAAGGAGGATCGTCCCATTGAAACGAACGATACATACCGTGTCGTCCTTTTAAACCATACGAAATGTTCCTGCATGGAAAAAGTGATTGTTTTCTATGTATAATTACAATCAGTCTTACGACGAGCTAAAATATGAATGATTTCCCTTCCAACTTAAGCTTCATCATTCTTCGATTTATGAATAGTCAATGCAGGGATGATCTATCAAAGAGAAACGACTTGCCATTCATTCGATCAAATTAATATCCCCTAATAGCATTCGATTCGTAATCATTAGAGTCTGTTAATTACACAAACACGGCTAATCCTCGATTAACACAGTTAATTAATTTATTTAAAAAAAGGAAGATTAAAGTATAATAGAAACTGTGTTACACGAGGATTACCTGTGTCAAATATTTGGGTCACAGAGGGTTAATTAACCCTTAGCCTTAATTTCATGATAAATGAACGATATATGATAAGCTAGCAGTCATTTCGAAATCATGGTGAATGTTAAAATTTATTTATAATTTTATTCAAACTCTGAAAGTTTTGAAAATTTTGATAATATAGACACGATTCAGGGATGTACATATATAACATGCAACCTTAAAAGGGAGAATAATATAATGAAATATCTTTTCGTCGTTTATCGACAGCGTTCGATGGGATAAAATAAAAATAAAATCATGCTCCGTGACATATCCTGTTAAAGTAAGGACGCAAGATTGAATCGCGTATCAAAAGAGCACCGTCCACGTCTTGAACACGCGATGAGCTTGATTTTATCGTCATCAGCTTCAGAATGAACCGCGTGTTTGCGATGTTCTTGATGGCGAGCCAGTCATTTCGCTGGCCAACGATCTTATCGAGCTATTTTCCTTTCGGAGTCGAAAGTCATATATTTTCATACACGTCGAGAAAAGTATGTTCTGTACACTCGCGATCGAATCAGGCTTACCCAGAGAACCCCCTCAGAAAAGAAAAAATCAATTAGAATCGATGAGACGACTAACGAATGATTCGTGATCAGATACCCAATTATCAGGTGACCATTGGTTATCAATTCCTTTCTCGTAATTATCGTCGATTGACAAATAGTTAGTTTAAATTGAAGAAAAACATACGAGAAAATGGGAACTAGAGGTGGAATAAAACGATCGTTTGAAACTTTCGTTTCTTCTAACGACAGTGAATGGCTTGCAACTTGCTGAATCTTGAAAAAAAAAAAGAACCCCGACAGATGCATCCAAGTGTTCCTCAACGATTGCTCTCTGTCCAGCCTCTAGTAATCACACAGAAAACGAGGAATTAAGAACAATTGGAAAAGAAAAGGAAAACCTAGCGACGAGGGAGCGTTCGACTTTCGACTTCGATGGAAAAGGGGATGGAAAAGTGTGAAAGGAGATATTCGTTTAAACGTTCACGACTTTTCACTAGATATTTGTTTTCCTTTCGAAGCGAAGAGGAAATTCGCAAGGAGAAGTGTTTAATTCTCGCATGGTTAAAAAAGAAAATAAAAAGGAATTTCTGTTAATTGATCGGGGTGAAAGGAATACACTCTGCTGAAGCAAACTCGTTCAATTATGCACGGACAAAGAACATTGCAAAAAAAAACACCGAGAAACACCACGCAATCGCACACAGACATTCAATGTTATCAATCTCCAAATCAGAAGTATCAGCCTTTTCGTGTGAATTATCATCACGATCGAGTCGAAGGGTTCAACTGATAGAAGAAAGAAATGAGAAGAGAAACGAAGGAAAAAAGGAAGAAAGGGTCGAATGTATTTTCCTTAATTTCTGGAGAAAGAAAAATAAAAGATGTGGTTGCAAAAATGAAGAACTGAAATTGAAACAATATTAACGTACAAAGGGAGCCTAGTACACACTTGGATACAATGTCTTGAATACGTCTGAACAGTTTTGAAACTTTCCGATAGGAATACAATAGATCGTTATACGTTGTCGTATGGCCAGATCTAATTTCTAAATCTTAGCCAAGTCTCTCTGTGTAGGGAATTATCAAGTTGTTGCATATCAAATGATGTTTCGAATTTGGTATGCAAAAATATTGATGAGCGTAAGAATTATTCATGGAAAATGAGACAGGATTCAGGGATCTATTCGAAGATAACCCCAGACGGTTTGCCAAAAATTAAATTGCCTGCGTATTATATTTATCACACTTTCTCGTTTCTCCCTCGTTTCATTTCAGAATTCAACCCAGAAGAATACCTTTCTTCGTTTCATTGAAAATGTGTCATAGATGGAATTGGCGTAACTAGGTAGAGATGAAAGTAGGCCTAGAAGATAGAAGTAAAAAAAAATAGGATTTCATTCCAGAGCCTCCCCCCCCCAGAAATTCATCAGGGTACCCTAGACAAAATTCCCATTGTACCCAAGTGTGTAACTGGCTCGATAGAGGATAGGTAATGAGAGAAAGATAGAGAAAGATAGAGAAATAGAACATATGCCGATCACGTATAATTAGAGAATGGTATACAACATGACAACGACATCGAGAAAAAAAAAAAAAAATCAACGAGGTGCGACTGATAGCACATCCACTGTTTAGCACGCGACTGATGATCATTTTATATGTATGTATCGGGAAGCGTTTACATACCTACATACAGAGTGTTCTTTAATTAGAAAAAAGAATAAAGATTCAGAAGTAACAGAGTAGATCAGGAATGTACAGTACCGAGCACGGTAGCCTTTCCTAGGGAGGTTGCCCTAAATGTATAGAAATCTCTAGCCTCCCACACTTTCCCTAGGGAATGCAGCATTGCTCGATACTGTACATCGAGGCAATCGTTTGGAGTTATGATACATTGTAATGCAAAGATTGGTGTACTTAAATAAAAAAGAATTTATCAATATTATATTAATAACATGAGGGTCCTCAATGTTAATTGAGAAATTAAATAACATCTTTCCGTTATAAATAGGGATGAGTGGCGTATGAGTTTCATTCACAGGTATAGGCCTTTTTCCGCAATCCTCGCAGGAGTTATTCATTAATTATGTATTATATAATTAACCACGTAGTAAGTTTAAGGTTTTATATATTTTCTATTTGTACAGTCGTACATATGTATGTACATACACGGTGTCGTGTTGTCGCCCTAGTTTGCCTACGTTACAGTGTATCATGTTACTCCGAAATTATTACCTAATTGCTATTGGGATGGATATTGATCATCCTTAATGAACATAGGTCGAAGATTTACCATTGTTCTTATATCTGGGTCACGACTGAACCGTCACCCAATCTAAGACCCATGATTTTGCAGTCTACTTGCCCCAGTGTCAATTTTTTAATTAATTTAAAATTTTGACCTATTCTGCAAATTCTGAACTCTTTTTTTTTTATTTCTTCTTCGAAACACCCTGTATATATGTATATGTATATATACACACACACGCACACGCGTAATACAAATACAAGTACAGACAAGTGCAAGTCTTACGGCATCATATACACGTGACGTTAATAGATATACACAATGTGTGGATAATACAGATTGTATAGGCCTTGTTCATGATTACTTATTATTGCACTCACCATGTAATAATCATCTATTTTGCTGATAGAGCGGAGAAAGATGTTGACGTTCACATTTGTCGGCCCCTCTAACACGTCGACCGGAACAGAACAAAACAAATCGATTAATTAAATCCAGTCACCGTGTGCCGAGATTTACATGGTTTTTTTCTTTTTTTTTTTTTTTTTTTTTATAAACAATTCTTTTTTTTATCTTTCTGCTTGCTCATATTTCAATTGTCTGATTTAAAGGGAAATTGTGATTCAGGAAAACTTTTGGAAAAATTATCGCCCTATTTTTTTTTTATTATTATTATTTTGATTTCTTCCTTCGTGGTAATAATTTTGATGCGACGATCTCTTTTCCTCGTGATTTTACGTTACGTTTTGGAGTTTGGATAGACGGATGACGATGGGGTTTTCTATGATTCTACAAGCTTTCAACGACATTCGCTTTAACCCTTTCAAGCGTGTGATTACAATTCAAATTTTTTTAATCGTCCAAGGGAATGTCGTTGTTAAGAAACCCATGACGATGGAATGATGCGAAAGTATCGAAGTGATTTCTAATGTGAACATTCAAACTTAGTTTCTCAGGATACAATCAATCACAAAGTGAACGTCGATTAATAATAATCACTTTCAATTCAATTACAAATACTACTAGTTTTATGTGTGCCACCCTTATTAAATTCCAACGATTTTTCTCCAATTTTTGCAATCTTAATGGTTCCTTTATTAACACATTATCTGATGAAAATATTTACTAAACAAGGCAGAGAAAAATCGTGGAAAGTCGTTCGACGACGATTACAAAAGTGGAGAATATTCATTCACAATTCAATATTTCTGCTTTTTTTGTTTCGTTAATTAAGGCTTCGATGATGACCCTAAAGTTAAATTATTTCTAATATTAAAATTTTCGTTCCTGATGCGATTTAAAGAAGAATCGCGATTACGAGGCAGAGTGGCAACCATTGCACGAGTTGTTCGCGAAATCTCGAGATGTTTTACTAAGAAACAACAGATCTTGATCTTAATGGAGCTCTTTTCTCCTCTGCTTCGTCGGGTAATCGATAAAACGGGGAACATTGTGCAATTACTCGAGTCAGAGTGGATATTTTAAAGAGAGGATGATTTAGTAATTTGTGGGAAGAAGAAAATAAAAAGATACTCGAAGCTCGATACAAGAGAGATGTTTAATTAAGACAAGCGCGTTGGATAATTAGAATGAATTTTATGAAACACCCTCTTTATATGTAGATTTCACGACAAATCTCCTACCACTTTTCTTCAAAATAAAAATTAATTTTCAATCGATAGAAAGAAAAATATGTCAACAATGAATGGTTTGTTGTATAATTGAATGAGATGAAAATGATTCACTTCATTTTATTAAGCAGCTTCCAGACGGTGATAGCGAAAGACGAGGAAAACTTTCAACTTTTTCACTTGAAATAGTTAAAATATAATAAAAGAAGAATTATTATTTAACGAACCAGTGGAGTTATTAAAGTTTTTATCATTTTTATTCGTGCCAGCAATTGATTCGTTGCGACTAAATTCATTTCCCTTACAATTATTTTTCCTTCGTTTATATTTCACCCCATTTTAACGAACAGTTTCTTTAAACGACTTTAAATTGTACACAGATTTTGTACAACATGCTATTCATGCCCCGCTTCACTTTTAATCCCTTACACCACCATCGTTCTCCATTTTCCACGAGAGAAATCATATTTTTAATTCAGATTCCCTGCTGCTGTGTTACTACAGCAACGAAGAACGTTTTCTTGTTCCCGGAATTACTGTTAACATTAGGAGAAACATTTTTTCGACTGCCGGTTCGTAATTAATTAATTTTCCCCACGGCAGCGAGCACTATTCGATCCTAGATGAAATTTCTTAAAATTTTACAAAATTTCAAGAACGACCTAAAGTCTGTCAACTGTGATTAATATATACAGATAAAATGATCGAAAATGAAAAAGAAAAAAAGAAATAGAGAGAAAATAGAAGGAAACGGAAGAAAAGAATCGAATGGAAATAAACTAATCGATCTACACAGAGAAAAATTGATAATCACATGCGAGAAATGAAAGAAAGGAATATATCACTCACCCAGGTTGAACGGATCTCCCTGTTCGAAGGAACGCGAAAATATTCTCGGAATATTCGGCTCAAGCACGTAGAAGACGAAATTCGAGCAAAAACTACAAGTATATATATCTGTCGACATCACAATCACGATTATTGTAAAATAAAAAAAAGGGGGACAGGTGTTCGATCTAATCGTGAGCCAGCCGTAAGTCGAAATTAAAAAGCGTTGTAAGCCAGTTAAAAGTTAGTCTTGT